AAGTGCACGCCGTTGTGGCGCGAAGCACATTTCGAAGTCAAAATGTTAAAAACAGCAGGGTTTCGGACCACTTTTGGAGGTTCAGATGTCGCTTCGCTTCACTACACGACATGACACTACACTACACTCCACTACACTGCATTGCACTACACTACACTACATTACACTACAACTACAACTACACAACTACACTCCACTACACTCCACTACACTAAATCACACTACACTACATTACACTACACTACACTCCACTACACTACATTACACTACACTACCTTCCACTACACTTCACTAGATTACACTACACTACGCTAAATTACACTACAACTACAACTACACAACTACACTCCACTACAATACACTCCACTACGCTAAATTACACTACACTACACTACATTTCACTACACTACACTCCACTACACTAAATTACGCTACACTACACCACCTTCCACTACACTTCACTACATTACACTACACTACACTCCACTACACTACAACTACAACTACGAATACACAACTACACTCCACTACACTCAATTACACTACACCACATTACATTACACTACACTACACTACATTCCACTACACTCAACTACACTAATTACACTACATTACACTACATTACGCTGAATGACATTGCACCACAGATAGACAGGTCGGCAGATAGACAGACAGACAGACAGATAGATAGATAGATAGGTTGGTAGGTGGGTAGATAGTCAGAGAAAGAGAGAGAAAGAGAGGAGACCTCAAGCACCTTTCGGTCCATCAGTGGATTCGCTCTGCCATCCCTGATTCACAACAACCAATCTCTCCTATAGGTTTCCTATTTTTGAAACTTCCGCCACCGCCTTGTGCGGTACCACTGGTACCAATAATAGTGATTATATGATGGTTATATGATGGGATTATAACATATATTTATATTATATATATGGTTGTTGGTGCAATAACATCTTGAAACATATGAGTTCGTCAATGGGAAGGATGACATCCCATATATGAAATGGAAAATAAAGAATCTTTAGAAACAACAAACCAGTTATGTATGATTGTCATAAACACGCATACAACTCATGATTTCAGAGCAGCAAATGAATGCTATCCATTGGTCTACCATCCTTCATCCGGCTTGAGGTTGTCACGGGATTGTCCACTGCCATCTTTCTGGATAAATTGTCATAGTTCAGCAGCCTGAAACAAGGTGATTTTAGGATAGTTACCCAATTCCCATGATGTCCAGTTAGTGACGTTGCAGTGATGTCGTAATACGATGTTTACATGTTTTCATCTACCCAGCTCGGCAATAGCTACAAGATTTGATGTCGGAGGTGATATCGAAATGAGTTTATCATCATTTTCATTCATTTTCCCATTTCAAAATATTTCAACATGGCGTCATGGCGTCATATTGCCCCAGTTTCATGGCGCCAAATGCTAGCAGTCGTTCCCGTTGTCACTGCCATGCCCTGCTCCAACCTGGCGTGGGTTCATCCTTGGCATTGCAGGTGCGCTGCATCTCTGAAGTTTGGAACTGCCGAATCCCCAGCACCTCAACCGACCTACGAGTTGGAGATAGACCGATCAAGTGGCCTCGCAAAAACATACAAAGTATATGGTTATGTATGGGTCAAAACCCCTAAAATAGTTTGCTGATGGATATTGTATGATCTTGTTTTTCCCGCATGGTAATATATAATAGGTTTTGACCCATCTCCATATATATATATATATATATATGCGCAATATACATATATATATATGTATATAGACTTTGTTTCAGACTTTGCTCCATTTTTTTACCCATCGCCGTCGCCATGTTCCATCACACCACCTATACAAAGTCCACGATTCAAAGCAGTTCCGAACATCAAGGCAATTCATCCCATCTGTGGGAGCACCCCGTCCCAAGCCCAGTGCTTTCCCCGGAGGGGCTGAGGGGAAAAAAACACCGTCCGAATCGGAAACCGCGAGGCGGTGACGATTGGAGAACCAGGGGTGCAGTGCAGTGCAGTGGGTGCAGAGAAAGGATGGCAGTTGGGTGCCAACGGTACCAATAACAACCGTTACAATCCGTTGGATCAGCCGTTTGGGGATCAGCCATTACATCATCCCGTTTGGATGACGGGTAGCCGATTTTTTAAAACCACGATTGGGGATGGTTTATTGTTGTACCACATTACCTTAGCCAACATGGAAATGTCAATGATTAACTCAAAATGATCAACCGAGGAATCTGGCCCAGATCCCATCATCTGAATCTACTGCTCCGTGGTTCGTAGTTCTGTAAAATGGTGATGCATTGAAGATGTATATGAACCACAAATAATGAGCTGTCAAAAGAAATTCCAAGAGATAGAAGAATCAAGCAAAAAACACATGGAAAATACAGTAAAGGAACATGAGACACTAACCATGCAATAGCACGATATTGATGCTATTGTATTTATATAAACCACATAGATATACACAATATAAATATATACATATATATATATATATGTATGTGTGGTTATTTATGTATATACACAGTATATTTATATAATTATATATATAATTAAATAAATGTATTATGTATATATATAAGTATATATATAATTATATATATATAAGTATATATATAATTATATATATAATTATATATATAATTATATATATAATTATATATATAATCTCTAAAATGTCAAAAGATTGCATGTTTGTGTGTTTGCATGATGTATTGGGACAAAATAAAAGAGAAGGATTATATACTTACAACATGAAGGCTGACAGAAGAACTGCCCTTACTGAACCGCATACCTCATGGTCGCAATCATTAGTCTCGATTGCCGAAGAACAAGATCCAGCCCGACCATGACTACACCGTCAAGCTGGGATAAACAACCCCAGCTTGAGCCAGTTTGATTGATAGTCATACAAGGTTAAGGAAACAAAACTCTTGAAGTCACCAAACGGAGATGACATGCTATTATGAATGTCATGGCGCGGCTACATGTCCGCCACGAATCCCAGCACAATCCAATGTTCCTCTCTGCCGTGACCCACAAACACAGGCTGACCGCACGAAATCGCGACTTCTGCGCAAACGAGTTCTGGCCATCCTTGGATACTTTCAACATCTTGGAATGTCTTGCGGAACCACCATTACCAAGAGGTTAATAATGTTATAATGTTAATATACCCACTATAGAGACTCCTTAAAATGATGGTGGAATGACATGGAATTACCAAACCCCATATACCATGCCCTGACCACCGCCCATGGGCTTTTTCAATTGTTTAACTTTTAATCCTAAACCCATGAGCTTTATATAGTTTTTTTGGGGGGCGACGACCACTGGCTGAGATACCGCAAAATGACATTTTTTTGTCAGGGCTTCGCGAAGGATGATATGACAATCAAAACAATCAAAGGTAGATACCAAGTATGCAGCCAACCACATAGCCGTACCGTATTCGCCCAAATCGGTCCCTCTTGACTCTTGATCTAGGCTGATATCACCTACCTTCAGGAATCGAAATATGATTCACAGGTGCCACCTGTAAATGAAACCGACCAGTGAGTCTCATATCTTTGTCGTAGACATTGTCCAAATATGTCCAAATGTAAGCTTCTACCACTATCTGCCTGCGCACCACTCATACTTTTTACTATGTTTTTATATTGTGTCCGCATTCATGGCGAATGTTCTCTCCAGATTCGCTATGGCTCGGAATAAATAACTGCACCGCTTGACACTACGATGCACGGCATGGTGTGACAACTCCAAAATATCCAATTCGCCGGCTGGCCAGGTCAAGCATAACACTGAGCAAGGCCTTGTCGGAACACCAACAAAATACTTCAGGCACACTATCACTCTGTACCTCTCGAACTCTTGCCATGCGACTAAAATCCGGGGACCTCTCATTTTCATTCATTTTAACGACGTTGGTTTCACTTAAGCGAAACATGTAAAGGAACACAAACATTCTACCACGACAAATATCATGAGTCCCTACCCTAAAATAGCTGGTTTATGGATGTTGATTCCCCCAGTCATATGGTAATTAAGGGTTATGACTCATGACCCATCCCCATTTCAATCATTCTGAGATCATTCTGAGTCATTTCGTCTGGGTGTTCCAGCTTCTTTACTCTGACCAAGCGATGATCTGCAGCAAGAGCCGGCAGGAGCACTGCACTGTACATGTGGCTCCTGCGGAAAGTACCGGTGCCTACGTCCGAACCACAAAAGTTTATGGAGGGCTTGTGAACCACCAGCAAACACCAATAAAATGAGGCTTTGTGGCTGAGCTTATTAACATCTATCATTAGGGGTTTTTGTGGCGTTTCGCACCATTCATCAATTTGCCTCTATGACCATTGGCCCATGGACCCGTATGCCCATGTTCCGAGCCAATAGGGTAGTTAACCCCCTCTGAAGATTTTGATCATTGTATGACTGGCCATGTTCAATTAAAAAACAAGGATCTACCCACTCTGGCTGTGAGTCAGTTCACCCTGTTATAGTATATAATGACCCCAAAGTCACTGGAATTTATCGGGCTTCATCTCTCCTATCAACCTATGGCGGACTGGAAGGCAACTCGGACGTCTCGACTGGAAAACAAATCACAGCAATGGAGAATTGCAGCGTTTCTCAACGGAAAAGCTTGTCCTGTAGATATGCAGTGCACTGATGTGCACTGAACATACGGGAGGTGTATAAATCTGGGATCTCTAAAGACCAGTGTTTTTGTATTTGTTTTAATTTTCTTGTTTGCGCCTGTGGATGTTTGTCTTTAGAATGTCATGTCCGATTTGTCAAAGACCAAATGACAAAATGCGCAGTGAAACACATGTCTATATATGTTGAATCCAAGACGCCTTTTGGATGTTGTATGGAAACCAAAAAGCTTGGGTGACCATCACACAATGTGCAAGCAAAAAAGGTGCAAGTATTAACCCCACATAGATCTTGCGTTTTTGCTCGCTTAAAAAAACACCTGTTTTTTTTGCCCAATTCTTGCTGCTCCGAAGATCTATCGCTGCAACTCCATGGTGCTACGGGCCTTTTAGGGCATGTATTGCTTGGATTACCGCAGGGCTCATCCTCATCTCTCCTTCCGCGACGAAACGAAGAGGAAGAAGTGCAGTTGTGCTGGGCCCTTTGGGCCAGGGGAGTTAAAGTTGAACAATTCCGGAACCGTCTGCATTAGCATGCATTAGCATGCTTGTAGATAATGTACACTATATATATATATATATGTTTATGATGGAATTGCTTCCTCCAACTGACATTGCATGAAGAGATGCTGTTACGACCTGATGTCAATATCACGAGAAGGTCTTACACAAAGCCCCAATCTTTGAATGCTGTACCAACTACGGCTTTTCGATGGGCTCCCATGATTATTACAGGCGTCGGTATATATATATATATGTTATGATTATATATTATATATATATACATACACGTATTTATTTTTCTCTCTCTCTCTCTATATCTCTCTTTGGAACTCCAAACTTCAAGTAAGGATGCCATCGGATACTATCCCCCCAACTAACAAATTTACCCTACACTTGGGGGTTGTAAGACAACTTCCCTGTAAAGAATGACCGGTTCGCAGGCTCGAGTTTTGACGATGTAGCATTATTTTTCCGTATTTTTCCGATTAAAATAGACGCCGTCTAGAGCCCTGTTTCATTTTCAAACAAAACCATGTAATAAAACATGGGCGTCCAAATGGTTCCAAAACCTGCAGGAACCAGTGGCAAGCTGCAGTTCTCAAAAATGGTCCTGCTCCTTGACATATCACATTAATTGCTCCGAACCTCACGGCGCTTTGTGAACTGGAGAGGTGTGGTGCCCCATGTCATTAGCTAAGTTGGGTAACGAATAGGCTGACTCGGGTGTATGGTAGATAAACCCATATATTGATATTCTGGTGACTATAAACCAACTTAGGAGGGGGCGCACAAACTAAAAGAGAATGGGTCCAAAACTCCAAAACATAATCCTGCAGTGTTTTTTGCCAACTTTGCAAACGAGTGGTGCCAAAATTGCTATGTTATAACCTTCAACATTGCCATTTTCTGGTTAAGTATCTCCCTTCCAGCCACGTTTTATTACCAAATGGTAGTGCTAAACTCTACACATCCATCGTTGCTTTTGAAAAATCCGCTGGTGTCCTGGCAAATAGGCATGAATCCACCATGCGTTTCCTACAACCAAGTATCAAATGCAATGGATTGGTCGCCTCTTCCATCCAGACCCAACTGGAGATGACTCAAAGTTGGGGTATCCCAAGAACGCGTTAAGCTGAAGATTCAAATCCAGAACTCCATCTCTGAGTCCCTAAACCATCTCCCATCCCCAAGCATCCATGCTCTTATATAATTTTATGAAATTAAATTAGCTTTACAACTCATGAAAAACATCAAATCATCCCTTCTTTCTATATATATTACTAAAACTCCCCTAAATTTTAAAAAACTATCCCAGATCTGTTTTGGGAAATTTCAGATGTGTCAATTTGACTTTTAACGGATCCCCTTTGGAAAACAATTTAAAAATCAAGGTCCAAATTGAAGGCTCTACCCCCTAATAATAAAAACTAGTTAACCCCTGGATGTTTTTTATTAGGGTTCGTTTGTTAAAATCGAACATGTTTTTTCTTATTAAGGTTTTTAATTTCAGAATAAGGGAAAGATTCGAAATCCAATTTTTGGCAATGCGTGGCAATATTTTAATTTGATCTTAAAGAGGAGTTTAACCGATTTTGAAATCACAAAAAAAAAATAAGGTTTTAAAATGTTTTAAACTTACTATATTAGGGGCAAGTTTTTCCCCCGAATATTAAATATTTCAATAAACACCACCCCTAGGTTTTATTATTTGGGGGGGACGTTTAATATTAGGGTGAAGGGATTATCAATGTTCAAGGTTTTTTTTTCTCGTGGTAACTCATGGGCAGATCTTTGTTTTAAGCCGTTTTTGTTGGTAAACTGTCCATTGGCCCGCAAGAGGGAGGATTTGGGGATGATTCCCGCTAACTAACCAGGATAATTCATGCAAATCATATGTTTGCGGCTAAAAACCGCGATCCTGGATGGTTCTCGGCTGGGTTTCCAGGCTGAAGTCGCGACTGGGATGTCTGGAGATGTCTGGTGTGTGCCAGCCACGATTCAACGTAGGAGGCCTTTAATGTGAAAGCAGCCAGAAGAAGCGCATGTGGTGAAAGATACATTTCGATAAATATCAGCCATGCGTATATATATATATATATATTCAATGAATATTGTATATACGCATAGTAAAACATAATGTAAACATATAAACACACATAATCACACATATATGTATATATATATAATATGTATATATATATATATATATATATATTTATTTATTTATACGCAAAAAGGGTGTGTGTGTGCGTGTATATATGTATGCATATACACGCAGAGTTTTGTACACTAAGTATCATGCACGTGTAAATATACAACTGTAGAACCCATATTTTTACCAATTTAAACAAACAAAAACAGAAACAAATCACTATATATATATATACATAACTCCTTTAAAACAACGATATAGAATAACCCACTATATAAGCCATGCCCTAAGTGACTGGGGATATTCCATTATGATATGAACCGGGTAAAATATGGTTATCAACTCAACACTTGCTACTTTTGATGCACATCCAAGCAGGGTACTTGGGTGTGTCTCTCATGGTTTCTCAATACCCTCTGGTAAACTAACATAGCTAGTGAAAATGGCCATTTATAGTTGAATTACCCATAAAAAATGGTGATTTTCAGTAGTTATGTTAGTTTACCGGAGGATATATTCCATCAACCTTACCATACATTCAGACAGACTTGCAGGATCATCCCATTTAGAAACTGGTCGCCCAGTAGGAAATCTCCGAACAGTGGGCTTCCTCAAAAAGGGCCAATCCCAGGCCGCCATTTAAATGGGTTAGAACTATTAAAGTGGGGTGATGCTGAAAGCTCTCCACAAAAAACATCTAGAGACTATACTCACTAACTATGCAATACAGTTACCATCTGGTTATGGCTAACATAGTCATGGTATAGATGGCCCATAGAAATAGATGGTTTATCTATTAAAAAATGTGATTTTCCATGGCTATGTTAAATAACCAAATGGTATACTATACTCACTAACTATGCAATAATTACAGTTACCATCTGGTTATGGCCAACATAGCCATGGTATAGATGGCCCATAGAAATAAATGATTTACCTATTAAAAATGGTGATTTTCCATGGCTATGTTAAATCACCAAATGGTATACTATACTCACTAACTATGCAATACAGTTACCATCTGGCTTTGACTAGCATAGCCATGGTATAGATGGCTCATAGAAAAAGATGGTTTACCTATTAAAAATGGTGATTTTCCATGGCTATGTTAAATAACCAAATGGTATACTATACTCACTAACTATGCAATACAGTTACCATCTGGTTATGGCTAACATAGTCATGGTATAGATGGCCCATAGAAATAGATGGTTTATCTATTAAAAAATGTGATTTTCCATGGCTATGTTAAATAACCAAATGGTATACTATACTTACTATGCAATACACTTATTCGTCACAGCTGGGCAGTGCAATGAAATGGATTATCTATTCGCTGGTGATTAAACACTGAGCCATGGAAAATCATCATTGTAAAAGGTGAATATCAATAAATCATCCATGGCACCAGGGCATAGAAAACTCCAAGAAGTACCAACGCAACGCAACTGGTTACCCTCTGGTAATTTAACATAGCTATTGAAAATGTCCATAGAAATATAGTTGATTTACCCACTAAAAATGGTGATTTTCCATAGTTGTTTGTATGTTTACCAAAGGGTAAATCTGATGGTTCAATCGCCGGGTCGGAATACCACGGATTCCAAGGTCTCTGCCTTAGTCCACGATGCTCAGGCCTCAAAACTTGTGCCGCAAAACATTGTGCATCAAAAATCAGTTTTGATATCTGGGGTTCATAAGAAATCATCATCCCCAATTTGATCCAATTTGATCCGTTGTGTTTTGTTTGTTTGGTTTATGATTATCATCTACCCCCTCTCGTAATTTCACGAAGCTATTGAAAATAAAGCATATATTTCAGGTATATAAATCATCTATAAATGGGCCATGTTCATCCATTTTACATGTCTAAATAAGTCAAATTACCAGAGAGTATGATTAGAATTCATTGTTTATATTGGGTATACCATGGCATGATGAACCCAAACTCACTGTATTCTACGGGTTGTAAGGCAACCATATTTGTCCATGTTCGCACCTTGGCCGGAAATGCGTTGCTAATACCTTCGCACTTGCAAGCCCAACTAGATGCAATCCGAAACAAGTGTTTGGGGTGTGTGTGTGTGTCTGCGCGATTATTAACATATCAATTGACATGTGACATTATTATCTAATATTACATATATATATATTGTATATATATATATACATCAGCTCAGAAAGTATGTGCCACGGTCATAAAACCGCATGTTTACACGTACATCGTGAAAATAGGAGAAATGACATGTGTGTATGTGCGGTGTGATAAAGCACGACGCCAGCTCGGCTGACCTATGTTCTGTGCACACATCAACAAGTAACACGACATATTCACTTTTCTTTGAATCGTGAATAGGTATAGCATTGTCTGCCGCCCCTATTCACACACTGTTTCTTGTATCAAATGCAAGCAAGCATAGTCGCCTTCTACTGTAATTATTCATAATCACTGAAAATTTGGACCCTGTAATGCACAAGTCAAGCACCAAACATCACCAAACTATAAAGCAGAAATTCTGAGGAGGGGGTATTGATTGCCAAATACTGCTGGGTAGATAATGTAAGTGAACCAAACCCTGCCGACAGGATCTGACAGGCACCACATGCATGACAAAGCTTGACCAAATGCGCGTTTTTCTCATAGTTTAATGGAGATTTACCGCAGCAATCAACCGTGGCAATGGAAAGTCCACTATATACTATAACTGGAGATTTTACTGGGAAAATCATCTACAGCCATGTTCTATTGCCATGTTTGATTGCCAAAGGGTAGTGAGTAGTTGTGTCTTTGTTTGAGAAAACATGTCTTCCGCATGATTATCCTCCCTGAAAGTGATAATTGACTACGAAACTGGTACTCAAATAATCAGCCCATTGGTTTATCAACCCACTAATATGATTGATCTAGAATAATGTTGAAAATCAATACTGAAATAGAGCCATTTTAAAATAGTCGAGAATAACCGAAGAGTTTCCCTTTTCAAAGTGGCGTGTTTGCCAGAAATCTCCATCGGCATCACCAAGTCCCGTACGAGTCATATTGTGCATTGTCAAGGCCTGGCTATGGCAGGGGTGATGAGCCATGGCGACTGGAGGCTTTAAAAAATGCTGGGGCACCTTGCAAATTCGAATGTCATCTAGTGTTAAGGAGAGAATGCTGATCATCCATGATTCACTCTGCAGAAAACTAGCATAGATTTAGATATGGAAAATCCACCATTTGCAGAGCATTCCTAATGAAAAAACACATTGATTTCCATGACATTTTGTATGCTTGCTGGAGGGCAGTCCATTAAAAAAGGAACTGGGGCCTTCCTATTCTTACAGATTCAAGCACTCTGCCAGGAAAGTTGCCCCAAAAACATCCACAATGATGGGCTTTGGGAGTTTGTATATACTCATAATTCACTGCTCAATCCTAAACCACTGATTGCTTTGTTTTAAAGATTGTGAATTGGAATTACGTGTGGCAACTAGTTTTTTTTTACATGTGTCCGCATCATGCCAATGTGAGCGATCAGGAATATCCCTATCCCATCCATCAAATACTGGTTCATCCAGGCATCAATTGTATCCACGTATGTTTCATGGTCTTAAAGCATCATTGAAACATGTGGTGTGCGACCCCACAGAAAACACCAAATCAGAACATCATATCATCTGATCAAGTTGGTTTACACACCTGTCTAACTATAGATATATCTACCATACAATCCAGTTAGCCTTGATGTAAACCTTCATTTTGCTAAGTAGGAGGGCACCAGAATCTCTTGTTCAGTGCTTAAACCCATATATGTCAAGCTTAAACCACCATTTTCGTGGTTAAACCAACCTTCCCATGGGGGAACAACTCCGTAAATGTCTGCTGCTGCGAGTGAGGTGCTGAATTCGCGACTGCAATGCCTCGAGGCATGGAGCATGCTGCAACAAAAACTGTTGTATGGGAAAACCAAAAGAAAACTGTGGAAAAAAAACCTGCTTATCGGAAGTCCAGCAGCAAATGTGGAAAAGCAACTGGGAACATTGCTAAAAACTGCTAAAAACCTGAAGTAAATCCAACAAGAAACTATATACAATTGAAAACAACTTGGAAAACCAGGAAACATCCCCTCGATAGAGAGAGTGTTCATCAAGATTATGTCAGATTTGGGTTTTCTATACTCATCATTTTTCCGGGAGATGCTTTGCAGGAAACCTTTGTTTTCCAGCCAGACATGGTGAGATAGTGGCCAAGATTTTCCAAATACTGCCCCTTTAGTTGGGCACATGTATTTTTGTGTCAAACCAACACTCTGGGAGTCTTGCAATGTAGCAATACAGTACAAGTCAATCGAAATCTGTCCCTGGTGAGTTGAGGACCACAGACGTTAGCTTCCAAACAGGTTTCATCCATAGTGATCTCCAGATGATGAAATCCCCATGTTTGCTGGTTTGATTTCATGTTTTATTCATGAGAATGAAAGCAGGAAAGCTGCAAAGCGCAAAGGGAGCTGGGCACACCAGCAAACTGACAAAATTACTCCATGAACAATAGTTTCCCTCTCAGTCGTTGAAGATTTGAAGATGTTGGAGAATCAGATTCCAAGTTGTGAAAGGACAGGCGTGTCAATTTCATACAAGGTAGCATTGCGGGAAGGCTGGAAAATTTCCCTGGAAGCGTTGAAACCAGCAGCTGCCTGCTTAAACAGAAGCATCAGCACCTTGTTCATATTAAGATTGCTGGAGAGCTCCACGGGTGATGCACCAACCAAAAAAAATTGCAGAGCATGGATTGCATGAGCCAATTTCAGAACATTGTTCTCGCATAAATCGTAATTCACCATGAAAAATGTGTCCTTTGATCTGTGCCTGGAAGCAATTCGCAAACCATGGGGAAGGGGGGAGCAGCAAAAATTCCAAAAAATACGGCAGCACGAATAATGTTCAATAGAATCTTCACAAAGTTGGCAACCAAGTTTGCATCTCTGAGTTGCTTCATTGGAAGGCATGTTTCGCATTCTACGGGTGGTTGGCCAGCCATTGAACCAAACGCGCCAAATGGCAATGACAACTGCAGGGTGTGAATGTTTCGAGATGTGCCCCAGCAAAGCTCTGTGACAAGCAATGGTTTGATTTCATTTTTGCCGGCGGGGTGTCTCCATGTTTGATGGTCAAATCCCAAATGTTCATTGTAAACCAATTGCTATAGATCACCCTTACATCAAGCGTTTTCTTGTGTTTCCATTTTTTTTCATCCAGTTAAACCACAAGTTTTGATGGTGAGATCCCAATTCAAAACACATTTTTCCATATGTTTTCCTATGTTTTTTCGTCGTCAGTTTCATCCCTGGCCTGGAGATGTCGGGCGTATGCCAGCCACGGCCCAGCAGAGACGGTGGCCTCAATACCGGTATACGTGGCATCACAACGTGACAGTTGGTTGACACATATACCGTTACCATCAAAATTGTTATATTGACTACCAATATATTCAATATAGTTACAATCTGGCTACAATCTGGTTAGAGTATGGTTATAATAAGTATTATAATAAGCATCAAAAAACATGTTTAAATATGGGCTTCAAGATGTTTAAGATATAGAGAATGATCGTACTGAATATTTCTGAAGCAATGTATTGAGTAGCATAATGGAACATTCTGCACCTGCTGGCTATACTATTTGACTATATCATGTACAAATACATAAATAATGGTTATGGTTTTGATGTGTTTAATACACACATAGCATGTTATCACACGGTTAACATAGTATATTATATATACTGATTGCACTACGGTACACCCAAGTATATAGTAGTGCAGGGTAGAAAAGTAATACTATATAAAAGTGACTAAAAGTTAGAATTTGATGTCTATTTGCAAGTAACACTCGTGAAGGTACCATAGCTAATAGCACTGGATAATGCGAACAATGTGGGTACAATATATCAAACTGGGGATAATAGATTATAATAGTAACAGTTGGGTTTTCACTATTCCACACTTGACAATGGGGATGTACGGGGGTATAATCACGATCAATTCAGCAGCCAAAGTGGCCGTTGGCTTAATATGCTTTATATAGTAAAAACCAACCAAAAATATCAAAAAGTTAACAAACTCGAAAAGTTGTGCTTCACCCAGTGATAAAATTGTTTATAAATATAGATCTATTATATATATATATATATATCCTAGTTAGCCTAGTTCTCTGTCTCTCTCTCTCTCTAATTCAGCTCAGTAAGGAACACCACCTTGCATCCTCCCCATAGACCTCAGAGCACCCCGACTGACCATGATGAGTTCGGGCCTCAGGCATCAAAATGCCAAACTTTTTGCTGGGAAGGTTCACGGCTTTCAGGAACCTTGAGACTAGATTAATACATCGACTATAATGTAGTAGATAGGTTAACATTTATCAATCAATTACTAGACGATACAAAATCATCATCAAACATTATATATATATCTAACTTATCATAATTTACTGTATCCATCCAAATAGGTAAAACCACGTTGGATGATTTTTTTGAAGGGGGTATATAGTTCGCAAACATTTTTTGGAATTGAGTACAGTATCTAGGCACGCCTCGAAACTTTGAGAATGTATGTCCATCTAAAATAGATTGCTGAATTATGCAGATTTTCCGTGTGTTTGTAGATTTTCATGTTGACAACAGTCATTTCGCCGTGAGTGCCCCAGCTTAAATTCTGGGACGTCCAAGTTATGCCGAACAGCGCACCTTGATGCCCTTGCCGAACCAAGCTGCTCGTTGGAAACGTTGGGAAGCCTTGTAGACCATGCCGGCTTTCTGGAAGTTCTTCTTGTGGCCTCCAGGAAAGATCGCACCACTGGGGCTGTTTCTTTCGATTAGGAATGTATCAAAGCAAATGGCCAAGCAACCACTGGGCATGAAAAAACAAGTTGCTATCTAGTATCTATAGGATCTTGTTTCAAGAATCCAATGGTCTCCTTCACGATCAGGCAACTCCAGTTGTGCAGTGGTTTTTGCCTGCTATCATGGGCCGTACAGCTCTCATTTAACTATATCGTATGTTTCCCGAATGCGTAGCAACGGTTCCCGTTTCACTCTGGGGGTCTGGGGGTTGAGGGTGTGTTCGCTCGACGTTGCGTTCACGGTCGCAACCGTTCGCAACCGTCCGCAACCGTTCGTACGAACTCCGTATGGCCGTGCCTATGGGAAGTTCTGCCGAGGTGGTCATTTTTGGAGGTTTCAGACGTGTCGTTGCTTCGTTTCGCGTGGCAGGCGTGGCACTTCGTGACATTCAGACGTGTTCTGCAAGGTGTCGAAAGTCGTTTTGCGTGGCAGGCGCAATACTTTTGTGATGTTTTCAGAAGATGTGTTGCAGTTTTCCTGGCAGGCGCAGCACTTTGGACGTGTCCATCGTCATTTTTCGTGGCAGGCGCAGCACCTTAGACGTGTCGTGCTGCCTGTTTTTTGCAAATTGCATTGGCAGGGCTGCGTCAAGTGGCGACAAGGTGCAAATTCCGTGGCAGGCGTGGCATTTTGTGCGATGTGGTGAAAATTGACGGAAGCCTCGCACGAAACATCGATTTTGAGGTTGCAAATTTTCAGGTTCTAAGGAAAACTCGTAGGAAAACGTCGATTTTGCAGCTACAAAGTGTGAAAATTGCAGGAAGTCTCGCACGAAATGCTCGTTTTGGTGTTCCCACCTGTCTCGTCTCGCGTCTCTGGTTTTCCTGTGGCCTCGCCGTGTCTATGGGGGAAGCTGCAAAACTTGTCCTTTTGTCATGTTGCCAACTGTGAAAATTGGAGGAAGTCTCGTACGAAATGCTAGTTTTTCTGTATCCACGTGTCTTGTCTTGCGGCGCTTGTGTTTCTGTGGCGTCGCCGTGTCCATGGGGGAAGCTGGAAAACCTCTCCTTTTCGAATGTTTCCAAGCAGGTTGTCATGTTGTTTTGCGTGGCAGACGTGGCACTTTGTGACATTCCAACCTGTTTGATGATGTTCACAAAATTTCAAAATTGGAGGAAGTCTCGTACGAAATGCTGGTTTTTCTGCATCCACATGTCTTATCTCGAGTCGCTGGTTTTCCTGTGGCGTCGCCGTGTCTATGGGGGAAGCTGGAAAACATGTCCTATTCGAATGTGTCCAAGCAGGTTGTCATGTCGTTTTGCGTGGCAGGCGTGGCACTTTGTGACATTCCAACCTGTTTGATAACGTGTGGAAAATATCAAAATTGGAGGAAGTCTCGCACGAAATGCTCGTTTTTTTGCACCCACGTGTCTCGTCTCGAGTTTCTGGTTTTCCTGTGGCGTCGCCGTGTCTATGGGGGAAGCTCCGCACTCCACACTCTACACTTTACACTCCACACTCCACATACACTTTAGACTCCACACTCTACACTTTACACTCCGCGCTTTACACTTTGCACTTTACACTCCTCAATCCTCACCTGAGACTTTACACTCCACACTCCACACTTTACACTACACTCTACACTTTCCACTCCTCACTCTACACTTTACACTCCACACTCCACACTCTACACTTTACACTCCACACTCCACACTTTACACTACACACTTCTTACTTTACACTCCACACTTCACACTCCACACTTTCCACTCCACACTCCGCACTCCACACTTTACACTCCACACTCCACACGTTACACTCCTCACTCCACACTTTACAATCGTCACTTTACACTCTACACTCCACACTCTACACTTTACACTCTACACTTTACACTCTACACTTCACACTCCACACTCTACACTTTACACTCTACACTCCACACTTTACATTTTACACTCCACACTCCACTCTACACACCACACTCTACACTTTCCACTCCACATTTCGCACTCCACACTTTACACTCCTCACTCCACACTCAACACTTTACACTCCACACTCTACACTCCATACTCCCCACTTTACACTCCACACTCCACACTCTACACTTTCCACTCCACACTCCGCACTCCACACTCCACACTTTACACTCCTCACTTTGCACTCCACACTCCACACTCTACACACCACACTCTACACTTTCCACTCCAGACTCCACACTCTACACTGTACGCTCCACACTGCACACTTTACACTTCACACTTTACACTCCACACTCCACACTTTACACTCCTCACTCCACACTCCACAGTTTACACTCCACACTCCACACTTTACACTCCTCACTCCACACTTTACACTCCTCACTCCACACTTTACACTCCACACTCCACACTTTACACTCCCACTCCACACCACACTTTACACTCCCACTCCTTTACAACTTTACACTACCTCCACACTCTACCACACTTTACACTCCACACTCCACACTCTACACTCCACACTTTACACCCCACACTCTACACTTTACACTATACACTCTACACTCCACACTTTGCACTTTACACTCCACGCTTTCCACTTTACTCTCCTCACTCCAGACTTTACACTCCACACTCCACACTCTACAGTTTACACTCCATACTCCACACTCTACACTTTACACTCCGCATTCTACACTTTACACACTCTACACTCCCCACTCCACACTTTACACTCCACACTCCTTACTCCACACTCCACACTCTACACTTTCCACTCCACACTGCAGACTGGTAACAAGGGAAACATGCACAAAACTGTTCAAATAAACTATTGCAGAAAGGTATTGTGCGTGACTGCATAACCATGTGTTTTGACATCTGTACCATTAACATACGTGTGAGCATTCGGGTTCGTGGGCTTCATCTTGTTTTTTCCCAGGGCAAATCAAAGTAAATCAAACTAAATCCTCAGATTCTGACGGTAAATCCCAAAAACATATCCCTGACCTTCCTCTTCGATGATTAACTGTGGGGTTACTAACCACAAACCTTGTGGTTGGAAGGTCAGGGTATCCTTGCCTGTTCAAAAAGCATCAACCCCACCACTGTTGTGCCTGGCTGATGGCGATTGCGCCGGCCCACCGAGGTAAATTCGTAGGCGCGGCTGATTCGCTTGCGAAGGTCCTCGTTACCTCAGGGAAGTCTTATCTCATTGAACCAGGACTTCTGCGCAGTAACTCGTAGAAAGAATGGAGCAAAAAAAACTAGATCTGATCCGTAGTATATTTATATACTCTGCGTATATATATATATATTTATTTATTTATTTATTATGCGCGCGTGTGTGTGTGTGTGTGTTGGGAGAACGTGTTTGGTTGCCCCAATGCTGTTGCTAATTAGAATGCGCTCAGTATGCATACAGTTGAACACGAACGTTATTAAGGGTCTTGTGAAACTGTGACACGTGCGCAACTTCCGTGAAACGTGCACAACTGCTGGGAAACGTGCACAGCACAACGTCTCTGAAACGTGCACATATAGAATACTTGAAAAGACTGTGTGGGTGCGGTGAAACACGATATACCCATATGTGTATATACAGTGTGCATGTGTGTATAGGTTATATATATATATATACATTGTATACCCTCAGGTTTCAGAAAGATGATCCTAAAAAACACTTTCCTTTTGGGTAGGAACATCATCGACAAATGTTTTTTGTGCTTGGCATCCCAAGTTTGTGACAGCGAATTCCGTCATTAGTCATTCATCAGCTGAACCCGAACCCCAAACCGAACCCTTGATCCCTTGATTGTGTTTGGCCGTTTCATGCTGAAGAAAATAGGAAACAATACTTACAATGTGGTAAATTCAAAAAAACATCCCCAATTGGGTTTATTATTTGGGCATATTAGACCTTGGAACGGGTCAAGAATGGCGGGGCTGCGGCATACGTGTTACAGTTCAGGCTGATGTTGCTGATGTCCTTCAATGGCATCATCAGGGATTGTTAAAAGAGAACTTTCCCCATGGGCCCTTGTTTTGTTTCCTAAAAAAAAGTCGGAACCAGTAGCTATGTAAAATCACAATTGTTAATAATAATCTATAAATGGATCATTTCCATAAATATGCAATAATTTAATAGAGGTCACATCAAGAAACAGTTATTGCCATCATCGTGCTCCAATCTGACTGGCTGGAACGTCACCATTGGGAATCCCGATGACTGGCAACATTTCAATCATACTCGCAAATGTCGATTGGTTTCTTCAAAAAAAACATCTAATCATGATAGTTTCACCATGAACCCTACTTAAACTAGCTTAAGTTGGACAAGAACAAGGCTAAATATGGGGCACCACTTTGGACCCAACTTCTCTATCTTCTCTTGGCAATCAATATATATATATATATATCCCCACTTTTGCTGGTTGAGTCGCCGTGTTTGTTGTTTAAACATGAATAAGTCCAAGTTCCTTGAGGGTTATATACCAAGAGTATACCAAAAGTCTCAGATTGCTGATTGTTAAATACCCTGGATATGTTAATGATTCAATACCAACTTTTGCAGGTTTACAAGTCAACATCCTCTTATATTGAACATAACTATGGAAAATTGCCCATTCGCAATGATTTCCTGATTGGAAATGGTGATTTTTAAAACCAAGTGAGGCCCCCGTTTACGAAATCACTTTCGTGAGCATACTCCGATTTCTTTGTGGTTTAATTATATCACAGGGTTATCAAACAAGAAACATCACAAAGGGGGGCTCTTAAATCGCATCAAATCCCATTAAATCCTGCTGTAAATCCTATATTTTGGACGGCTTGCAGTAATAACATGTAATAACTAACTATTTTTTGCCTCAAATATGTAACAAATTACCAGAGCACTCGGGGACACCTTCCACCAGTCACTGTCATGCCACAGCCCACGTTCGCGTGGCAACTCTCTTGTCCTAGCTCCATCATGGCCTGCACGAACCTGAAAGCATGATATCCCATGGCCCATGACCTGCAAGTCTTGAAGGAAACAGGGTAGCCCCCTAGCTTTTTACCTCGGGGAGAAGGGATATTCTCCTACCATCTGGTTATTTAACATAGCCATGGAAAATCCCTCATAAATGGAGGGTTTAATGGGAAATCATCTATAAATGGGCCAGTTTCCATGGCTATGTTAAATAACCAGAGGGTATATATTATATTTATTTGTAGATTTTGTAGTTATATCATGGACCTTCCAAGGTGCTCCTTTTGGGTCGACCAACGTTGGTCAAACCAAGAACTGTCGCAGCGAAGGACCAACAATTTTTGGTCGCAGCTGGGATGGTTAAAACTGAGTCTCGCCTGACTTGCATCCAACCTACTTGTGCAAAGGGTTGGGGCTGCCAATACTGCCTAAAAAGTGTGCAGTGCAGTGGTTCATGTTGCTTGGGGTAAACAGGCAATTCTTGCTAAATTCATTTGTAGAAACAACTCTCCTATCAACAACAGCCAACACATCTTTTTCGCCAACCGAAGCACATGTGAAACAGTTGCTCAACCAAGCACTTTATTGCCAGATTGTCCAGGTGGTCAAGCGAAGAATTAGGATACCATCCACCAGTCGCTCGGGAATAAACTGTCCATTTTCACTTCCACACTGACCGCCAATTTACAAGCTTAAAATAGCTAATCTGGCAATGATTAACACTTTGGGGACTGCAAAACCATTATTTTTTCCTAGGTAAATTATCTACAAATCAGCCATGTTCGGTGTGAAAAATGTGGCATTACCATAGGCCCTCCATGGTCCCACCCTGGTCTCCCTCCCAGTTCAGCTTTGACACTCCTCATAGCTAATTGTGCCGTTGCGATCTTTGTCCACCTGGCATACCCTCCGGTTTCATCAAACAGTATCTATATATGGGGGGGTTCCATAAATGGGGGTACCACCAAATGGTTGGTTTATAATGAACAAAATCCCAATCTAAAATGGATGATGACTAGGGGTACCCCCATTTAAGGAAACCTCCATATATATATATATATATCAGGGATGGTCCATGGCCATGTTTGATTACCAGAAGACAATCAAACATCGCATGGTAGTTCGAAGAACCAAAATATTCATCTCAATGTAATGTTGTCATATTGCAGCATCACCTGGGTCGGACACAACAAAGATAAGTTTTAGTTCTCCCTCTCAGTGGCAAATGGATATATATATGATATACACATATCTTCAATATATATATATATACATGTCTATATATATATAGCATATTCTGACCCCAAATAACTGATATTCCATCCAGTATATTCAATTCTGTTTTATTTCAACATTCAATAATGTAAGACTGATATATTCGTCTGCATATACATTTTGGTTCTATTAATTCCACCAAAATTAGTGAACATCTATCTTGCAATCAACATCACACATCCCCCACTCACAACCACCACCTGTGCCAAGATTTCTTCGACCGTGCTGCCGTTGAACCTGTTGCCAAAGACCTGCCGGTGAACGGTAAAGCGAAACCGGGGCCCGGTTGCTGAGAATCATGTGGAAAATAGATCGATTCTGTGTTACCATTTGGTGAATAATGGTTAATAATTTTAAAGTTTGTTTAGGAACGGTTAATTACCATATTATAATTAATGAATTACCATTAATTGCCACTAATGTTAATAATCATATTGAGTAAAGATTAATCATATCTATATTAGATATATAATGATTAATGGTTGATCCCTGGACATCATGTGGTTAACCCAATAATGGATCATCCCCAAAATCACCAGTATGAACCATCCTGTTACATGGTAGGTTTATCGTTGACCATGATTTGAACAGGGGGAAAAACGCCCCACATCTGCGATGAATCATAAACTATTTTTTCAGTATTTTCAGTGGCAAGGGGGTGCTTTCGAGGTCTCTTGGAGTTTCCTGAGGCAACCGCAGCTGCAAACTTTTGGTTCTCTCTCTCTCTCTCTCTCTTCCCATCGCCTGCAAAAGTAAACTTTTGGATGATGTCAAACCATTTCCTTCATTGAGGGACCACTAGTGAGTCATATGCAAGGATGTATTGCGGAATCGAGCAATGATATATTTATTATGGGCCTATTGGTATTCCATGGCCCATGTCTGAACCATATCGCAGCCATCCTTAGTTTTTTCAGCGGCAATCCAGTCGCAGATATCCTGCAAACATAAACCTGTAACTGGTTAGCATATATAATATATATATACACATACATGCAAATATTTGTGATAATGATAAATAAATCTACGTGTATATATATATGTATATATATATATGTGTATATATATATATAATTATACATAGTTTGACTGAATATGCATACATAGACAAATGGCCTGTAAATACTTATTGATTGGATCCTCATTTTCATCCAAGGCCTGCCGCAAGTTGCCGACGGAAATAAAGCCGCTGCCATCCACGTCCAAAGTCTGAAACGCCTGGTGGTGGTGGATGAAACACACTCCACTGCTATGAAATATGGGGGGGGTTCTGAACAAAAATAAGGGACATCCCAAAACATCCCAAGTCACCATAGGTGTTATACATGTGTTATGTTAATACTAAAATAATCTAATGACTATAGGATAGGTGTGAAATTGCTAAGTCATGGTCGTTCATGACTTGGATGATTTGGGGTACCTCTATGACTTGGGAAACCTCCACATGGCCATGGAAAAGCCCTAAAAAAAGGAAGGGTTCAATGGGAAAATCCATGGTGAAGGTTAGATTAGATTAGAGGGTGTTGCAAGCAGAATATTTAGGGAGGCTAACCTAATCATTGTGACAATCAACCTATCGTTTTTGTTAGGAATATATATATATATGTGATAAATGGTGCAAAACTCTCATACATTTGGGGTGGTATAGCCGCTGAGGTGGTTATGCACATTGACACGGTGGTGGTTCCGAGAGACCCCTGCGTATGTAACATGCACGATGTACACAGTGGAATACCACGATTCTTCTTAGGGGTGTTGCCTGTAATCGTACTTGCTAGGATAATTGGCGACACAGAGACAGGCGAACATACACTTTGACATAGCGTCCAACCGCCGAATTTTGCACCTCTCCCCCCCCAAAAAAAAAATCCGGCCAAGAGAACTCCAACAGCGTTGGGGGTAGGAAGTCAATGCTTTGAATACAAGCAACTCTATGTGTAGGACCTCATACTAGGACATCGAAGAGAATTTGACAAGATCGTCGAAGAACGACCTTCTATATGGAGGATATAACAAGGCCTTCATGCAAGAACTTCCATGAGCATCCCAGAAGAACTTCAATACAAGCACCTCTAATGCAGAGCATCTTCAAGATCTTACTGCAAGGGCCTTTTAGGAAGGATGTGAACAGGATCTCCACAAGATCTTCTCACAAGGACCTTGTACAAGATTGAGCAAGGACCTCGTAGAGAGGACTTCACGAGGATTTCCAGAAGATCTCCTCATAAGGATCTGTGCAAGATCATACAAGGAAATTCTTTGCGAGGATTTCACCAGAATCTCCACAAGATCTTCGCACAAGTTGATCGCTTCTCATCATTTCCACCATCAAAATACGTTAACCAGTGCCATTAAGAGAGCATCCCCATTTTCGGAGACACCAAATCCACTCTCACTCTGCATTTGTTAAATCTGGTTACAGTAAATACCAATTGTTCATGTTCAAACTTACCATGTTTAATAGTGTAGATAGAATCTCTTCCGCCCACAACGGCTTTGTTTCACTCACACGGACCTGTTTGATGAGAGCCTCGTTGCACATGTATCTGCTTCCATTGGCGGCTGCGATGAACTCACCTGGCACCAGTGGCTCTAGAGGTACCCTATATACTCAAAAAAACTGGAATCATTCAATGGGTCAAAAACACAAATGCACAGAAAAAAAAAAACTGTTTCTCTTCTCGAACAATTGTAATAAAGGTTTCTTGTAAATTAAACCCGAAGAGTTCGGGCATTAATCATTACTAGAATCCAGTGACGTCACTGTGAGGTCCAATTTACCCATTTCATCCCATGTCATTGATGCTTAATGCATATCCCATAATCTCCGTATATATACATTTGTAATAGTCATGCATTTATTTATCTATCTATTTACCCATCATATCCATATCCTATAGTTTATCTCCATATTATGGCCAAAACCAAATAACTTGCCCACAGCGAATCGCGCCCAGTGGCTGTATTCAATTTCTTGATCTCCGGACAAGTCGAGTTTGTCAAAGAGCGCCTCTGGACTCATCAGTTGGGCGTTTGGAAAGGCTTTCCAAGCAGCTTGGATGAAGGGAAAATCGACCGGAAACCATGGTTGTTACAATCAAACCACGGGGGGTCCTGAAGTTACTATCCTTCGCCCAATTCTGGATAGCTACAACTAGCTCCAAAATACATATAGATATCTTGACGTTTGACATTGGTCGGTGATTTGGACGCCCTTGAACAATGTTAGGCATCCGCTATTCTCATCCTGGATCAGGGAACACCAAAACTGGCGATATATGCACAGTTATATTCCCCAAAAAGTTGTGGGTGTGATATCTCAACGTTCTGGGAGTCCTTTCTCCGGTTCGCCTTGGCTTCGGGCTCAGTCATCGACAGTTGGCGCACGAAGGCATTAGCCAGCTGCGATTTCAGGATGGTACCGCTGCCTGGTCCAGGGACGAGTTCCGCAGCGAAAAACATAAACAAGTATGAAAAAGTAGGGGATTTCATTACCGGAAGTATCAACAATAGGGAGGGAATATGATGATATACACTTAATGGGGCTTATTGAGATTTAGTAGGGTGTTTAAGCATCAACAATAGGGACTTCATCGGACTTAAGGGGACTTTGTGAGGGACTTCATTGGGCTTAATGGGAATTCATGGGTTCATGTGATCTGATGGAACATATTGAAGAAATGTGGCAACATACCATATGTATCCATATGTTGGGATATAACTGATGATCAATGATGATAGTGATCATGTAGAAGGTTTAAGCCACAAAAAGGAAACATTGGGGATATACATGGATAGAATGGGAGAATGATGGACCATCATCACCATAATGGTTACCCTCCATCAAACATAGCTCGCGATGGACCCATCCGCGGGATGGACCCATGGACCTATGAGCTGCTGATGCACTGCTCGTGCGAAATGAGTATCCCAGAATCGAGGGATGGTTTAAACAATTTTAAACAAACCTAAACAGAGACATCTCCAAGCCAGAAGACTGGCATTAACCAGAAATCCCTGAGGTGGTTGAGGGAATAGCTACATGACCAGGCCATGTTTTTTTTTCAGTTCCCAAAAGCGTACTGGCCACATTGCCATCGGCCCAATGGCAGCATCCACCGTTCCACCACATGTTCTTACTTGAAGTGGGGCCCCAAAGGACACCTAAGCTGCTTTATAGCTCCAAACAACCATGTTTTAAGATAGCGAATGACTATATGTAGTAGTCACTGAAGTTTGTAAACCAAGTTGTAACTACGGGGGCCCCTCATTGTAGCAATTTGGCAACAACAAAAAGGCTAACCCGCCAACTTAGCTTGAGCCAGCCTTCTCGATCCAGCTTTCTGAACTCACTTTCCAGATCCTCAAGCAGCGTCAAAAACGGCAACCAACAATCAGCAAGAAAAGGAAATATACTTGGGGGCGCAGTTGAGCTTACAAATGAATATAACAAGGGTTATCAACCCCATCAATTGGGATATAACCCATGTAACATCCTGTAACTATAGTTGTAGACTCGTAGGCCCACTTATAACTGGAACTGAACTTCCACGTGTATAGTTCGTGATGACCCATAGTTAGCTAAGTTGGTATAACAAACATCACCAGGGTTGATGGATGTTTATGGCAACTTCACCCATTTTTAGTTTTGGAAACACACATTTTGGGGGAACCACCTTGCAGTGACTAGGAAGACTGAAGCAGCCACTGTGATGCGGGATCTGGTCCTGGTGGAACGGTCATGTTTTTCACCGGCCTCATCCCATCAATTAGATTTCTAATCAACAGTCAGTTTGCCCATTCCGTTGGTTTGAGAATGGCTACACAATTATGTTTTTGTTGGTAATCTCGTTGGTGGTTTAACCCCGCGTGGCCATTTTAGAAAGAACATGGTAATAAACCAGAATCAATCGTCAAGTTTGCTAAAGTTCTCAAAGTTGTCAATAAAACCCGCGTAATTATACTAGCAAAATATAGCAAATTATAGCAGTGAAACGACCTTTGTTTTGGATGCTTTTGAGATCCTCCATTTTAAGGCTGGCCCCAAATTCATCCAAATTCAATGGATTCGTTCTTGGGAAATCGACGGGAAGGCATGGTTGCTGACCCTCAAGTTTTTTGGGGTTCAAGTCAGCTCGAGCCATGTTTAGATCCAGGAGTCACGAAGGTCATCCGTGCCAGCCATCGAACTGGCGATCAAGCCAAAGGCTGCCCGTTTCATGACGTTCCTGAGATTCGTCAGGAATCCAGTGGGAAAATGGATGGGAACATCCACAGGGATGTTCCATGGCCACTACCTACCATGGGACAAGATCATGTTTTGACTCAAACAAATCGCAATGTTTAACCTACAAATCTGGCGGTTTGGCGGCTATATGATCACTAGGTTTCAAATGGGTGAGCGTCGCAGCGTTTCCTACAAATCAAGAGAGTTTTAGCCATAGAGTTAGTGGTAGAGTTGGGCTTAGCAACGTGTTTTTTTCTATGGTCAGCACCCTTGCTTAAGTTAAATAAGCTGCAATATCAGCCCTACAGCTATGTTTATATATATATATGATTGTGTGTATATATTATTTATAATTTATATTAACAACTAAGATCTGGAACTGCACCCCCAAGCAGTCTCAGCGAGTCCACCGCGCTGTCGTCACAATATATTTGTGGTTATGCAAACCCCCCAAAAAAAAACAATTTCTGATCTAAGAGTTTGCCATGGAAAATGGCAATGGAAATCACAACTAGATCATCTGCACATGGGTCACATGGGTCATCACCAGGCCATCCCAACGTCGATCCGATCGGTGGAACAGCGAGGGGCATTGATCCAAAATCACGAAGGTCTTCCAGAACTTTCTTGTTGATCTCAACTGATGCTCCACCTGGCGATATGTCAACCGGATCTTTGTTAAAACACAAGGCCGCTGTTGATCATTGGGGCTGGGTGGAACCTATTTCAAGAGCAAAAGCCTGTTAAGAAGCCAACAGCTCAAAAGCAATGGTGATGTAGGTGTGCCCATTCGGCTGGGTTCCAGAAGGCGCTCAAAAGGAAGACAAGGAGGGAAACTTCAACACTGCTGTGGCAAAGGCCAGAGCCGATGAATACGGCTACCTCACATGCTGTTGTGTGGGCAGTGACAGAGTACTCTGCACTGAGAGAGCGGGTTGAGCCCGAGTGAGTTGGAAAATCTCCTCTCGGATACGATTTTGTGAACCTCACATGTGTACAGTTTGATTGTTATGTTTGAGACTTGCACCGGTGAGGGAGGGTGCATGTTCCAAGCATTGAGTTGCAGTAATTAAGCTGAAAGAAAAAATCCCTAATTCCTGTTGGCTAAATCTTTGTTGGTCACATCAATGTTTTTCAGACAAACATTGCCATGATTGATGAAACCAGAGTGTAACCATGATCGATCTTTGGTGTTTGCTATCCGTTATTCTTGCATTATATCCATGTTACATCCTCAATGTTTTCCCTATTCTTTGTGTTGGTCACACCCCCAACACTATCATGTTCATCATGTATTATCCGTGTTTATCAATTATTATATCCCAACATTTGGTTGCTTGTAAACCAAAAATCATACCATTTCTCTCCTTAAATCCCATTAAATCCCATTGAATCCCATTAAATCCCATTAAATCCCATTAAATCCCACTAAATCCCACTAAATCCATCAAAACCCATTAAATCCCATGAAATTCCCCTCTGCTTCCGGGCGACCGGCCACGTCGATCAGCCAGCAGTGCTTCGTCAAGTCTTTGGCAGTGGGTCGTTTGGCCACGTCACGCTCCAGTGCCTGAAACCTGTGGATCCAAAGTCGCTTGTAGTAATCGTGATATAAAGGGATTGTGATGATGATATAACCATAAAATACCTCCAATACCTCTGGTTTATGATAACATCATATAATCGTTTAACGCTAGACTACAGTTGGTGAGGATCGTCTTGGAATTATGACTTACAATAGTGCCATGGATAGCAGGATTTATAGTATACTGTATCGAAAATCAACCATAAGTGGGATATAATGGGAATATCAATGGATTTACCTCTGTTTATTGAACAGTTCGCTATGAAAGCCACGGCACATATTAAAAAAATAATCCAAAGCTACGTAGTAAATAACCGAAGGGTATAATACAGGGTATATGTGGAATGTGTGAAAATATATGGGGAAAACCAACAATAGAACACACACACACATATATATATATATGAATATTTGGATGTATACATAATATATATATATATGTAGTATAAATATGCATGGGCTATATATGGCTATATGGTGTATTTCAGGTATTTGGGCCTAGCTTAAGAGAAACAAATACCCAATGGACCACATATTTGTTTACATGAATCCAGTGGGAACATCCAGCCTTGAACCAATCCAGAAAGAGAAATATACGGACAAAAAGAAACAAGACTTGCGTACAGGATGTAATAAGTTTGGATATACATAAAATTATATGCATATGTATATATATATATATATATTTGCGTATAATATGCATATACACGCATGCAGATTATATACATATCTATAATATGGCGGAATATAAAAATCAACCAAATTCTGGGAATATGTTGCCACATATCCATCGGTATATCCTCTGCCTTGGTCAAGTTACATGGAATTCGTGAAAAAAAACAAAATTGCAAACAAAACACATAGCAACAATATAAAATAATTCATGCAAAACATTTGTGCGCTCATGTGGCTTTATCCATATTTGTCATATCTATCCATGAAGACGTCGCTTAAACGGCAGCGTTCTCCGTCAATCCATAACCCACAAAATTCCCTCGTGGGATGGTGGGATTTGATGTTTTTCCCCTCTAGATTGGACAACATATCAATGGCCATTTCAGGAACCGAAAAAAATGGAGGTACCTACCATATATAAGGCCTATATATATATATATATATCAGGCCTAAATTTCAGGGGATATCCCCCCTTGAATATGTGAAGAAATAAGATCTGTAACTTGACGATGGCACTTCCCATGATTTCTGCCAGTTCAGATCCCCCGGCATCTGGGCAAATCATTAGAGACCAAACATCGTGATAAATTGAGACAAACTACCCGGGAGTAAACTAACATAGATGTGGAAAAGCCATGAACAGCCATGAAAAGCCTTAGTTTCCCTAGGAAAATGATCTACAAATGGTAGGTTAAACCCACATCTACGTCAGTTGACAGGAGGGTCATATCAAAATCTGACCGAATTCACCTAACAGCTGATAAACTCTTTGGGTATCAAGATGTTCTTCCATACCTCACGCAAATCCAACACTTCAAATAGCAAGGGGGTGGAGTCACCTTTGAGGCGATTGTATCTCACCATATCATGAGCTTTTTTAATGGCATATAACCACTATTCACCAACATATAACCATATATAACCACTATTCCAAGGTTCACCAATTGCTTTGGTGAAACCACGACACGCGAAGAAAGCCACCAGGTGACACAAAGTCTTTGCACTCGGCGGAGATGTCATCCCAGATTGCACCTGACTCAACGTCGCGCAACGCGTGGCGCGTTGCGACCTGCCCTAGCCCTTCCAGTTATCTCTGGGATAGGTGAACACCTTTGCGTGATTCTAGATGATTTTACAAGTTTTGGACATGTATGTCATCTATACATAATTCATGTTCATCTTCAATGGTTGCGGGCAAAAAACGGGAAACTCTAAATTACCTCAGTTTTGAACTATTTAACCATGCTGTTTTGTCATGTTGGATTTTGAAGCAACGAAATCTGTTGTCAAGTGAAAAAGTAGGACCAAGCAGTTTAGCGCCAAGTATGTGTGCAAGTGCAAGTGAATATCAAGCACCGTAGCATCAAGTACTTGTACCAATGCAACTGCCACCCCATTCCATCTCCAACATACCAGCAAGCTGGTAACCACCTTTTATCAACAACGATTACAGTAACCATTATTAACCACCTTTTTTGGGCGTGCGCAAATTCAAACTAATGTTCTTGCCCCAAACGAGAACCCATCATGCAGAGCGTAGTAACCACTAGGTTCCTATCCTGGACGAAAGTGGTAAGACATCAATAAATAGAACACGATGGCTGAATCATCCGGGAAAAAATGAATCTATGTATTTTAAATTTTAAATCATACTGCCCCTGAAAATTGTAAGCCCGGGAAAACATTTGAGGAGCTGTCAGGTTCTGCTACGTTTCTTTTGTTGCCCTTTCAGGTGGCCTTGTGCTTGTTATTTTGACAATATATATATGTATAATATATGTGTGTGTGTGCATACATACATTTGAATAACCATTCAAACACCAAAGTGTATGTTATAATTATATATATATATATTATGTATGCATATTTCGCTACCTAAACTAAACATGCAGAATATATATCATATATATATATATATATTACTTATATAATCTTATATAATGAATAGACAAACACCGCCACGTTTCGCCAAGGAGCAATTGATATCCAGTGGCTCATGGAGAATCTTCTGCATGGTCCAATCCTCCCAGGATTTACATCTTTGGGCTGTCGCTGGGAAGCCGGGGTAGGGGCAGTTTCCAGGGCGCCCGTTAAAAACAAAGGTGGCTGGCTGGAAAATCCTCAAATAAATGACAGTTTCAATGGGAAAATCATGGGAAAATATGGGAACCCCTCCGCCATGTGTAGTAAAATGTAGCCTCTGGTAATGACTAACATAGCTATTGAAAATCACCATAGAAATAGTGAGTTTTCCTATTAATAGCATGGTGATTTTCCAGTTCGCTATGTTAAATATGGTCCCACTATGCCCCACTATAGACTACATGTTGGATTCATACTGGGTGTTGAATAAAAACCACGGAAATGCGCCAACCCGGCTGATGAGACCCGGGAGCCGGGAGCTTTCCCCGTGAATACTGTTATAAACATCAAGAAACATCAAGAAACCATAAATAAGCGATGTTTGGTTTATAAGATTTTATAAGTGCCATACATACTATGGGACCCGAAGATGTTAAGCATCATAAATCATAAGTGAAATTGGTGTTGTGTTCACCAACTAATCGCGATCTCGTGGCCACGTGGGTCCCACTCAAACATGGCACTGGAAAATGGCTTGGTCAAACTCCAAAGATCTGTCATGTCTTCAGGTCAAAAAAGTGAATACTTTTTTGAACAACCCCGAACGAGCAATTGGTGGGATCATTCCCATCATTCCCCATCTACGTGTAAAACGGATAGCAACAATATATATGATAAAACAAGTAAGAATAATCATGGTAACATGTAAAAATTAAGGACAATGCATACTGCATCAATTTCCAGAAGTTTCAAAGATATTTACATTTTTTAAACAATACCTATCCATTCTCCTTGAGGGCACTTTTTGTGAGCCAAGCTTCATCGCAATGGCTGTCATAGTAGGGTGGCTCACCCGCCAGAAGCATGTACAGGATGATGCCTGTGCCTTAGGCTATGTACCCTCTGGTAATTTCTGACATAACTGGTATTGATGGCCCATTTAGTTTGTGGATTTCCCTGTGAATCATGATGATGTTTCAAAGTAAAATAAACATTTCCAAGGAGGTACACTTACACCGCATGTAACTGTGTATATATATATATTAATAGGAATCTAATTTGGTATAATATGGTCATCCCACCATCAGAGATTCCTTATGAGCATATCAAACCCTATTAGAGTATTGGATTGGGATTCCACAATTCATCTGGTTGGTGGTTTCAACCCCTCTGAAAAATATGAGTCAGTTGGGATGATTATTCCCAATCTATAGAAACATCAAATTCATGTTCCAGTCACCACCAACCAGTCATGGTTATAGGCAAAACCCACAATGAGGATTTGAAGTTGACCATCCCTTTTGATGGAAATATCACCCATGTAACCGCAGAAAATGGCCACCCTGGCCACCCTCCTTGTTGATCAGATGGGAGAGCCATGGAGAGCCCCAAGATCCCCAAGGCCGGAGGGGCCCATGTCAGGACAATATCCTTCCAAGGGTCCAAGGTAAGCCTACCGTCACATGCTGAAAGGACTTAAAGTGTTGAATTGGCAATGGCGGAAGGTACCAAAATCTGTTATACACTTGTCTTTACAACTTCAAGCATTGTCGAGCTTGGGAGATGTGGAGCTTCGGCGCTCTCCTCGAAGTGGCTTGAATCTAGCCGGTTGAACCAGATATCGACTTGTTCTTCCCATGGATGCTGCTACATCGCTTAAACTTAAACACCCAACCATTTCTGGTTGGTGGTATACCTACCCCTCTGAAAAATATGAGTTCGTCAGTTGGAATGATTCTTCCCAATAGATGGAAAGTCATAAAAGCAATGTTCCAAACCACCAACCAGTCATAGATGACATAGATGGACCATTTCATCCCATGTCTATGCTCCAGGATAGCCAAGGTTGTTGAAGGTCATCCCAAAGAAATCATAAAAACCAGAAAGGGCATTCGCCAAGGTGCTCCAAATGTCACACTTGTAGTTGTAGGAACCTGGGTGCATGGTGCAACGTCTGGATGTCACCAAGAAAATTCATGTGTGTTTTCTGAAGATTATCCGCGGAGGGTGTTTTTCAAAGCTACAAGAACGATTGGATATATATATATATACACGATAAGTACATGTTTTTATTTATTTTTTTTGGTACATTTAAATATACGGACTTTTAAATATAAGAACAGGTATTTTAGACTACCTCCGGGAAGGTTTTTTCCTTGGCCCGCCCGGCCATCTAAACATACGGAATCCAATTCATTTAAACATACGATAACTACAATGTGAGGCCCCCCAGTTATAAGTTGGTTTATAAGCCCCAGTAACTATAGTTATAAGTACCATAAACTATAGTTATTGGAGTTATGTGCACCAACTTAGCTATCTTGGGGGCCCCTCATTGTACATTTCAATAAACGAACTGGTATTTCACAATTACTACTTCCGAGGCCTCGCAGTCTGGCCCGCCCTCCTATTTAAATGTCGTTACCGTAGATTAATAATTAGCTAACATAGGTTTTGCATGGTCGATCCTTGATGATCATGGTGCATCTTGGGGACACGAACATCGGAAGAGGAAATGGCTGGGTCAGTCTACAGAGCTGAGATAAAGGCAAACATCGTAGCAAACCATGGCTGTTTGACCAGATTTTGCCGTCCGAAATTGGGGTTTCGTTTTGTACCAATGAATTAGGAGAAATACACAATATATAAATATATAGATATATTATACAATACAATTAAAATAAAACGCAACCGTGAAAAACATGCAGGAACGTAGGACCCAACAAACACATGTCAAATGACCTCTGTAACTGATATGAAATGCATAAAGGCGTGACGAAATAATCATGGTTATCAAAGCTATGATTAAAGCCCGTGGTATCCAAACAAAAATACATGGTACCCGCCCCGCCTTTGATGACCTCCGGCGCAATGTAGTAGATGGTGCCCAGCGTAGCAGTCATGGGCGTGCCCTGCAACTAGGTTGCAGTTGGCGGTTCTGTGCTGCGGTACTGTAGCTGGATTGGGTTGCGGAATTTTATGAAACCTGCAGTCTTTGGTTTAGGCGTGTCTTCACCATTAGATTTCCACTGAAAATGATCAGGAAAACTACAGATGTGTCACAAAATACACTTTATATCACTTCATACGCTGGCACACCTTTTGGATTCCGAACGACCTTTACATCTGCTGCAAAATCTCAGGCTAACACTTGATGCTCCAAGTTGACTGCATTGTGATTGTCTGCGAGTGGCATTTGTGTGTGTGTGTGCTCATTGTTGATGTTGCTTCAACTCGATTTTGCAATGGTCAAAAATGATACTATCCATGAAATAATCAAGGTCTGGTTGACTCATCCTTTCGAATCTCTCTGTGAAAACCTGGTGCATTAGAAATTAGGGGCTCCCAACATGTTGAACTCCAAGGTCACATTAATTGATCAATCATCCTTTTTGATCATTTTAGCTGTTTTATCTATGGCAATTGCCATTTTCAAGGACTCAAACCTCCACTCCTATCATCTTTTCTGATCACCACCTGATCGCAGTGTCATGAGAACCATCATTTTTTGTATGGGGAGGGAGTTTGGGGCATACCACAGAATTACGACTTGATGGAGAAATGCGGGTGAATTGCACGCTAATATATCCATCACACTTGGGTTTCCAATCTGGGTCATCATAATAAATCATGGAGGTATGAAGATAAACTGTCATAAACCATGAGTATTTGTGGGGTGTCTCCATAGTTTCTCAGTTTATCCATGGTTTTGGGTGACATTTCTGGCCAAAAAATCGATCCGATCCTCCTTGAAGGCTTTGGCAAAGCCAAAGTCGATGAGCTTCAAGGAATGGTCGCTGTGGTCCTTGTAAACCTGGGCTTCGAAGTGGCCCTTGCTGCTAACAATTAAAAGACGAAACATATATCAAAATATATCAAAACAAGTCCAACCCAACAAAATCCGGTGTGGTATGAACTCTCCTGAAAAAGTGTGCGCATCTCTTGGTTCTGTGCGCGCTGATTGGGCATGCGCATGGTAGGCATGCCAAACGGTTTTTCTGTATGGATCTCCAAACTGCGAAGCCTAAGAGGTTTGAGCCGATTTTTGGCCAATCTCCGAAACGTGAGTCAATGGGAATTATCACTCAGATAGGGTGAACCAAAAAAAAACATGACGCCATCCAAACGTCCCAAATCTTCCCTGCTGCTAGGATTTTGGAAACCCACAGCACACCACCAAACCACCAGGCCATGAATGCCAAAGAAAATCCCTTCTGATCCTTTAAGCCAATGGAAATCAACAGAAATAGCCTTGAAATAGCTATGTCAATCGATGGCAGGGGGCCCACTGCTGACCCTTGCCCATCCAGAGGGTTTCCCCAAATCCGTAGAATCCACTCTCTCCTCATCATTTTGAGCCTCTCCCACCCAAAAAAAAACATGTCGTTCTGAACGGCCAGGAACCCAATTCTCCAGCTTTAAATCTCGATGACACACATGGTGCCAATGAAGGTAGTTCCTAGGTCCCGGTTACCTCTGGAAGACCTCTGGACTGCGGCACTGTCAACGGCACATGCCGTTAAGGCCATCTGAATCTCTGAATATATGGAGCTGTCCTGAAGAATGGGGATACCCCCAAATCATCCAAGTCATGGATGACCATTTTAGTATTGAAACCAATGGTGACTTGGGGATCCCTCATTTTTAAGAAACCCCCATCCCAGGTTTCGAAAGCAGTGGTACCACGCAAGCTCACCCTCTGACCCATTGTAGACACACTGTTCCAAGCATGGCAACCAACAGGCCGAACAACATGTTAGTTACTGTATACTTTAAATCCTGAATAACATTACATTGCATTTTCAGGGTGCAAAAAAGATGACGAACCATCATGTATTGGAGCATGCCAAAAACAAATCAAAATTATGTGTCTGCCCAAATAACTTGGATATATCAGATGTTACTCCCCAGACCATGCTTGAAACTCAAGTTGACAGTGATCCTACCACCACAGTCACCACAGCTATGTACCAGTCAACCAAGCTTCAACGCTCCTAGCATTTGCCTGCGGGGAATAGGCCAAACGGTGCCCCTGAGGATCACACCATTCACTTGACGTCGTGTAGTGTATTAACTCAGCCCTAGGACCTAGTTGGGCTCAGTTTGCAAGAATCCCACTTTGAGTGAGTTTCAATGTTGAAGGACTACCACCTATGACAAGTCAAGAGTTCAAAACTGTTGCCACAAATCAGTGATGACACTTATATATGTACATCGGGAAAAACTGCATTGTATATATCTGCGCACTGGAACACGCATGCAAACATCTATGCATAATTATGCATACACGTGCATATTATACAAGCACCTTGTGTTTTAGCTGGATATCCTTATAGCGACGGAGGCTCCTCATCATCGCCAACAGAACCACAACGACCATACCGGCCATCATCAGCACCATGGTCAAAAATAACTGGCAAAAAATACTCGTAATTGTGATATCATAACCACATAAAAACACGTATTATATATATATATATTACAATGATACTGACTGACATATATTGACATATAATGACGATAATCATCATCCTCACCAGCGGTGCCTCATGGTGATGATCGCCTCTTCCTCCGTGTAGACACCTCGAGGTCGGTGTCAGCGGAGCCAATTTAACATAACATGGCCAGATCATGTCACCTTAACATAGAAAAATTGGTATATCAACATTTTTTAACTACAATTTCCACAAACATGACCCAAAAAAGGGGGAACGTCTAGTAACATCTCGAGAAATTGCCAAGTTCTATGGGTCAATGGAGGTTTTTGCAATCGGAAAAACGCATGTTCTGCGCGACTCGGGGGGTGATGAGTAGTGACAGCAGCCCCTGAAAGTCTTCAAACGATCTGACTAGATGCAATCTGCATCAAAATACTAGCTTCCATCTTCAATGACAATAATTTTATATAATTTTCAATCATCTTCACAAACACAATAAATTCATTTGCAATAATCTTCAAAATCTCAAGTGAAGCCACGAGGATTCCTCAAAAGGGATTCCTTTTTTAAGGGGTCCAAGTCATCCATGTGATTTTTGTTGTTTGGTACCCCGGGTACCCCCATGATCTTTGGAAACCTCCACATGGGTGATAACCTTATCGTGGTCATTTTAATACATTTTAATGGCAACATGATGATACACAGCCAAAAAAAGTACCGCAATGGTCGTAGCAGCCTCGGTCGTACCAGCGATCATAGAGCTCCCCTCCAGCACAGAGCTCCATGACCTGGGTGGACAAACGCCGCATTGGATTGGTTGGGAAAATTTACCATAGGAAAACCATAGGAAAACCATAGGAACATGGTGGTTTAATGGAATTTAATGGGATTTACCATCTGGTTATGACATTCACAGTTTGCCATGGAAATTCCACCCATTTTTTAAGAACGGTGAACGATTTATTTCTATGGGCCATGGCTTCCATGGCTATGTTAAATAACCAGAGAGTATGTAGAAAGTAAGTGCTCATATTTAGACATGGAAATCACTACACACACAAATATACATATCTATATTCTGTATATGATCTGGATAAATTACGCTAATTTTGCAAACTGGAATAGTTGGGCCACTTGTTTTTTCTCCCTGCCAAAACCATCATTCAAGTACGTCCATATTGGCATCACAGTCTAATAAGGAAAAGAGCTCGGTAGTATCAATAGTAGTAATATTGATAATTTATCAGAATCATGATGATAAGAATGAGGCCAAACATGAGAACAGTGAAACAAAAACTTGATAATATCATGGCTAATAGTACACAATGTGGCAATAATCCACTCATCAACATATATATTATTATATATATATTATATGGTATCAATCCTCTCACAACATACACAATATCAAGTGATCATGTAAAATACACTGGGTCAACTCGAACACTGGCTCGAGCTGGGGTGACCTATGCAGGCCCTTTTTTGCCGCAAAGAATTGATGCTACTCATAGGAACTGATTCATAACCCAAGTAAGTTCTTGATTCCTGGCTGATTTCATAAATGGATTTCAACACCTACCCTCTGACACTTAACAGTTAGCGAACTGGAAAATTAATGACATAATTTTGGGATATTTGGGGGAAATCATCGAACTAGATGGATAATATGGATATAATATCCATATTATTACCCACTGAATATATATATATATAGTATATTATATATATATATAATTATATATACAATAAATGGTCAATTTTACCATCTTCATTCATTTTTCTCAGCAATCCATTCTCCTCGGGGCGCCCGACGAGATGACAGGTACCCTCATTGAGATACCTTAAGCAGCGGCAGCCATCGCCAAAGCCGAGTGGTTTCATGTGTGTGTCTTTTTTAAACCATGACACAACATGGTATAATATCTGGTATAAATATATAAATATATATATATATATAAATATATATAACTCTCTCTCTCTCTCTTTCTACAGCGCTATTGTGGGGATTTACCAGCTAGGGATTACGGGGACCATAAAAACTAACAAAAAAAATGATCCCAGCCCAGCAAAAAAAAACATTTTACACAATCTAACTAGTGGATAAGCCAATGGCAATGGGAAAACAAACCACCATAAGACATCATCTCGAGATATCTCCAGCAAATCCTTGATCTTTGGTCTCGAAATTGTCTGTGGGACCTTAGGTCTGAAAGCCTCAGTGGCTTCCTATTCTGCTTCATGCTTCATACTATGGCCAAGTCATGGGCCGTGGTCATCCACCATCACTTTGGGGGATTCGAAACATCCTGGCTATATCAACTACACTGAAACTGGAGGGTGGACAGTACTCTTTTACTGGGAAAATCAATAGTGTTTTTGAGTATGACACGTAATGTTGCGAACCCATAAGAAACCCCGTTGGGTCTGGTTTACTGTGACCCGAGCTGGCAAAGCCGTCACCATTGGCTTTAACAGTTTCAACAGTGCTAACTTCACTGAAGGTTCAACAGACATCCAAAAAAAACAGGGAGCCACGTCACATTTCGACCCACTGAGATGGCCCTATTTCCCAACGCCATGCCGTTCAGCTGCACATGCAACAGCTTGGTGATATTCGGATGATCCAGGTTCCTCGGCGCAGTTGAAGATACCAAAAAGGGGAAACACAAATAACACAAAGAAAAACTAATGGTAAATAAAAATGGCAATTTAAGAGCCCCTATAAATGTAGGTTTTAAGTTTTAATGGGACAATATCGTAAAAACATCCAACATGATGGACGTTTCATTGCTATCTTTGATTACCAGAGGGTATGTGAAAGACACAAAATGACACGGTAGTCAAATAATGTCGGATAGTCATCCATTGTCAACCAGCAGCCACGGCAAATATTTGAGTGGTGAAGATCAACACTCCCAACGGTCCCAACGTGAAGGACCATCCCATCCGAAATGGAACGCCTGCAATCGGTTCCTGGATATACATGGTTTTGGAAACAGGAAGGAAAGGAGTCCTAGGTTCGTAGAAACCACCTTTGCCCCGATTAAGTTACACAGTGGTTGTTGGCCTCACATTGATTGTTTTCTACTGTGAAACGTTTGAGGTCAGGTCTCGGACATTCACCTGACGGAGGGGGCTGGTTGAATCCCAATTTAATCATGGTTGTTGGCTATATATCCCATTCAGTCTTATTTTTGACATCCTGTTATACCCCACAAGAAACCTCCATGTTTGATCATGTTTGTATATTCTTGCTGCTTCAATTCCCCTTTCACATCCCAATTATGTGTCCATAAAATGATTGTTGATGTTATCCTATCCCACCTTTTTTTATCCCATCCGCCGACAAAAACCGGGGATCAAATGCACCTGAGCCTCCTGGAAAAAGGACTCTAACCTTCAACAAAGATATGCATGTGACTGAAATTCGGGCGGGATTTTCTGTGGTAAATCTGTGATCCCACTGCAAAATGACCAATGTATGGGTCCCCAAATGGTCATGCTGATATTGTGGGTTTCTTAAAATGCAGGATCCCCAGTCACCATGGGTTTCAATATGTTTCAATATGTTTCAATACATTCAATACAGAATGGCCATCCATGACTTGGATGATTTGGCGATAACCCCATGGAAACCTCCACATGGGGGATTGCCCATGTTGAATGACCACCATTAACATGGCAGCATTGATGATACTCCGCCCGATCAACCAATGGGTTGAAGGGTATCCTATCTTGAGACAAAACCCATATGAGCCATCGCCAGTGAATTGGGGGTTTGGTGATGAAAAGATGCATGGATGGTCACTTCCCCAACTATGGAACATTAGGGATATGATATAGCATGCATATATATATATATATAACTATATATTAGAAAGTAATGGATAACTTACAGAGATGGAAAATATCTGGATTGACTTTTCACCAGCAAGAAATGGTGACAAATGGTAACTTGCCATGAATAACAGGGGAGTAATCAATGAATAATGGAACATTGGGGGTTTCACCAACAAACAAACGGGGAGACACTGGGGATATTACATGGATCATGGTGTAAATAATGGGTAACAATCACTATAGATTATGGTGACTCTCCGGCTTGGAAATCCTCAAACCAAATAGGAATTTCAATGGGAATATCATTGAACTAGCCATGGGAGGTTTCCAGCCATCGCCAAAATGATCATAGAATTGACCACACTGGTATCGCAATTAATTCATTTACTGTATGTATTTAGTTTTTGTTTGGTGTGCTTGTTAACACACGTGACCAACAAAACTGATCAAATCCACTGAAATGGACCAAAAGCCACAACCACGTATACAGTGGTCTATATTTTGCATTTTTTGACCCCCAAAAGCACAAAAGCCAAACTACCATGGCCGCAACTAACATAGACCCCGCCAAATAGAGGGTTAAAAGTTGGAAGATGCTTGACACATTATGTTCATCGAACCATGGGTGATTAGACTGCTTATTGGGGCGATTCAAACGATTGGGAAAATATATTCTCAACTATAATTATTGTTGTTGGTTACATTCCATCACCCCAACTATCACTATCATTGCTGCCTATATGGTTATATCATGTGTAAATATCATACTCTAATCGTATTCTAATCCTATTAAATCCAAATCACAATGTGTTTTGGACAATTCCAGAGTTTTTTTTGTTATAATTATTCCCACTGTTGTGTGGCAATCCCAATGCCATAAACCTCCCAAGGAGGAAGGATGATAAAATTTACCTCATTTTTTTTGAAAACATTTGGGACTATCTATTATTGGATTTAGTACATTATGCTTGGACTTGCTTAAGGAACTCCTCAAATGAAAAAAAAACAAAACTTCCCTATAGATTCCCCCGGTAGTGGATTTCCCATTGAAAAAATGACAAAACCATCTCGATCTTCATGAAAAAGTTGATCGGTAATTCCCATAATCGCACAAGAAATTACATTAATGCCCATTATATTTCTGGGCAAATTCTAATATTTCACTAACTTGAATTAAGGCCATTTGGGGATGATTTCCCTTACTAACTATGATTATACTGAGGTCGCAGTGAGGTCGTTATAATTTACCCAGATTAATGTCCATTAAAAAACATTTGTACTTAAAAAAAAAGGTATATCTCCGCGTTCACCGGAGCGACATGTCTTGCTTCTCCTTGGGTGTTCCTTTGGCTGTCGCACCTGAGCGCGACAGCAAATGCCCAAGAACGATGGATCAATATCGTAATTATAGTAGCTATATGGTTACCCTCCGGTAAACTAACATAACTATGGAAAATCACCATTTTTAATGGGAAAATCCACTATAAATGGCAATGTTCAATAGCTATGTTAATTTACCAGAGGGTAAGAACCGTGTACCCTCTGGTTATTTCAACATAATAACATAGCTATGGAAAATCTCCAGTCTTAGATAAATCATCATGTGTCATCTATGAATGGGCCAATAAACAGAGGGTAAAACAAAGGGTAATAATAACTTTCTTAGGGGATAGAGGGCCCAACAGTTATCATTGCAAGTTCTTGGTCGTGTTTTGTTTCGAAAAAAAAATGAAGAGGACTGCCCCAATTGAGAAAAAATGCATAAACAAAACATCCATATGGAGAAGTGGGACGCCAATCACGGCATGAACGAAAAAAAACGGATCCCGGGGAAACGCACCCCTTGATTCACAATTCACGATTCTCTATGCAAATCCGTGTTCTATGCATAGAGGACCCTCCGATTTAGTTTGTGGCAAAACCCGATCTGTGCAACTGTGTAGCATGCCATAACCTTAGTTTAACGGCCTAGCCCCAGACCCATCAATCAATGTTAATCAGTGTGGCATACATATATAGATGGTATTTTATATCATCCAATTATTGCAAATCATATTGGTCAAAATAAATCTCCATTTCAGGATTGTAAAACCCGGATCTTTCTCTCTCTCTCTCTCTCTCTTTATCGTCATCCCAAGGGTCCAGCCCGCACTCTTAGGCAGGCGGAGGCGCATTTCACGGCATTCCGTTCCCTGGTGTACTTGTCCATTGCCGCGCGCACTTCCTGGTGGCTGCTTGCTGGTTGCGCTTCGTGTGATCATGGCAGGCTCATGACCTGCAAAGGTTAGTTTCTGGAAAGGACCAGCAGTTTGCCATGGTAAATGACCCAATTCTAGATGATCTACGTATAAAAGGAGTGATTTTCCAGGCTATGAAGATCACTGTGTGACAAAATGTCAAAAATGTTGGTTGGCATCCAGGTTACAATTTGGATACACATCCAAAGAATCTGGGGAAAGCATCCATATCCTGGCCAAACATCCGCTGTGAGCCATGAAACTTGCCGAAGGGTAAATCCATTAGATCCGCGGACTGAGGCTGTCCTACATATGATCCTGCAAGAGTGATGGCCCCTAACCAAATACTACTTGTTCCCCCCAAAAATAATGGGCTATCTTTGCTTTTGAACTGCCTCGGGTGATGTGTCCAACCTGGCTTAGGCTTAGTCCAAGGAAATATCCCTTTGTTCTTGAACATTGATGGCATGGAATGCTACTTTCCAAAGCACGAGGCCGTTCCTCCTGAAGGATCACCCTACTCAACTCCCCCATTTCTGCGGTTCTCCCATCTAGAACTAAGGAAACCCACAGGAATTCACCCAGTTACTAGTCAACAAATGCCCATCTAGTCACATGTTAGCATCATATCTATTCATATTAAAAAAGTTTAGGGATAGATGGATAGACAGACAGACAGACAGACAGACACAGAGACAGAGACAGAGACAGAGAGACAGACAGACAGAGAGACAGACAGACAGACAGACAGACAGACAGACAGACAGACAGACAGACAGACAGACAGACAGACAGACAGACAGACAGACAGACAGACAGACAGACAGATATAAAACAGATAGATAGATAGATAGATAGACAGACAGACAGATAGATAAATAGATAGATAGGATAGATAGATAGGATAGATAGATAGGATAGATAGATAGGATAGGTAGGATAGATAGGATAGATAGGATAGATAGGATAGATAGGATAGATAGGATAGATAGGATAGATGGGATAGATAGGATAGATAGGATAGATAGGATAGATAGGATAGATAGGATAGATAGGATAGATAGATAGATAGGATAGATAGGATAGATAGGATAGATAGATAGGATAGATAGGATAGATAGGATAGATAGATAGGATAGGTAGGATAGATAGGATAGATAGGATAGATAGGATAGATAGGATAGATAGGATAGATAGGATAGATAGGATAGACAGGATAGACGGGATAGGATAGATAGGATAGATAGGATAGATAGGATAGATAGGATAGATAGGATAGATAGGATAGATAGGATAGATATGGATAGATAGATAGATAGATAGATAGGATAGATAGATAGATAGATAGAAAGATAGATAGAAAGATAGGATAGATAAAGATAGATAGGATAGATAGGATAGATAGGATAGATAGGATAGATAGATAGATAGGATAGATAGATAGGGATAGGATAGATAGGATAGATAGGATAGATAGGATAGATAGGATAGATAGGATAGATAGGATAGATAGGATAGATAGGATAGATGGATAGATGGATAGATGGATAGATGGATAGATGGATAGATGGATAGATGGATAGATGGATAGATGGATAGATGGATGGATGGATGGACGGATAGATAGATAGATAGATAGATAGGTAGATAGATAGATAGATGAATGGATGGATGGATAGACAAAAATAGATACATAGATACATAGATTATCAAATAGATAGATGGATAGATAGATAGATAGATATTGATTGATGGATAGATAGATTTAAGTATACATAGATCCTATATAATCTCACAATTTCTGATATTGTCGGACTTCTCGAGTCCACCAAGTGACTCCGAAGCTGCCCTTGCCCAGCGGTTCTCCTGGCAAGGAATCTACTTCATACCAAGGATCAGCAACATATCTTTTGAGGATGAATAGATGCAGTAGATATTCAATATCCATTCTTCTATTTGACTTTCCTCATGGTAATACGTAGAACAGAATATATAATATAATAAAATATAATGTAGTATAATATAATGTAATATAATATAATGTAATATATTATAGTGTAATATAACAATAATATAATGTAATAATATATAATATTTATATTTAAAATATCAAACATTTCACAATCAATGCTATAATAAGCATCCATAAACTATATCAAAACATACTATAACATAATATCATATCATCTATAATGCAAATCATAAAGGATGACATGAGTCTAGTGCATTTCTAGTGGATATACTCTGTGTATCTCCGTGTTGTCAAAAGAAGGGATGGCAACCAATCAGGGCAAAATGCGGCATCAAAGATGATCAAAGACAGCAAAGTGGTTTGTTGATCGCAACTAGGTAAGGAAAATAGGTTTAGACTACAAAACCTACAAACTTGGTTTGGATGTATTGTGGTGAGGATAATTGCGCTTTAAAGCTAATTGAGAACTTGCCATCATATCGCAAGTAATTAGTTACATCATGTCACATCATCTGGTACCCTAAAGGCAGGGTTCAGTTGGTTCGTATAATCACCAGATATCACCATGGATCCGCACCCCAGCATGGTGGTTTACACCCATCGACCCATGATCCCATTCTTCGCGGCTCCCGTGTCCGTTGCCCTAGGCTTGGCCTGGAAGAAAGCAGTAGCGATCTTCGACATCAATGCCGCGTGTGACGCGACCGGTGCCGAAGAAGCTTTGCACACCATCCGCCTTGGGCCCATGGCTGGAGATATCTGGAGCCATGGTAACCCACAGTTGTTGCTATTTTCTAAAGAATCAGCATCAACAGCAGCATTAGCAGCATCGTCATCGTGGTCACCATCATCAACATCCAATTTCTTAATCTTCTTGTTGAAGACGTATGTTGAAGACAAATATCTGGTCGCTTTCTCCGCAAATATACGGGAGTCCAGAGTCTTCAAGAGCAGCTACTCAAGTCAATTGTATCTGGAAACTATGGCTCCATCTAAAGAAGAACCTATGGTCAGAAGAGGATCTGTCAGAAAACTAGTGCACCGCTGCAATCCATCCATCCTCAGTGATATTGTACATCCAACAACTGCATCCCTTACGGGCTTCATTCCAGGGTCTTTAGGAGACCCACCGAAAAAACTTCGCCCAGGGTCAAAGCGAAAGGTTTGAGAACGCGCTTGACGCAGAAGGGCTGGGATCAAACTCACACGCTTCGGCATGTGACTGTCCAGCAGAATGCCTCCACAGCCACCAAAATCATCCAATGACAGAACTTCTGTCACTTGGAAATAATCAACACATGGGGGCAATTTCGACCCAGTGCCAACAGTTCAGAATGGGAATTGGTCCTGATTTTTTTTTGTTCGACCCCCTTCCAGCCCAGCATGTTTCTTTCACATTGCATCATTTTTTTGGGAGGTAAGGGGCCCAAACATCTCCAGCATGAAAATTGGCATTATTGAACATTGATAAAACATTGGTGAAGAATTGCTTGATTACCAGAGGGAATTTCCGGCAGAATGTCACTGTGTTTCGCTCTCTCTCTCTCTCTCTATGCCCAGTGGCACGCAGGAAGACGAAACGGTTTTTGCTGGGATCATAAGCACAAGGGTTGCAGATTGACCCCACTGTTTGGTCACACCCGGGATTTTCACCAATATTTATCTGGATGTGTCTGAGCATGGGGCAATAGATGGTACGAGTCCCTCTACAGGAAAATCATTGTAAATCATCGGGTTTGGGGTAATATAAGCAAGGATAAATTGGACATTGTTTTTTTTTCTATTTCTGAGGGTGGTCAAACAATAAAACTCAAAAGACAGACAACGATAGCTAGCGCCAATCCCTAAGGGACCTAGACCTAAGCGATAGCCATATGCAGCCCTCGATCCTGAGGGTTAAACTCTCCATCTCGGGATTTTTCAAAACGGCAAAACTCCACAGAAAACCTCTCTATGCGAAGGAAAAAACAATTTTGCTGCAAATGTTCCCAGCAAAACCAATCCATCGATCCCTTTTTCTGCATATAAATAATGTGTATAGATATACATATATATATAGTATTGCATAGTTATATGTTATATTCCCATCATATCCCCTTGAAACCCTGGGTTTTGGCTCCCCTAAGCCACTAAACAATGGCCCGGTCATATCTCTCCGGCCGCATCCGCCCCGGCCTTTCAAACAGGTCATGTCCGCCAGGCCGTTCCAGCAGGTCCAACCAGGTTCGACGGACATGATCACCTGCCAGGCGAAAACATGCTCCAAAGATCAAAGTGGAAAGTGAAACTTTACCATTGAGTCATTGAGTATTACTTTACTATGGGATTTATCATGATCTATTTAACTATGGGATTACTATGGGGTTATTATAGTGAAACTTTGGGATTACTATGGGATTTTTAATGATCTATAACTATGGGATTAATAACTATGGGCATTACTATCGGATATATATATATATATATATGATATAATTAATATAAATATAATCCCCACAAAAACCTACAAATATGGTGAAATCCAACCCAGAAAAAATCGTGGAACGACACCCCCCAAGTTCAGATTTTTGTGGGATGGAACATGGTGGTTGTTCACCATGAATTCGCACAGTGAGATTAATCCAATAAGAATGGTAGTTGAACCATGGAACACATTGGGATTGATCCTGATTTAACCACTAAAACACGGATTTTGTTGCCTCAGTTTGTGTGTTAAGTTGGTTTACCCTGAGGGTGCTTAGATCGGCTTCGTGTTGGAACAAAAAACAATGTTTATGACAAGGGAAAATTATTAACAATTGGCTAATCACCCAACCTATTTCCTAAAACATAATTTTCCCAATCACCCAACCTAGGAAGGACAGTGTCCTTAGATATTCTTAACTGCAGGACCACCCTAAAATGTCTCAAGCATAACGGGTTTGCAAATGGTGTCAGATTGAATAGAGCTATTCCAGGACCCACCCCCCCGAAAAAATAATCATTGTATAACATGAATTTCCAAGAATTCCCTTCCTCAGAAATGAGCTTCACAGACCCCCCAATATATATTGTATATATATAGCTATGCAAACAGTACACATGACAATCGTTGATCATATGCATAACAAGAGTTGGTTATGGTAAACTAAGAGTTTGCTATGCAAAATCAACATGTGAGGTAAATCATCGAACTGAATGGACCATGTTCTATGGTTTGTTTCTGCTTTGCAAGCATGCGCATATTATACGTAATCTGAATTGAGGGCGGCTTGGACGGCTTGTTAACATTGTTGCTTTCCAAAAGCATAAGAAACAAAGAATGTAAACAGCAAAGTTGCGAAACATTGCTAGACTACTAATTATGTTGTACATTTGGTGGCTTCCTAGAATGGGGTTACCCCCAAATCATCCATTTTAATCGGATTTTCTATTTAAATTATAAACCATCCATTTTGGGTACCCCATTAAGGAAAACCCTCAAATAAGCTAAGTGCGCTTTCCGCAGAGACACCCCGTCATCTCCAGGCCCTTAACTTTAAGGGCGATGTTCCTACCTTTATAGTTTTTGGATTCATCAATATACTGTCCGGCAATTTGACATAGCTATGGAAGATGGTCCATTTATGGAGGATCTAACTATTTATATGATAATTGTCCATAGCTATGTTAAATTACCAGAGGGTATCCAGGGTATCATCCAAGTTGTACAAATTGGTACAACTAAATTGCAGCAACCAGGTTGACTGGTCTAACACTGTCAGATCCTCATGCAGTCGAGTTGCCATATTGGTGATTCGTTTGTTGGGAACTGGCAGCAAAATGGCAATCCAAGGTCTTTCCAACGACTCCAATGACACAAGCAAATGTTCAGGGCATCTATGTACCTGAAACTCTCCGCAGTATCAGCATACATGTTGATTTTTGGTGTAAATGTACACAATATCAGATTGAACATTTAAAGTTCCACCTTTAATAGCGATGAATTATTATAATATATATATATACTAGCTGTTTTCCATGACTTCCCTACTCAGACTCCTGGATCTGAGCCCGAGTTCCCAGCGGAGAAACGACCAATAGGCAACCGGTTCTTTTTTTGAATAGAAATGACCAGAAGGGATACCCTCTGATATAACATAGCTATGGAAAATCACAATTTTTAATGGGTAAATCCACTATAAATCACCATTTTAAATAGCTATGATAAATGACCAAAGGGATATCTTCAATTTCTACGGACGGTGAATGACCTACCCCTCTGAAAAATGATGGAGTTCGTCAGTTGGGATGATGACATTCCCAATATATGGAAAAATAAAGCCATGTTCCAAACCACCAAGCAGAATTTCTATGGACAACAGATGAAATTGGATGATGTTTTTTCTACATCCATGAAGTTAAACTGAAATTGCAGCTGAATGAAATGTGTTTGTTTGGTTACATTCCAAATTTCCAGTGATCATAGTATGTCACGAAGAAAGAAAGAGGTATATATATATATATATATATGATACCAAAAAACTGGCTAGTAGATAGACGTAACCACATTTTTTTTTTTGGGGGGGGCGGGGGGCGGCAGTGCTTCCCATGATCCACATTGCAGTCAGAGGATTCTTCAGGTTGGCAAACCATTGGGTCTCAACAAATTGCAGCCAACTTTTGAACGGTTTTCACACTCCAACATACCCATATGCTCCATGTATAGTATATTTACCTACATTTGGGTGATTTTTTTGGCACATGTTGGTAAATGTTCCATACATGGAGCATATCGGATATGTAAGAGTAAGCATGTCACGACCCGACTTCAGGCTTTGGCACAGAGACTTCAGGCCCAGCAAAGCCATGATCTGATGAATCATCGGCCATGAGGATATCAACAAAATGTGCAGCACATGCCATACATTAATTGTAGTAATAACATAAACAAGATTACACCTTTATCTGTATATATGTACATATTATCATATATATATGTTCACATATATATATACAGTATATATATATGCACACCCATGTACAGTCGGGATCAAACCACCAATCTCAATTCATATGGCAGTGTGTCAAAACCTTGTACCCCTGGTGAACATCAAAATAGCTGGTAAATGGATGTTCATCCCACTAAAAATGGTATTAATAGGTATTGATCCATAGCCATATAGCTATCATGAGCCATCTCATCGAAAGTTCCGAGTTTGCTTTGTCCAAAAAAAAAAAGTAACCCATTCCATCCACTGGTTAATCACGGTTAATCATCAGTATCCCTATGACGCCAAAAGTGAGGGGGTACTTTGGGGTGCAGTTCCAGGTGTAAGTGGTTGTAAATAACCCGTAGTGATAGGGGTCATATCCCAACTTATGGTGCGTTGTTTCCACTGTTATACCCATTGCCCATTAACATCCTACCAACTGCAACCCACAGGGGGGCGGGTGCTTTTTCATTGTTTTCAGAAGCAACTTTTTTTTCTCTGCGGATTGAAGCAAACGGCTGTGGCATCTCTTCACACCTTTCGCGGCTATATGAACCATCATTAGCCAACAAAAATAGGATAATGGGGATATGTGGGAATTTGATGTAATATAAACTAACCAACTAATATATGTAATATGATATGTCTTCTAGAATCTTCTAGGCATTTTTTTAAATAACTTAAAATTATTCAACAACCTGAAAAGTTCCACCATTGGGGATAGTTTCCCCTACAATTCCCGTCATTTCTAGTGATTTCGTAATGAGGTCGATAATTACAATTTATCCACATTTGTCTAAAATCAACAAAGTGAAAAAAAAAAAACTTGATTTGCCCTGCCTACCCGGCTACTCTTGCTAAGCCTCATACTTGCTGAAGTTGTCACGGTCCGAGGTTGTCATATCTGTTGTGGCAAACCAAATGCCAACTCCTCATTTCAAAGTAGCCACAACCCCCATTTGACATATGGGAACTACCCATGGTTTCACCTCCAAAAATGTTAAACTGTTAAACTTTGGAAAATGGGACACTGGGATATGTTTTTTCTTTCTCTCTCTCTCTCTCTATGGGGTTTACCGCGCCAAAGTTCACCCAACTTGACGTGTGATTAGATGTGCGAAGCCAAGCCAATCGGCACCACTGCGTTCATCACGGCGGTCCGTGGTCGGCAGTGGAAGGCGACGAAACACGCAGCCGGCGGGCTTAGGAGGTCAACATCGGCGGTGGACCATGATGCATCCGCTCAGGAAAATGAGATGAATGAAGTTAGATAAGTAAAAACAAGAGTTATGATGAGCTTCGAGGTTAGGACCAGAAACGGTGTGCACATGTAGGTCCCAAACTGATTTTGAGATGTGTCACAAAAGGGATACCATGCATAGCAACTGCGCTGGGTAGCAACCAATCTCTGAAGATGCAGGGCAGGCCGTAGGATACATGTGAGCATGCCTATAGCCTATACAGTACATATATGATCTAACATCTGAAACAACACACAAACACGCACAGTATTTGCTCAAAAACCCACAGCAACCAAACCAAAATTCAGATTGTTCAGTTGGATTTGCATCCGACTTGTGAAGCGATAATGTTGGATATATATATACATATGTATGTACGTGAATATATATATAAATATACATATACATATCTATATATATATATTGAAATATAAATATGATTAAATATTGATATACAAGTCTATAATAATATATATATATATATATGTGTGTGTATGACTTTACATAAACACGCACATATATATATATGCGTATGTATTAAATCCTTTGGCAAATGCCCCTATCACTGCTTCAGGCACTCTCTCAAGACTATCCATCCAGTGGTGTTCTCGCAATATGAGCTGGACTTAGTAGTTTGTAAACTAAAGCCATGGGCCATTTAAATAGATGAACAAATTTACCTTTTAGATATGTTGATTTTCCAGTTCGCAAACTGTTAGTCATTACCATTAAAGGAAGATTTGGACACTTTTTCGGCGATACAAGCAGTGGATTTTTTGGACACCATTAGGATCATTAGGAAATATACATAAATATACTAGAAACAAACCATGGCGATGGGTGCATCTGTAGCTGGTGCAATGTCTGGTAGCTTCTACGCAACCCTTCAAATCATCGCGCGATCGCACCACGTTAAGGCTTTGTCCAGCACGTCTTGCCTGCAGGCTAGGCTTCCTTTTGCAACATGTGGCATAGGGGCGAAAAACACAACTTATTTTGGCATCATTGCAGCCAACAACAGCTCAAGCTACTTCAAGTTCCGCAACCAAAAACGTTACTAGAGGTGGTGAAGACGGTTCATAGCTTATATACTCTCCCCTTCACTAACATGGACGTGGAGGCAAAAAAAAACGTTCGACTAACATGGACATGCATCTGGTAAAAAACAAGATTTAGCTAACAAGGACGCTGCCCTCCAAAATGTAGCTAACAAGTGTCCACCAACATGGACGCTGCACAAGTTTCATATTTGTTGTTGCTAACACCACCGCAGCTCACCAAAATGAAAGCTTTGGATGTCTGAGATTGGGTCCGAGCTGAGGTTGTGACTTTTTGAAAATGTTTTAACCATTTCTATGAAGGGAAATTATGCAAAACTGGCAGCCTCTTGCTTTGGAAATGTGCATGGGGAAGTTGCATGACCGACCCATGGACAAGTCTGCTATCATGTACGTCCCTGACAAGCACAACGGGCGACAGCAGGGAGACGGTTTGACATGGGGATCCACCAGAAGGAGATTCTTTTGCACGTCCCAGCGCCAAGGGGGGGACCACAAGAGGACAAATAAGGACAAACCAAAAGGAAAGGAGAGCCTTTAACAGGAGATTCCTTAAATGCAAGCAAGACTATTCTCACAAATTGGGCTCCTCAATGTCCATGTTAGTCGGCCCACTGCAGTTTGGAGGGCTGCCCATGGAGGTCTTGGATTGGGCCCAGGTTGAACTTGGGACTTTTTGCTGTTTGAATTAAAAAAATGCACCAACTGGCAGCCTCTTCTTCGGGGAATTTGCAGCAGTCACGGCCGACAGACAAAGGCCACTAAAATGGACGTCCCTGACAAGCACAGCGAGCAACATTAGCGAGACTGTTTGACAGGTTGGACAGAGCCCTCACAGGAGATTCCTGAATGTGATCCAAAATCTATATGCATCAAGCAATACATGCGCTTGCACACAAACACATGTAAACATAAATCACGCATGTTTATACATTAGAACAAAAACTAAACTATACATATCTGCAACTATACGGCACTACATTCATCTATCTGTCTATCTATATATCTACCTACCTACCTACCTACCTACCCACCTACCTACCTACGGTAGCTAGCTGGCTAGCTAGCCATCTATCTATCTATCTATCTATCTACCTATCCATCCATCCAATCTATCTATCTACCTATATATATATATATATATTTATTTATAACATGAAGACATGATTTATCTATCCGAAACTATCCATTTTTCTGCTATCAATGTGTGTGTTGACCAGCAATACACCATCAAAGCCACCAAACCCACTACGACTGCTCACCTCAAGCGTTGATCACCAAGGGCCCAGTGTTGTCGCAGCACTCCTGCCCAAACTCAGAACAACAAGCAAATGTATCAGCTGACCGAGCCAAAGTTTTAGGATGTTTGAGGTGATGTTTCAACATCTCAAAGCCTGGAGATGTACCAAAAAACAAGGACAGAAAGTAGTGATGACTTGAATCCACAGTCGGATCAAAGTGGATGAAGACTGAACAAATTGGAACAATTCCGAAATGTAATCATATATCATTGTAATATTGAATATTGATGATCATTGATACTTGATACAGTTTCATATTCCACATAATTCACACACTATATTCATCATCATTGTTGTTTGATCCCTCCCGCTCCCGGTTGCTTCTCCTTGTTGTACTTTGCGTGCGATCCGTCGCAATACCTCAGATCATTGAATCCACATTGACACCTGCTACTTGAATATCTTGGATGTGCATCCAACAGAATAAGTGGCAATAATCAATATTATCTGCATATCTGGAGATTCAAAATCCTGGTAATTCCTGAGTTCTCTGTGTTTACCTGCTTTTCTCTGAAAACGATGGATTTGACATCAAACACCTGAAACTCCTAAAACTCCTTGTTTTTGGAAAAGCAATTGGATGTGCAGGGTAATTTGTTCAAGGTTTGAGGGTTGAGTTGAGCAAAGTCAAAGCTGCAACCGAAAACGTTGGAAATTACCCGCAAAATTCCGCCAACTCCCGCAAGTATCAGCAAAAACCAAAATGACGGAGCTAACATGTTCAGATTCTCAGGGTTTGGGGATGGCCCCACTTGGCAGTGTCGCGCTGTGACATGACATGAAACACTGGACCTGAAATCACTGGAAAGCGGAAACTCCTGACATTTTCCAGGAAAATGAATCTTCAGGATAATCTTCAGGATATATATGTATATAAGCACATACACACACACACATATATATATATACATACATACATATATATATATATATGTATGTATGTATATATAATTATATATATATATGCATGTATATTTATAATTAAGTATATACACATTATATTGTAAAGCAATTCTGAATTATAAGCACATGTGTATATATATATAGACGACCACAGAAATAGAAACATATTTTAGCATTGTATCTTACTATAACTTGGGCTTATCATGGTTTATCCTACCTTGAAGAAACGCCGGCGTATGCCGCAGAACGCCCAAACCCTCTGCTCCAGCTCCGCCAATATGATAGCCATTAATAGCCTATATTACCAATGTGTTCTTTATCCATAGCAAACCAGGTATGCCTGGATCATTTACCTTCATATGTATATATATATATATATTAATAATTATATATACATATATATATTTACATATATATATATATGTGCTTTGCTAGTGAAAAATGGTTTAAGACACTATGCTCTCTTTCCATTGTTTTTTCCACAGAAAAGTGTGCTAATGACCGGCGAATGATACACCTCCGCACTGGAGGATGCCAAGGAGCGGGAACTTGCTGCTGCGCCAGCAACCTGGGCGTAGTCGATGCGATGATTTGGGGTAATTAAGTACAAATCTATGAACGTATTGTTACATAATTATACATACCCTATGGATCCAAACACTGTTTGAGAAGGTACTTAACCCTCCACATTATAGCAAATTATACCCCAAACACTTCCTAAGAACATACTTGGATCCATAGGGATAGATTCCAAATGTAGTTCCAAACATCAGAGCCTATATTGAAATCTCAAGAGCCGATACAGGAACATCAAAGTGTGACAGGTGGGTTGAGCCAAGGTGCGGCAAAAGACAGCCTTACCTGGCGGCAAGCGCACCCAATCAAGTGCGAGGTAAAAAAAAGGTCAAAACAACATTACCATCTAGAAAATTAATATAAACCCTGCCAGATAGGGCTTGGAAGATGAGTTTCCACTACAAATTGGTGATTTTCAGGGTCTATGTTAATTTACCTGAGGGTAAGTTCCTGAAACATATGAAAGAATACTTTTATGACCTATATGCTAGATTTCCTTGAGGGAAATGCACACAATGAAACATATTCTCAGTAGATCTCTAGTGGATGAATCAATGGGAATATATATTAATATAATATATATATATATATTACAAGATCACCTCCAGCAAGAAAAGGATTACGGAAGTTTGATGTGTCTTTTTCTTTTCTGAAAACAGGGCTCGCAAATCTCATGGGTGAGTATCAAATGCGCCATTGAATTGGCAATAAATTGATGGTAATCACGGTATCACACTACATTTCAAGCAAGCCGTTTTGAAGGAACAACGACCGATCATCATGTTAGTACTATTAAAAAAAAAACTATATAGGAAATCACAATTTAAAAAAAGAGTTCTGATATGTTCCGACCCATGCTCGCTGAAAATCGCCTCAAACAATTTAGCAAAATTGAATCTGTGTAGTTAATGTAATGAGCTTACTGCGACCAAACATTCCCCTTTGCCTGTGGTGTGGGAGGGGTGAAGGCATCCATCAGATGGCAAAAAGACTGCCCCGGCCCATCGCGAACAAGTCTCCCATAGCCAACCATCCCCCATGGAATAGCAAGTGCTTGCCGGTTCACCCCACCACAAAAATCACAACTCAAGATGAAGAACAAGTGTGGGGCAAACACCACCGCAACGCAAAACCTATCCCCAATTCACCAAAAACTATCCCAAACTTATTTTTTCGGGGCAATCGAAACCACCACTCGCAAAACAAATGCAAAAAAAATGTGTCACCGTCGAGTGAAAAACACATTATTCCAACACAGATCTGCCCAGCTGCCATTGTTGTTCTTGCAGGTCTCCTCAATGTCCTTCATACTTTGCACCTGGGCAAAATGGAGGAAGAGAAGTGGCGAACCGGCTCTGGCTTGGTTCATCCATTTATGGAATAAGGCACTTGGGGGACATACTAACCAGGGATTAACTATGGTCAACAATGGAATTGGATGCCTTTTTCCATTGGAATTCAATTGCCACCAGAGTAAATATGTCAAGTGTCAAAATCATCAGAGCTGATATATCGTGTCTGGACCATTCTGGACGCATGTTCCACCCCCCAAAGCCATCGGATTTGGATCCTTATTTCCCATTCATTCTAAAATACCTATACAATAATACAATCCTATACAATCCTATACATATACATATATATATATAGCCGATATATATATATATAATATCTATCTTCCCTGTTTCCCCGAAGATATCTCCGCTTTTTCCAGGTCCATGGATCTAAGAAACAAACCGTTAACCGGTACACCGTATCTACGTTGAGCAAATCGGGGCAGCTACCCGTCCTCCGGCCCTTCCGGCCAAGGATCAGTCGCCACCTTTGCGGAGGCCTTGTCCTTGCCGGCTTGGGATGGCTTGGGATGGCTTGGAATGGCTTGGGATGGCCAGGGATCCTGTGGGCCATGTGTCTGAATAGACAACTTATGAAATCATTAGGGTATACTCCTATGACTGGAAGGATGTAGAGTATCTATACTCAGTATATCTCAGTATACTCCCCTAATTGTTCTTTTCACGGTTGGTTCATGGTTTTCTTATTGGCAAACTCCCGGGTTTTACAGCCCCGACTTGTCCCAGATGTCCCAGGTTCAATGCTGGGATTCACCAAAGTTCCCTTGCTCAAGGCCTGGCGCGAGCGGGGAAACAAACGATGGCGTTTTTTCTGTTTTTTTCCCATCGTCATCTCAGGAGATCAGCAGTCAGCTTTTGTTACTATTTTTAATGCCATTATTATCATCACCATTATGATTGTCCTCGTTATATCTTGTTTTTTTATTACTACCCTCAAAGAAACATCATGGCTATGATATACTATACAATACTATACATGTTTTTTGTGTGTTCCTCTTCGTTCAAAGGTTTTTATGTTGATGACTTGTTTTTCCGTTCTGCTTTTGCTTTGAATGTGAGGGGTTCTCGTAAATTGCCCCATCCAATTCTAAATGTGAAACATATGACCTACAGCAAAGTTGGGGACTCACACATTGTATTTGTGGGGGGGGACGGCTAGGATGGGTACCCTCTGATAAACTAACATAGCTATGGAAAATCACTATTTTTAGTGGGTAAATCCACTATAAATGGCCATTTTCAACAGCTATGTTAGTTTACCAGAGCGTAAATACTACACACACATTACAATTGTGGGTTCATAGGCTCTTCCATCCCCTGGTAACATTACAATTGTGGGTTCATAGGCTCTTCTATCCCCTGGTAAACCAACATGACCGTAGAAAAAACAACTTATTTAATAGGTAAATCAAATAAATCGTCTATAAATGAGTCATTGTCCATAGCTATCTTAGTTTCCCAGCAGTCTCTTTTTCGCCCCAGTTGATATCTTCGGGGCCCCGGTGCCTTGCTGACGAGAAAACCCACCAAGGCACCCAGGCCCACCTGGTGCTGAAGGCATTTCTCACAGATATATAGTGACGGACAATCACTTAGAACGTATTTTGGAAAAAAAATTCTGAATATTACTGCTTTTTTTACGTTCTAAGCCTTGCACTTAGAACGTCGAAAACCATACACTTAGAACGTCCAAATATCAAGATTCATCACTTAGAATTAGAACGTACCGGGGATTTAACACTTAGAACGTGTCTAGGTCACTGATGATAGTGGAAAGGATTGTGAAATCTTTTATCTCTAAGTGTTGGATTCAGCAGCTAATTCCGTAGGAAACATAGACATAATTTCGTACCCTTTGGCTTTTCCCTCCCATATGATTTGCAAACGTTGGCGATCTTTTATCTCTGGAACGGTATACCCTTTGGTGCTTTTTGGGGGTTCTGAGTTCTGATGCTCGAAGTGTTGGATTCAGCAGCTAATTCCGTAGGAAACATAGGCATAATTTCGTACCATTTGGCTTTTCCCTCACAAATGATTTGCAAATATTGGCGATCTTTTATCTCTGGAGCAGTATACCCTTTGGTGCTTTTTGGGGGTTCTGACGTTCTAAGTTTTGCATTCAGCAGCTAATTCCGTAGGAAACATAGACATAATTTCGTACCATTTAGCTTTTCCCTCCCATATGATTTGCAAATATTGGCGATCTTTTATCTCTGGAACACTATACCTTTTGGATCCTTTTGGTGCTTTTTGGGGGTTCTGACGTTCTAAGTGTTGGATTCAGCAGCTAATTCTGTATAGGAAACATAGACATAATTTCGTACCATTTGGCTTTTCCCTCCCATATGATTTGCCAATCTTGGCGGTCTTTACTTCTGGAACACTATACTTTTGGGTGCTTTTTTTGCGGGTTCTGACGTTCTAAGTGTTGGATTCAGCAGCTAATTCCTTAGGAAACATAGGCATAATTTCGTACCATTTGGCTTTTCCCTCACAAATGATTTGCAAACATTGGCGATCTTTTATTTCTGGAACACTATACCTTTTGGTGCTTTTTGGGGGTTCTGACGTTCTAAGTGTTGGATTCAGCAGCTAATTCCGTATAGGAAACATGGACATAATTTCGTACCATTTGGCTTTTCCCTCCCATATGATTTGCAAATCTTGGCGGTCTTTACTTCTGGAACACTATACTTTTTGGTGCTTTTTGGTGGTTCTGACGTTCTAAGTGTTGGATTCAGAAGCTAATTCCGTAGGAAACATAGACATAATTTCGTACCATTTGGCTTTTCCCTTCCATATGATTTGCAAACATTGGCGATCTTTTATCTCTGGAGCAGTATACCCTTTGGTGCTGTTTGGGGGTTCTGAGTTCTGATGTTCGAAGTGTTGGATTCAGCAGCTAGTTCCGTAGGAAACATAGACATAATTTCGTACCATTTGGCTTTTCCCTCCCATATGATTTGCCAATCTTGGCGGTCTTTACCTCTGGAACACTATACCTTTTGGTGTTTTTTTGAGGGTTCTGACGTTCTAAGTGTTGGATTCAGCAGCTAATTCCGCAGGAAACATAGACATAATTTCGTACCATTTAGCTTTTCCCTCCTATATGATTTGCAAACATTGGCGACTTTTATCTCTGGAACACTATACCTTTTGGATCCTTTTGGTGCCTTTTGGGGGTTCTGACGTTCTAAGTGTTGGATTCAGCAGCTAATTCCGTATAGGAAACATAGACATAATTTCGTACCATTTGGCTTTTCCCTCCCATATGATTTGCAAATCTTGGCGATCTTTTATCTTTGGAACACTATACCTTTTGGTGCTTTTTGGGGGTTCTGACGTTCTAAGTGTTGGATTCAGAAGCTAATTCCGTAGGAAACATAGACATAATTTCGTACCATTTAGCTTTTCCCTCCTATATGATTTGCAAACATTGGCGATCTTTTATCTCTGGAGCAGTATACCCTTTGGTGCTGTTTGGGGGTTCTGACGTTCTAAGCCGTAGGAAACATAGACATAATTTGTACCATTTGGCTTTTCCCTCCCATATGATTTGCCAATCTTGGCGGTCTTTACTTCTGGAACACTATACTTTTTGGTGCTTTTTGGGGGTTCTGACGTTCTAAGTGTTGGATTCAGCAGCTAATTCCGCATAGGAAACATAGACATAATTTCGTACCATTTAGCTTTTCCCTCCTATATGATTTGCAAACATTGGCGACTTTTATCTCTGGAACACTATACCTTTTGGATCCTTTTGGTGCTTTTTGGGGTTCTGACGTTCTAAGTGTTGGATTCAGCAGCTAATTCCGTAGGAAACATAGACATAATTTCGTACCATTTGGCTTTTCCCTCCCATATGATTTGCAAATATTGGCGATCTTTTATCTCTGGAACGCTATACGTTTTGGTGCTTTTTGGGGGTTCTGACGTTCTAAGTGTTGGATTCAGCAGCTAGTTCCGTAGGAAACATAGATCGACATAATTTCGTACCATTTGGCTTTTCCCTTCCATATGTTTTGCAAATATTGGCGTTCTTTATCTCTGGGACACTATGCCTTTTGGTGCTTTTTGGGGGTTCTGACGTTCTAAGTGTTGGATTCGGCAGCTAATGCCGTAGGAAACATAGACATAATTTCGTACCATTTGGCTTTTCCCTCCCATATGATTTGCAAACATTGGCGATCTTTTATCTCTGGAACACTATACCTTTTGGTGCTTTTTGGGGGTTCTGACGTTCTAAGTGTTGGATTCAGCAGCTAGTTCCGTAGGAAACATAGACATAATTTCGTACCATTTGGCTTTTCCCTCACAAATGATTTGCAAACATTGGCGATCTTTTATCTCTGGAACACTATACCTTTTGGATCCTTTTGGTGCTTTTTGGGGGTTCTGACGTTCTAAGTGTTGGATTCAGCAGCTAATTCCGTAGGAAACATAGACATAATTTCGTACCATTTGGCTTTTCCCTCCCATATGATTTGCAAATATTGGCGATCTTTTATCTCTGGAACGGTATACTCTTTGGTGCTTTTTGGGGGTTCTGACGTTCTAAGTGTTGGATTCAGCAGCTAATTCCGTAGGAAACATAGACATAATTTCGTACCATTTGGCTTTTCCCTCCTATATGATTTGCAAATATTGGCGGATCTTTTATCTCTGGAACACTATACCTTTTGGTGCTTTTGGGGTTCTGACGTTCTAAGTGTTGGATTCAGCAGCTAATTCCGTAGGAAACATAGACATAATTTCGTACCATTTGGCTTTTCCCTCCCATATGATTTGCAATATTGGCGATCTTTTATCTCTGGAACACTATACCTTTTGGTGCTTTTTGGGGGTTCTGACGTTCTAAGTGTTGGATTCAGCAGCTAATGCCGTAGGAAACATAGACATAATTTCGTACCATTTGGCTTTTCCCTCCCATATGATTTGCAAACATTGGCGATCTTTTATCTCTGGAACACTATACCTTTTGGTGCTTTTTGGGGGTTCTGACGTTCTAAGTGTTGGATTCAGCAGCTAGTTCCGTAGGAAACATAGACATAATTTCGTACCATTTGGCTTTTCCCTCACAAATGATTTGCAAACATTGGCGATCTTTTATCTCTGGAACACTATACCTTTTGGATCCTTTTGGTGCTTTTTGGGGGTTCTGACGTTCTAAGTGTTGGATTCAGCAGCTAATTCCGTAGGAAACATAGACATAATTTCGTACCATTTGGCTTTTCCCTCCCATATGATTTGCAAATATTGGCGATCTTTTATCTCTGGAACGGTATACTCTTTGGTGCTTTTTGGGGGTTCTGACGTTCTAAGTGTTGGATTCAGCAGCTAATTCCGTAGGAAACATAGACATAATTTCGATTCCACTGCGAATTCCAATTTTCTGCAATATTTCAATTGCGTTTTATAAAAGGAAATTCAATTGATTTCGAAAGTGAAAACAAGAGTTTTTTTAAAATTAAGGTTTTAAATTTATTATTAGGGTCCGCTTCGGAATCCAATTTTTGGCAATATTTAAATTGAAATCGAAAAAAATGTTTTTTCTTATTAAGGGTTTTAATTTATTATTTAGGTCCGCATCGAAATCCAATTTGTGGCAATATTTCAATTGCGTTATACAAGGAAATTTGATTGATTTTGAATCGAACAAAAATAGTTTTGTTTTATTAAAGGTTTAAATTTATTAGGGTCCGCTTCGAAATCTAATTTTTGGCAATAGTCTAATTGCGTTATAAAAGGAAATTTAATTGATTTTGAATCGAAAAAACTTGTTTTTTTATTAAGGGTTTAAATTTATTATTAGGATCCGCTTCGAAATCCAATTTTTGGCAATATTTTAATTGCGTTATATAAGGAAATTTCACTGATTTGAAATCGAAAACATAGTCTTTCTTATTAAGCGTTTAAATTTATTATTAGGGTCCGCTTCGAAATCCAATTTTTGGCAATATTTTTAATTGTGTTATATAAGGAAGTTTAATTGATTTTGAAATCGAAAAAATAGTTTATATAGCGACGGACAATCACTTAGCACGTTCTAAGTGTTGGTTTACGTTCTAAGTGATAAATGGGCCTAAGTGATATTTTGACGTTCTAAGTGATGAATTTTCCCTACGTTCTAAGTGATGAAATTTTGCTACGTTCTAAGTACGAAAAAAAAAATGGAAAAAAAATTACGTTCTAAGTGATTGTCCGTCACTATAGACTACACGAATATATAAGATGGAAAAACATCATAATATGAACCGAAAATAACCTAATATCTGATATCATGAGTGTAAAAACATGCTATAATGCCTCACCCGAATAGTATCCTCTATGGATCCCCAAATTTAAACTAAATCATACTAAATCCATAGCTGCGACCGTGTGTAGAAATTGCTACATCAATAGATGTGCAGGGCCTGGTAGGTCGGAGTGGGCCTCTTTTGGTCAATTTCGGTGGGTGAATCTGTAAGAATAACACCCAGAAAACATGATCTGGTTGGTGGTTGAGCCCTACCCCTCTGAAAAATGATGGAGTTCGTCAGTTGGGATGATGACGTTCCCAACTGAATGGAAAAATAAAAGCAATGTTCCAAACCACCAACCAGTGATTGTTCGATCTATTCAAGTTGGGGCCCAAACGAGGGGTGTTTCATACACACACGCAAGGGAAATGATTCATTGAAACCACAAAATCACTGCTGATATCAGGATACTGATACGGCTGGTGCTTCCCGAAAGGGGGCCCGTGACGTGGAGGGTCCTAAAAAAGGAACCTGGAGACCGAACAAATCTAATGGTGCTGATCCGTAGTACACTGAATTCATTCATATCATAATATTCATCAATGTCCATAATACCTTTACTCGGTGATATTTCATGATATTCCATAATATTCCAATTTGTCCCAATCCGCTTGCCACTTTTTAAGCCAACTGCGCCAACTGCGACTTGACATACCTGCAAATGTCAAGCATGCCACGGTCTTCGAATTTGACCGCCACTTAGGAAACCAGCTTGGATGCACCTTGATATTTATTGCCTATACTATAGCCCTTGGGATTTACAATAGCCCCCTTACTGTGGCTCACAATCAGGGAATTTTCACCATCATTTCTCCCAGTGTTTCACATGGGGGATATCCAAAGTATCCAACCCCCCCACAGAAAAATCGAGCGGCGCCAACGGCCAAAGAAGTTGGGTCCACTTTGACCTCACAGGCTGGGGAGCTTGGGAGCTGCGGAATCCAACTGTGGCAGGATGTATTTGTTAAAATATACATATACATATATATATATTTTTTTATTTACATATATATATATATATCACTATATAATAATAGTAATAATAATAATAAACATAATAATACTAATGCTAATACTAATAAATACTAATAATAATACTAATACTAATAAATACTAATAATAATAATACTAATACTAATACTGAAAAATACTAATAATAATAATAATAATAATAATATATATATACATACATACGTACCCTCTGGTTAGTTGCCATAGCTATGGGAAATGGCCGGTTTATAGATGATTTCTGATGATTTACAGTACCCATTACAAATGATGCTTTTCCACAGCTACGTTAAATTACTAGAAGGTAATATACGTTGGGTATGATTCATTAGTAATTCCAAAATATGTTTGTGAAAGAGTGGGTGGCACAACATGGTGCAATAGGGATATTGATGATGATGATGATGATGATGATGATGACGATGATGATGATGATGGAGGAGGAGGAGGAGGATTAGGAACAGGAAAGCAGTATGAACACGGTTACAAGCTGTGAAACTGATGATGCCATCGCAATGGTCAGTCTACAGCTTGGTCTGACTTCAATTTGAACATGTTTGAGGCCAGACTTCAAGCCTCTGCTTTTTTTATACAATATATATATATATGTATATATATATATGTATACATATATATGTATATATATATGTATATATATATGTATATATATATATATTCAAACGATGCTACTGGCAAACTAGATGCATTGCGGGTATGGCTGGTGTCCCTGCCATCCCCCGCTCCTTCCTCCTTCCAATCAGTGTCAAGCTGCTGTCATCTGTGACAGGGGAAGACAGCGGATCCGCGCCCTTGTGATTTGAGACTGATACAGCTGCTGGACGAACTGGATCTGTACCGTGAAATGCCAATTGTTTTTTGATTTTTTTTTGCTTGTATGCCTCCCTCCTTTTAAGGACATCTGTGCGCTTAAATCATGGAAGCTTTGGTGACGTGTTTGGGTTGTTTCCGAAGCTTGCTACCGCAGTTTGTTTCAAGGTGGGGTGATGCTGCTGCTGATGATGATGATGATGATGATCATCATCATCATCACCATCAATACCCAAACCAAATTGTATAACAACCCACTTGTTCACACGTCTCGGAGAATATGATAGAATATGGGCAATATTTGATACCTAGTAACCTACTAATCCTAGTATTGCAAGCCCCCGTTCTTCAACAGCCCCATTCTATGGTCACATCCACCATGGTTTGATCCTCACCACCCACCGGGATGACCTCCATAATTTCCGTCAAAATGTCATCAAACATGCCTCAAACACCCGTCGTTTCACGCCGACGCCCGGTTTTTGAAAGGGCGGCGTGAGCCATTTTGTTACAAACAAAGAGAGTTCACCAGCAACAAATGGAGATGTTACTTGATGTTGTCTGATATCACTGAGTAAACCTTTTTTTGAGAGAAAATGTATCTTCAAATTGATTCATCGATTACTTGAATCAGTGAACTCCTGTTTACCAAACAACCCATCCAGTAGTTTACTCATCCAGCCAAGGAACGCGTCTTGAGTTTGTTGCTCTTCGCCACCACGCCGTTCCCATGAACGCCATCACATTGCCTGGGTGTTGTTTCTTCTATAGCGATATCAATATCTATTTACACATATGACATATGTATATATATGTACACATAATAATGTTCAAAACATTAAATATAATTCAATACATACGAACATAATTGCAATATCTAATAATATAGATATATAATATACATGCATATACCTCATTGACCAAAACAACACATACATATATAGAATTATACACCTTAACTACATACTAGTGTTCATGTTGGGCTTATAACTAGGGATCATAAACTGTATAGAATATATCATGTTATGTCCAGCAATAAGATATCAGGCTGGGTCAAAACCTGTACCCATCAAACTAGTTTGTAAGCGGATGCTCATCCCTCAAACAAATGTATCTATTTAATTATAGGCATTGATCCATAACCATGTATATATCTAACGTAAACCGCAGTTATTGAAGTTATGTTCAGCAACTTAGCCAACTGGGGCACCACCTTGTATGGTTTCTTTATTGTTTTTGGCAGGCGGTTGATACGGCCAGTGAGGGTGTGTCGAATTTTGACATCTCATATTTTGGGTAGCCACATTGGTCATGGAGTCGTATCAACTGTCTGCCGTATTTCGGGGTACATGGGGGATTGTGTTGGGTGGGGCAACAACGTTCATTCAAAGGCCATTTCAGGATCCTAAATTGGAGGTACCTACCATATATAAGGCCTATTTTTCAGGCCTAAATTTCAGGGAATATCCCCACAATTCATATGGCCAAAAATATGGTACAGTAGTACAGTACCTCCATGTATTGGATCCTGAAGATCTCCCATTGATTCATGTACACTTGCCAGTTGGACTCCACGTGGCAAAAAATCAATTCGGCCATGGCATGCTGTACAAATGGGCCTTCTAGATGTGGAGACACAATGCCAAGTGTGAGAAGAATTTGACTTTGAGAAACCTGAACAACATGATATATGCGCCTGCCATCAAAAATTCAACATGAACATGCATGAACTTTGCTCTCCATTTTACAAAGTCCCACAGATACAGTACCAAGTTCATTCGCTTCACAAAGAATCAATGAAATTGAAAAGCCCCTCACAGGGCGCCGAATCAACCGCCTACCTTTTTTTCCGGTTAACCACAAGGAATGGCCCACCCTGGTGCGTTTGTGTCCCTGTGAAACTTCCAGATGCCTGGGTGTCTCTTCAGATTCATGAACCCCTTAATTATCCTAAATGTAATGTTTCTCTCGCAAGAACAAAAAGTCGACATGACCTGTTGATTCAATTCGGATCCTTTTGGTGGGTTGATAACCCTTGGCTAACATTATGTGGATCAAACATGTACAAACGTCAATTATCATGGCCCAGGTGCCAGGTGACCGGCACACCACTGGCTTTGACCTTGGGTCAGACAATGGAGATATGTGGATTACCATGACGGTGACCCCGGTGACCCCCCAAAAAAAAGTATTAGATGGTACTGCTGTGGATGGAAGAAATCCTGCACCAGTTGATAGGTAGTTTGTTCCATTATTTATAGGGTTTTAACCATCCAAGGTGGTGCAGGATTTCTTCCATCAACACTATTAACAAAAACTTCATCATAGTATGAACAAAAACCATGGTCTTCACATCGAAAGTTGGTAGAGGACCATGGTATTTTATGGTATTTTATTGGCTCACTAGCATAATACTAACGCAATAAGTAGCCGCAATGATGAATAGTGACATATTATGACCATATACTATGCAGTACCATTGTGTGGAACTGCACCCCCTTAGTCGGTCCCAAAAGAAACCGTGATGGCTTGCTAGCTTCTATGGTCGGCTGGGTTCAATAAAACATAAAAGACCCGCTTATCCAACTGGCTGAATCGGCTTTCAGATAAGAGGGTTTCCTAAAATGAGGCTACCCCTGAATATTCCATGTTTTTTGGATTTACCATAAACCATCCAGCTATTGGGGTACCCCCATTTATGGACACCATCATAGCTGCTCTCTCTTGCCATCTTTTCCGTCGATCTCTCGGCCAAGTTGCGGCTTCGATGTGGTCAGGCAGCATTGCCTTAGGTTTATATATGAGAATCCAAAATTTTGGAAAAATTGACGTTCTAAGTGATTGTCCGGCACTATACTGCAGCTGACATTTGTTGTTCGGATTCACAATATCACCTGAAACAGAGTAACCACATGTAACTATAGACTATAGTGATATCTTTTGGGGATTACCCTTAATGTTGGATACCGATTAGTGTCATGGGACTCTATTGTGAGAAAATTTCCAAAAAAAAATGAGCATCTTCTGACAGGGGGGAAAGAACTCAATTGTTAGAAGTTGTTTCTCAGATCCATTTTTTTTCAGGAGGAGCTTTATCCACCTTTATACACCTTTCTTTGGGTAAAGCTGGTCCATTTACTTTAGAAAGTCATATCCATGTTAAAGATTGTTAAAGCCTTGGAAACGCAAGGTTTCCCAAATAATTAGATGCCTTACTAAACCCTTATTAACAAACAGCACCCAAACATTTTTTCAAGGGAGTACCCCATGAGTGACCCAGATCCCCAATAATGTTTCGATGGTACCCTATTGTGCACAAACACTTTTGGGGCGATTTTTTGGATTTAAAAGGAACATCAATTGAAAGTAAATTCAAATGAATTGAAAGTAAGTTGATTTCAATTGAAATCCTTTCTTATCAAGACATTTCTTTGAGGTTTAAAGGGAAAACAATTGAACGTATAGTTGGTCATCCGGAATCTCCCAGGACTGTTCCAAAGAAAATGCCGAGTTGAGTAGACTAAAATTGTTGAGGGGGGGGGCCTACACTAGTCAATATCCAACATTAATATGTTCATTTTAGATATTTTAGGGGCAATAGGTGTGCTGGTTTGGTATGTTTCTGAATCTTGCTATCATCTACCAGAGGTTGGTTCTCATGGGGGAAGCGTTTAGTAACAAACCGACCAGTGGGAAAAGCACATCTATGACATCGCAGAAACCATGACGTCACTGCGTCAGCCTAAGACTTTAAGAAGTACGGCTTTTAGACCGTAAGTTGTTCCTCAAAGAAAGTTGTGTATGTGAAGTCCTTCCCCAAGATAATAGTTTTAAATTACTCTACTTCGGGATGATGTTCAGGTCGCTGCTCCCAGCATTTGCTCATGCGGAATAGGAAAACCATGAACACCGTCAACAAACTCCAAATATATATATATATATATATATTATAATATTATATAATGTGTTCTTTCAAATCTTGTTTTTGGTCATGTTTTGCTCAAACTCGAAAAAAGTCCCGTATTTCATGCCAAACTAAGGGTTTTTATGGCTGGTAAAAAACCATTCCCCAAAGGGGCAGCTCCCTGGCACGATGTCCCACCACCGGTTGGGCCCAGGTGCCTCGGCTTTGCCGGCACCGTAGCGTGTGATCAACAGTAACCTTTTGGGGAGGGATAGGTTTTCCAGGGAAAGTTTGGGCGGAAAGCAGGGAGGCTGTTTACCCCCAAATGTGTTGGGCTTTGCCGGCTTCGATTTTCCCTTCAACAAGACATTCTGGGAATTCAAGAATTGGGAGTTGGATAATTTTGGTGAATTGTAACATTGCCCTTAAACAATGTTGGTAATGCAAGAGCTCGGATATAACATGTTGCGTATAGTTGTACAATCACGGTTGTATAAGCCAGGTGGTTTAACCCAGTGAAAGAACCAACCAACAAGATCCAACAAGATCCCCCTTTCAACTGCTGTGTATATGCATAGGGATTCTAGAGCTAACTCATGATGAGGGAAAAAACATGTAGGCACATACAGTCGGATTCTACTAGCCCAGCTTCGGCTTATAATATTTCTGGATAAATTATGATAGCTCACTAGCCTGGAAGAAAATCATTTTGTGATACTTCCTTCCCTTCGTGCCAAACCCAGTTATAAGATGTTGTAGAAGCCCCATGAATATTCCAGTTTTAAGTAGCATAAACCATAGTTATTGGATTCAATAACCAACTTAGCTATCTAATTTGCAGGCATCACTTTGTAATTTTCCCATCAGTGACCTCGGCCCCGGTGCCTGCCCTCCTCCTTCTTTGGATTCAACACCTATGTGCAGAAGTGGGTATCAGTGATTTCACTGTCTCGTGTCGAAGAGATCGCAATCTTGATTATTCTATCTTTATATAGATGATATACTTCCCTATGTTTGTCAGAGTAATTAAGAACATCTGGTTGGTGGTATACCTACCCCTCTGAAAAATATGAGTTCGTCAGTTGGGATTATTATTCCATACCCTAAGGATCCATGTATGGAATATTTACCTACATTGGGATTATTTTAAATTACTTTAGGGGTCAATGTAGGTAAATATTCCAGCACCATGGATCCTCTGGGATATATTATGGAAAGTCATAAAAGTCATGTTCAAAACCAACAACCAGATATCATATTCCCATTATAACCAGATGAAAAAAACTGCGTTCGAAACCACCCACCAGATTTTTTCTTCCAGGATGAGAGGGGATCCAGAAACACTGGGGCACAAGACCGTCACCAAATCCTTGAGTTCATCGTTCTTCATAGAGGGACCTGGGCACCCAACAAAAAGCGCCTTTGTGACCGCCGCTTTGACGATTGTTATGTCACAAGAACTTACAGATAGAAAAACCAAACTTATGTAGCATCTATAAGTATAGTAGTCAAAAATAGTCAAAGTAGTGATTTTTGATGATTTTTGCTCTCTGGTGTTCTTTGGTTATATAAATGCTATAATGACATCTTGTGAATCAACAAAGTCTGCCAAATATGGCTCCGTGAGGCTGAAGGCCTGGTGCAGGGCCCTCCCACTTCTGAGTTAGTTTACCCCCTCTAACTATAGAATACTATTAGATATATCATTATAACATGATATATCTATTCCAGTAAATCTCAGTTAGGTTATGGCCAGCTACCAATCGTGTTTAGCAGCAACTTACCTCCCACATCTCCACAGATGGGGGACGATTATCCTGAAAATAAGCCACCAAATTCCTACAATCCCTCAAATCCATATGGTTTTTTATATTGATGTTTATTGGCTTATCATTGGTTTATCATGGTTTATCATCATCTTCCCTAGTAAAATACCATTTTAGGTGGCATCCCGCTTTTCAATCTTTTCAGACAGACCCATAGAATTTGAATTTATGTTATATGTGTGTGACATATCCAAGTTTGTTTCCACATGATCTCCCAAAAAAGGTACCCATAAAATGGTCCGTTTGTTCAGCCAGACATGGCAAATATCCATAAATATCCTCAAGAAATCCATATACCCTCTGGTAATTTAACGTAGCTATTGAAATCCACTATAAATGGGCCATTTTCCCATTAAAAATGGTGATGTTCCATAGTTATGTTAGTTTACCAGAGGGTAATCCTTTTCATTGGTGGTTATATTCCCAGTAGATCCCTGGAATAGATGAAGCCAACCGTCAACGTGCGGTCCGTGGGCCCACTTTGACCCCGATGGGGTTCGCAATGCCGCGAAAGTATTCGATGTGTGCCTGAACGGGCCCAACGGGCCAAGCAAACAAACACCATGACAGGAAACCATGGGGATGCACCATGGATGACATCATGGGAAGCTTGGATAGACAGAAATGAACCAGAGGAAAAACCCTGAAATGGAGGGGGTTTTCCTGCACCAATGATGCAACTTTTCGGTGAGAATTCCTGGGTGTGCAGCGCAGCCAGATATGGAAGACCCAATGGTTTGCAAACACAAATTCATAAGATTTCATAAGGATCTTTGCACATGGGAGGCAAAAACCCAATTTTTCTGAACTTGGTTCAACTATTCTCAACAACAACAAAGATCTACAAATGACACGGATCACTCATTCTTTGTTTTTTTAGGTGAAGTTCAAACCCTCAAATCCATGGCCGTCCATGGCCCATGTGAATTTTGGGCCCGGGCGCAGTCCAGTTGCCGTGTGCGATCTCCAATCCACACCTCTGGGCGAGACATGTACGCTCTCCAATGGCCTGCGGATGTCATAAACTACCATTTGGGAATGGTTTATACCACCCATAAAATGCTGATTGAAGGGGGATGGTGTTTACTATTGTTTTACCCAACTTTTTTCAAGAGACTTGACATATTTTTCGTTGATTTTTCCATTGGCTACTGCCATGTTTGTCATGGCAAAGGATTCCAAAAACGGCGCGCTCGAAGAGTGAACTCGGCTCGACGTCTGGGATTCACCGCCAGGTGCGCACTGAGGTTGTAGTACTCCGAGCCCACAGCTCGCGTGAGGGCTTCCTGCGGCGGCATCCGGGACTCCACCAGGACTTCGCCAGGGATGTGTCGCCAGGGATGCTATTAGCGATCTATGCGATCTATGTAAGATCGCTAAAAATCCCATTTAATCCCATGAAATCCCTGATTCCTGGAAAACAACACATATAGAACCAGCAATGTTTTTTCTTGGTGTTTCTTCCTATAATGATCCTTGGTAATTGGATATAAGTCGTTTCTACCAGTGGCTTATGCAATAATCCATGAGCAGCAGATCTTCCACTTCCATCACACAACCGGATGCACTAGCCGACCCAAATCTAGGTTAGGTTGATGTCAGCCCAAAATATTCAAGAGTCATTCCATGATCCACTGGCTAACTATCAATAATCATCCCAACCCCCAGCAACCCATCCATTCCCTACGTAAAACGCACCAGTAAGGATCAGGATTTAAAACTCAGGATTTGCCATCCACAAAACAGGCCATGGCACCGTGGGGCCTCTAAATCCAGCTGCATGGCTTCATGGCTGGTGAAAAACCTTGGCGATGTGATGTACGGAAATCAGGAGCCAACATGTTTTACTAAGTTAGGGGGTTCCTGCACATGTATGGCAATGTTCCCTTAAACCAAACTCTAGACTCTAGCTGAGTGTGGGGTGAAAAAGTGAAGGGAAAACCTTGGGGGCCATGTTTCATCGCAATGGATGTATATAATCATTCTCAAAGCATGAAGGTTGGTCTCAAATGTAGACGGACAAAAGAACCCAGGGGAAGTATTATATATAATTGTATGCGTATAATATATATATATATATATTATATATAATTCTAGTAGGAAACCTTTTGAACATAATGTTTCAGGAGTATTGACAAATCGAATGAGTTGGGGTCGGGGTCTAAAAGAACCTGTTTCCCAAAGTGATGCGCGTGGAAGACCAGTTTTTTCTTTGTTCGATAACCATAATTTCTAGAGCCTATATACCATATGCTTATTTAACAGTTCGCCATGGAAAATCCATCCATTTTTAAGAACGGTAAACCATCTATTTCTATGGGCCATCTATACCATGGCTATGTTAGTCATAACCAGAGGGTGTCACCGGCAGCGCCATCCCAAGATTCCAATCACAAACGGGGACATTGCTGTGATCTCAACGTGTTGGTTTCAACGTATTTCATCCGACAAAGGGTGACATACAGTGCTCAATGGATTGGTTTAAGGGAAAATCTACAGGAAACCATGGATTTTCCCATTAAATATGGGGTTTTCCTGTAAATGTTCCCTTAAACCAATCCATTGAAGTGCTTGGACCGTTCAACACTCTTCTCACTCCTCTCCAAACGAGAATGTACACCAAATGAAATGCTTGGACCGCCAGGCATTCTCTCGAGAAGTCCAGCCCACGATTTCTCCATACAAAATACGTATCAAAATCACCTAAATCATCCAGTCCCACCAAACAAAAACAGATACAAAAAAATCCAAACAACAACAAATATATATATATATATATACATATCATCAAAAAAAACGTCATGACATTTTTTAAGGACCATGGCCTTCATGGGCACCTCTCAAAACTCTCATTCCGTTGGCGCCCGGGCTCTACAGTCTCGGAGCTGATGCTTTTGCTCGAGATCGCCTAGGCACCGAGGGCTTCACCAAAGGAGGATAGGAAGCTTGGAGGACATATAAACTATATGAAGTATTGGAATATATTGGAATATACTGGAATATTTGGATTATACTGGAACTATATAAACTATTGGAACTATTGGTACTGCTTAGACCTTAAATTGATGGAACTAGACAAACTATTGGAATCGTTGCAGGATGTTAGAAAGAGGCATTTATTGGGTATCTTCTCCGTCAATCCGAAAAACTTCATGAACGAGCGCGGGTTGGCACCAAAAAACAGCCCATAGACATTGGGTACAGTACCCAAATGATTGAGTGAGAGTGCCCATGTATACATATGTATATATATATAAATAAGTATATATCATCTGTATCTGAACATGTATATACATATATATATATATATATACAGATATATACAGATACAAATGATATATATAAATAAGAATCAAACATGTATATTATAGTATTATATATAATGTATATGTATATGTACATATGTAAATCTACATGTATATATGTAAAAAAAGTTTATGTAAATGTGTAAAACATGCATATATAAATTATAATATATTAATATATATAGAGAAATATTTACATATGTATATACATATGTAAATATATTAGATGTAAACACACATATATATATATATGTGTATATATATACATCTACATATATATATATATATGAAGATAATGCTCTATAAATTTGAACATCCCAAGTCCACTCCCCACTTTACTCTTCCGAAAAAAAAAATGTTGGTTACGTTCGGTTATTCATATACACATAAATACCCTCTGGTAAACTAACATAACTATGGAAAATCACAATTTTAAATGGATAAATCAACTATTTCTATGGCCATTTTCAATAGCTTTTTGTATGTTTCCCAGGCCGGGTATCATAAATGAGTGCCCTTACCCTTTCCACGTTGATTCACCATGCAGTTCCTGTACCTTGGCATCCTCGGTGTAGCTGCCGAACTGCTCCGATGCTTTCAGGGACTCCACCTGGTGCCGGTGCCAGGCGGATATGATGGGAGAACATGCATGGGAAATATCTTGGAACCACTAAATATACATGAAAAGTCGGTCGAAATATGTTGAGGAATGGGAATATGATGGAATATGTTGAGACACCACATGAGATATGTACCAGCAATTTTGCTTTAAATGATACTAGTAATTTTGATGGCAGCTGAGACACCAGCTTGAGATGACATGACCTTGTGGATCACCCCCATTGAAAATCATTGAAATCAGTAACCGTTGGCTGCCGTGCCAATCTCTGGCAGCAAATTGAAAGGGGGGTGTTTTGTGAAGGCATGGTGACACTTGACACAGATGAACACATGTAGTATTGTAGCTGGTTCACTGGATTGGTTTAAGGTAAAATTTACAGGAAACCATGGTTTTTACCATCAAATATAGGGCTTTCCTGTAAATAGTCCAATAATCCAATTCTATGACTGGTTGGTGGTTTTAACCATCTTGAAAAATATTAGTCAAATGGGATTATATTGTTCCCAACATATGGAAAAATATAACATGTTCCAAGCCACCAGTAGTGTATTGTATAGATACCAAATGGCCTCCCCCCTTTTTTGGCTGATCTTCGATCGAAAATTCACTCGTCATCTCACCCGACAAGCCCTTTTTGAAGGCCACCTTGCAGGACCGAACTCCTTTTCCAAAGCCTTTTAGTTGTTTGTTTGGGGGTCCACATGGGTCATTAAATGTCCCCATTGAACATCACCCAACCATTAGGTATATGGTCTACTAGATGGCTACTATAAGGTGATGTCCAATATACCCAAAATGGGACAGTTACCAACCCCTGGTCCATGTTTTATCACAGCAAATCACAGTGTGAATATGTGTGAATTCTGCAATACTCTCAACGTACAAATAATATCAAATCATGGGATGCTTCTTCCAAATCTCAAAACATCAACTCACAACATCCAAAACATGCTGCAGTTTCCCAAATATGTCGACTTTGCCGTTGAAGCCGTTGGCATCGTTGGCTCGCCCTCATCGCTGAGCTTCCTACTGTGATGCTTCGCAGGCCGTGGTCGTGGTCCCCACTGGCTGCATAGCCGCGGAGGAAGTTCAAGGTGGCCGCCGAGTGCCAATAACCTGGCATTCGCTTAATGAATGGTCCATTGGTCTATTGGTCCATTGGTTGATTAAGGTGAATCATTGGCAAAAAATGGATTCATGGATCTGGGAGATTGAATGTGTGTTTCGATGTTTTTTCCCGAAAACTGACATCGCTAAGGAAACATAGCCACCATTGGGGATTCAGTGGGGTTTCCATGGGATTAGAATGGTATATAATGGTACATAGTGGGAATATAACCAGCAATACCATCTAGCAATAAGTAACATTTTGCGACAACCAACCAGAAAAAAAAAATATTGCAACCTTAAGCATTTGATGAGTTTGATCAGATCAGATTGACACTGATTGTCGGTTTCACAAAGCCCCTGCTTGTGTACAAAACATAGCTCACACTCCGGGTGTCTCAGAGGTGGTCATGATGAGCGTAATGTCCAACAACGCATTCAGTTGCTTTGATGACAACCTTTTCTCCCATGAAAAAAGGCCAGTTGGCTATATCCATCCGAGAAACGGGCACACCCCATTCCGATTGATCACAATGTTAGTACAGCAAAAAATGATCCACCCATATTTTGATGGTTGTATTCCCACCAAACGTGATAAACATTGTAACTTTCAGGATGGTGGATCTTATTGCCTAACATTAATAGTGGAACCCCTTTAATAGGCAAGTTGGTGAAGATAACTCCAGTTTCACTATGTTTTACGATACGTACTCTATTCATGGGGTGAAACTAACCAAAAAAAAAATCCGTGAGATCCCATCAAGCCTATGGGTGGATGGGTGAAACTAAACCAACTATAACCAACATAGACAGATATATATATATATATAATCTCTATATATATATATATATGTATATGTAGAATCTATATATATATATATATATTGAGATATATAGATTGGGAGGTTATAAACCACACCAAGTGTGGGGCCCCAGGGCCCCAGCTGCACCTAGTAGCAGCCTCTCTGGGTCCCACTTGCGATCCTTGGGGTCAAAACCTGGGCATGACGGCGTGCGGGCAATGTAATTACAAAGATCCAAACAAATATGTAAAACAAAAATAAACACACACACACACACACACTGCACATATATATATATATATACAGTGTATATATATATATATACAGTATATATATATATATATATACAGTATATATATATATATACCACTAAATAAACAAGAAAACAACAAACACATTAACACAACAACTTTAGAATTTTTACTTATTACGCACCCGGGCCGTTGATGTTGTCGCCCTTGAAACTCATGATCTCACCGAGGCCTCCCATGGTCCAAAAAGGGGCATGGAACTCGTTCTGCGCATGGGGAAAAAGGTCCACAGAAAAATCTGTGATGTTCCTGGTTTATGATGGTTAACCTGATTTATGATGGTTAACCTGGTTTACCGATTATATAAATTATATATACATATAAACGTGGTGATTTTTCATAGCACACCGTTGAAAAAAACCAGAGGATAGCATGAAAAATTGCTGACATTTTTCGTATAGAACTCCCAAAACGATAGAGAGAGAAACAGAGAGAGGTAACATCCTACTAAAATAGTCACAAATCATGGTGAAATGCGTTCATATCTCTTCAAGGGGCACTACGCCTTACCCAAAAAACTGCTTTAGTGGGATAGGTTCCAGTAATGACAACCAAGTGGCTACAACCATTCAGCAAGATTTGCCCGCTGCGGATATAACATAGATCCCCCCTTCGAAATGACCAATCAGTCTATACCCCACTGCACCTGAAACCACCGTCCCATCGATGAACATGATCAAGATCACTAAGTCACCAAATCCACTCATTAAGAAGCAATTAACATCACTTACCCTTTACCCACTCAGTGTAGCAAGCCCCTAAAAGATACAAGTTTCAAAAAATCGGCCCATTAGTTGAACTTGGAGGTTGCAGGGTTACTCACGAAACTTACCCTTTGGTAACATAGCTATGGAAAATCTGTATTTTCATAGCTAAATCATCAAAATAAATGGCCCACAGAAAAATATGCTGATGTACATATTAAACATGATTGATGTTCCGTAGCTGTGTTATATACGTATACATTATGGCTGACACAACAATTAACAGATATAAATGGCCTGTTCCAATAGGTTAATCACATCACCAATGTCATTTATGTAGTATAATGAATATGTATATATATTAAATTATATTATATATAATATGGTATACAAGGGGGTGCCGTTTCACCAGCAATCGCCTTCCACCACTTCAGTAGGTTTGGACCGGGGCTTGCCATATTGACCTACGCGTCTAGGGCCGTGACTTGGGGATGGAAAATACATGGAATAGCAGTTGGTGGCAGCTGATGGTTCATTGGGATTCACGAAGATTTTTACTTGGTCAAGGATATTTTTCTGAGGATATGATCAGACTGTGCTTTGCAGGTACGATTTTAATTTGTTCTATGACCCCCCGCCCCCAAAAAAAAACATATGGGCTATACTTCCTCACATCCAATTGAATAGATGCTGACAAAATTGTTGGAAATGGCCCGCTTCCAGAAGCGGCCATATTATAAGTTTTGCAGATGGGAATATGGAGATTAATCTAAACCCTGGCACGCGAACATCGAACAGCAAGCAAATTGATGTTAATATGTCAATGTCAATCAAGAAAAAACATGTTTCGAGCCATGCCCCATATAACTTTGTAATCTTTCTCCAAACCGGTGAGCATCCCATTCATTGAGGATCATCATGTTCCCTACTAGCAATCGCCAAGCGCCGGGAGGCTACGTCAGCATTGATTGGGAGCGCCTGCAATGCGGCAAATCTTGCCGGTGGGCCTCAGTACTTTTTTTGGTCGTGGAATGTCGTGGCTGGTCTGTGCTATGAAGATGGATTCTTTTCCGAGAAAACCAAAGAAAGTGTAGATCTACGGTGCTTCAAACATCAATTTTCATTTTTTTTTGGTAACCCGTTATTAACATGTATTAACATTTATTAACATTTATTAACACTTATTAACCATATATAACCATATCACTTTATTAACCAGTTATTTCAAATCACTTTATTCAATCCACTGGTTTGATTGAACAGTGACTCAACCACAGGAGCCACCAGTTTATCGATGGGGTTGGCCGTGATGAATCACTGTCATCAAAATTGGCAGTTGTCCCTAGCTATAACAAAACAGGGCTTGATTGATCTTGGCTTATTAATCAAACAGCTGGGGGTTGGTTAGAATTGGACCTGGATGTCCCAAATACGACGTGCATCCAACCAAGACTTTTCAAACAAACTCTATGGCTTCTGCTGCTTTTTAATTTCGACTGATGCACGGCGCTCATGACGGCATCTTTGAGTCTGTGGCTTGCCGCTGATATGCTCCACAATCATGCCTGCGCATGAAGCGGCGGCGCGCCCTCACCGACTTGGACGTGCATCCCACTTAGAGGTAATGTAAACATATAAATGCCAGTGTTTATCCGAAAGAAACTCGTTTATGTGGTCAGTACCCTCCAGTACATGTACATTTAACATATGTTCACACACGCAGCATTTGCGGATCATTTATCTGATGGGATTTCCATATCTACCCTCTGGTAATTTAACATAGCTATTGAAAATGGCCATTTATAGTGAGTTTTCCCATTAAAATTGGTGATTTTCCATAGTTTTTTGTATGTTTACCAGAGGGTATGTCCATTCTAAGTCCATGAAAATCTACCACAATTCCCTTATCCCAAGCCGCATCCCAACCCATCTGCAGAATCAGCTTCAACTGTGTCTCGAGGCCTCAACGGTTTCGACAGAGGAACTCTCTGAAAGTTTGCCTTTTTTTTTGCAACTCCCAAATCAGCAGAAATGTCAAATCCTATTGGAAACAGTGGCAAACATATGACTTTTCCAACTTTTTGGTGTTCCTATATACTCTACATTGATAAATGTTGAACTCACACCTCTCAGGCATTCCTGTGCCCCGAGCCCTGCTTCGATGATGTAAGCCAACACCAGACCAGCTTCTGATCATCTGACATATGCTCTGCAAAATTGCAAGTTTAATCCCATGCATGAATGATTTTACCCATTGGCAATGATGATGTTCCAATATGTTCCGTAGCTATGTTATATAGTACCAGAGGGTACCTTTTTAAAATGGCTTAAAGGAATTCAGCCCTGGATTGATAGACCTCGGCCCATCCGACTTTGATTATTCCTGGGTTGGTTTTGCCCATGTTTTTGTTGGGTGAAACGCCGCGTATTACTGGCGAATCCGCACCTTTGATGGATAAGTTCACATGGATTTTGTTCAACCCATGGCATTTGAATATGTGTTCAATGGATCATGAATCATGATATAATGATAGATCCACACTTATCGTTGTTTGTTGTCCCTACTTTGCATGTGCATGAAATCATGAAATACCCTCCACTAAACTAGCACAACTAATGCACAAGTATCGAAACCATGGCCCATTTCATTGTGGATTATTTACCTATTAACATGGCGATGTTCCAGCTATCTTAATTTACTGCAGGTTAAATCATCGCTTTTCTGGCATTCCACTGGGGCCGCACACGGCCACCCTCGCAGTCCAGGAACCGTTCGGCCTTGGCTACGTTTGGATGATTTTGGGGGACATGTAGGCAATAGGTAAATAACTATAAGTTCATAAGCCTACAATGTGGGCCCCCCCAGTTATAAGTTGGTTTGTAAACCCCAACAACACTATAGTTCTAAGTAATTCTAAGTACGTATCATAAACATTCATAAACCACAGTGAAATTGGAGTTGTATTCATCAACCTAGTGATTTCGTAAACGTCTGTCCCACTTTGTAACTATATGGCAATGGTAAGTCCATTGAAGACAGAACGTGTTTCCAGGATGATAGTTTGATGATATGTGTAATTGCCTCAGACTCATATCGATTTTCTCTGATTTTCTCAGGTCAACTTTCGGCATCTTCATATAGGGGTTGCTATGGTGGATCCTGGTTGTCGAGCCCCCGGTGAAAATCTCAGCATCTTTGGGGATCCCTCTCTCCGGGAATAGTTGAAACCACACGCAAAAAGAAGTCACACATTAAGACCTCCAGGTTACCCATTTACCGTACAGTACCCATCTGTGCATTTTCAGCTGTCGTTTCGAAGGGGTTCCCTGGCGCAGTCACCGCCCTGCACGATAAAGCGCTCACCGCGGCCTGCCTGACACTTGGGGATGATCGTTAAATCCGGCAGATTTTAGCCAGAAAAAAGTTGGCCTTCACCTTCACCAAGCCCAAACGTTTCAAATCTCTCAAAACAGAACTTTAAATCCAACATCCAACAATTAACAACATGAGTGATTTGTTTGACTAATTACACAAATGGAGGATTTCAGAAAGAAATATGGAATGTAAGTGCTAATAGCACTTGGATTTTGGACCAAACATGAGGGATTCAATGATCTTAAATACAACCAACCTAATGACCTAATGCTGGATTTTCCTGCATGGGCTGATTGTGCCGAAAAATTGAGGTTTCCCATTGCTCAAGGCAAATGATAATCTATCCGAAAGACCCCAACCTGATGGCTCATTGTTTGACTCTGATTCCGATTCCCCTACTTAGTAATCTTTATGTAAACCAAATTAAACTTCTGGATTTCGTCGAAAATCCGGATGTACCCTCAAGTAGTTTTTCTGGTTTATATACGTTGTTTCCTCGTTCAAAGTCCATAAACGATCTTGGCATCGTATAGCGAAGGAGCTTGCCCCGAGGGCCTCTGCCAGAAGCGTTTTCAGGCGATCGCATTCCTTCGGCTGAACCTGGGAGTTGTGGATCTTCCTCTGGAAGATGGGGGATATAACATGGATATAACATGGATAATATATAACTGCACATGGTAATAGATAATATGTGTGTATATAAATATATGGATAATATATTATGCAATGTATATATATATAATATTGATGGATAATATGATATAATATGTGTATTATTTGGATAGTAAATGATAGTAATATATGGATAATACTGAATTTTAACCAGCAATGGTGAAGAATGGTAACTTACCAGGAAGGCATAAGTTAGGGGACTCTTCTGAATGGAACCCTGGGGATTCACCAGCAAATTTATGGAAACATTGAGGATACAACATGGATATTTGGATAGTAACGGACAATATCTAGCACTATTGAATTATGGAAACTCATGAGTTTTAGCCAGTTTTTTTTTTTCACAATCCGTCGTATGATAATATAATTATAGTTATAAATATATTATATTCACACCCGAAGACATGAAAGGAGGCAAATTTCAACCTCAAAGAACTTGAACAAGCTCAGGCTCTTTACCTGGTGGGGTACCATTTTAATAGCATGTGACATCACCATGTGGGGGGTACCCCCAATTCTTAATTCACCAGGGTTGATCAATCCGGGATTGACATACTGAAATGAATTAAACATGTTAACATGCTGAAATATCCATCCCAATTCATGTTTGTTAGGAAGGCCCTCCTTCCATCATCTATCTTTCAATCATGCTGATCTATAATCAGGGCAGGCCATGGCAATCCTTCTGGTCCCCAGGGGGGGTCATCTTGAACAAAACAACTCAAGAATGATCCCGTGGCCAATCCTTGAGAACCAGGGCTAGCTCCAAAGACCACAGCTACAATTTGGAGGTATAAAAATTGGATAAATGATGATAAATACATAGAAATGACCAATTTATAATAGATACATATTATATATATAGATAGACCAATAAAATAGATACACACATATATATATATATATATGATAAATTTATATATCCCTCTTCTGGCTATCATTTCCCATGAGGCCATGGGATCTCGCACCAAAGGGGGCAGCTTTTGCAACTTCGCCAAAACCTCGGTTTTATGTGAAAAAAACCGATAGGTCGCTTATCTATCCTGGGCTAAACAGTTGCCTCTGGTTATGACTAACATAGCCATGGAAAATAGCCCATTTATAGATGGTTTACCTATTAAAAACTGTGATTCATCTAACTGTTTAGGAACCCTAATAACATCAAAAACTGTTAGGAACTGTTAGTTATGTTTAGTTCCTAATCGTTATACTAGGAAATTAATCTACAAACACTGGCTTTTCCAGAGTTTTGTACGTTTACAGATCGGGTAACAAATAACGCCTCCAATGTCTTGACCGATATATTCCGAGAATCGGATGAATGGAAGCATTCTGTTGCTCCCTAGACGGTCTTGGGAAGCAACGTTTGGTGTGCACTTGTAACAACTCTACAACGGTTTTCTGTATGAAACTTGCACTTTGTAGGCCAAAGCAGAATAATGCGTACGCTTTTATGAGTGAAGTCCCCATGTTGTCCGATTATATTTCCACTATATCTAACTTTAGATGAGTTTAAATCCACATTTGTTCACTAGTTCACTAGTTCTGTGAGCTCCTTATGGCTTAAACATGCTCAAAGCAACATGTTTCAATGCCCACAAAGGCCCCAGATTGTGCAAATGGCCTTGCTGGCCAAGGCTTTGTCCTCCCACTCTGCCATCTGGTGCTTGGGAAGGGACCTGGCAATCTGGAGGAAACCCATGGGATTTTCCCATGCCAATCCATTGCTGGGTGAAGTTTGTCAAAGAAACTGATGTACTGATGTTCATCCGGATATTACATATATATATATATAAATATATATATATATAAATATATATGTAAATATATATATATGTTTATATATATATATGTATATACATATATATATACATATATTACTATATAATTAATTATAATTATATAATATATATAATATATATATTATATATATATGACATTCCGTTGGCAGCCACTCAATCGAATACTAGCAGGATGTCGCAATGTAGCAATAATCATCAACCCAACGAGTATATAACATGTATCATCAACCTGGTGTCTGAGCAACTCCCAACAAACACACCTCCCAGCCGCCCCAAGTCCCAACTGAACCTCCATGATTCTGGGCTCCAGGGAGTCCTAGGATATGAAATGCAGAAGTTTGAAGGCTTGAAACCATGAAGTACATGCATGTCATGCCTAAGAATTTGATAATCAGCCATAGTACAGCCATTTCTTTGGGCCTGACCTGACCAAGGATTTGTGTGGCTGGTGAACTTTCATATTATCAGTTGTATGAAAACTGTGGGTCTTCGTTCGATATTCATCTCAGTCTCAGTCAGCCGCCGCAAGACTTCAAATCCCTTCCCCATGACTTAGGCTTTGACATGGCCAGCACCAAGCTCACAAAATCCTTGCCAGCCGGTCAAGGGTCAGCAACCATGCCAGGAGTTATTTACATTTCAATGATGGGTCAAAATCATGGATGATGCACCAGCAAACTATGCATACTTATGGATATTTATGGTGGGCATGACGTTTAATTTTGTTGGACCTTGTAACTTTGGAACAACACGCATAAATGGGGAAGGGGGGGGCCTTCCTGTGATCGGGCCGGCCACGATGAACCCCGCGCGCCCGGCGCGCGGATCAAAAATCACTTGGGCCAAAGCCTGGAATTCACGTCTTGTTCCAAAATATTGGCTGGTTGGTGGTTTCAACCCCTCTGAAAAATATTAGTCAGTTGGGATGATTTTTCCAATAGATGGAAAAATAAAAATGTTCCAAACCTCCAAAATATTGGTGAATTTTCTGAGGGAAACCGTAGGATAACAATATGTTTGGGAAAACCTTCCCTAAGTGCAGTCTTACTATGTCTGATTGGCATTTGCACATCTAGAAGAGAAACCATGTCGATGAAATAATTCGTGCTGGGAATCCTCAATGTTTGGGGCTAAAAAACTTTTGTGTTAATTACATAATTTCCCTGATATTGACATAGCAACATTGTTTTATGTCACTGCATACTCGGTTAGGGATCATAGGGGCGATTGGTAAATTTGAGGCACATTAGAATCTCAACTAGGAGTAACTAGCATCTGCAAGACAGCCGTAACCCACAAGTCAAATTGTGCTTCGGAGTTTTTTGGAATGGCAGCATTCAAAGTTCCAGAACGCAAGCCACTCTTATCATTGACCACATGTGTCCTGAACTTTTTGGGGGATTGCCCAGAGAGAACCAGGTAGCATGCACAGCCAATTCCAAGTGGGCCATCAATAAGAAACCTGAGACAAACACATAGAAAAGACTAGACCATGAAAAACCTGTACCTCCAAGTCACTTTGGGATCCAAACCAACATGTTTTTGCTGATTTTGTGTCTCCCCTCTTTCTTTTTGCGGAACGTTCTTGCGCCCAGCACATCTTTTTCCTTCCCCGCAAGGTCCGGCCTTTCAGCCTCATGTTGTTTTCACTTTACGCATGGAAATTTGAAGCCCCGATTCCAAAGGGGCACGGCACAGCTGACGCCTCCCAACTGGTAGTCATAGGACGCCGTTGGATCGGCCTCGCATCTTCAGGACGACTTGGAGCGGAAGTCCGTTGGATCTGCTCCTGCCGGTGTCATCAGCTGGCTCTAAAATCTCCCATCCAGCTATAATTCAAGGATTTTTCAAATCAAAACCCTCCAGTGAGTTTGGGGATTTCCCAGCCATGTCCTTCGAGATCATCTGATAGTGCTCGTAGACAAGAGTGGGGGGCTCCAGTTTTGTCCTCCGGAGGCTGCGATGGGCTGTCCACTTTCGAACTTACAACGGATCTATAGGGGGATTCATTCAAAAACAAATATGAAAGAGACCAGTGATATGGAAGCCACGCAAAATGGATCTGCAAATGTCTGCAGGACGATTTGCGGAAGAAGAGCTTGAAAACGGCCATTGCGGGCCTCTCAAAATCCAGGAACCTCCTTAACTCACCGGTCGGCTGCGGAAAATCCACTCATCGCCTGCCGAGAGATGGTTGAAGGTGTTCGATGGGAAAATCATTGAGGTACATGGGTACTTTCCAGCCATGTTTGCTGATACCCGCGGGCAAAACACACATCCGTATATAATATTATATATATATATACATATGCATATACATACACACACATATATATATATATATATGTATTGTATGTATGCATGTATGTATGTATGTATGTAATGTATGTAATGTATGTAATGTATGTAATGTATGTAATGTATGTATGTATGTATGTAATGTAATGTAATGTAACGTAATGTAGTGTAGTGTAGTGTAGTGTCGTGTAATGTAATGTAATCTAATGTAATGTTATGTAATGTATGTAATGTAATTTATGTAATGTATGTATGTATGTAGTGCAATGTAATGTAATGTAACGCAATGCAATGCAATGTAATGTAATGTAAATGTAAATGTAAAGTAATGTATATAATGTAAATGTAAATGTAAATGTAAAGTAAAGTAAAGTAAATGTAATGCAAATGTAAATGTAAAGTAATGTAATGTAATGTAATGTAAATGTAAAGTGATGTAATGCAACGCAATGCAATGTAATGTAAACGTAAAGTAAAGTAATGTAATGTAAATGTAAATGTGAAATAATGTAAAATATTGTGTATGTAAATGTAAAGTAATGTAATGTAATGTAACGCAAATGCAAATGTAAATGTAATGTAATATAATGTAAATGTAAAGTAATGTAATGTAATGCAATGCAACTCAATGTAAATGTAAATGTAAATGTAAATGTAATGTAATGTAAAGTAATGTAATGCAATGTAATGTAATGTATGTATGTATGTCCGAAACCATGGTTGAATCATTATGAATAATGACTATTCTTTGGATGAAGACCCTCTTCAGGTGATGTTTCTCAGAAAGCTCCTGCTATTTCGAACCCGATTGGATCAACCAATCCTCCGGCTCCACATCTCCTGGCGGGATCATCCTGCCAAGCATCCATGACTGTATTCTGATGACCTTCCACATTGTGAAGGGATACTTATCCTGATGGCTTTGCCATATCCCATGTTTGTGTTGGGTAAGTTATGCACTCTTCGTTCAGTTAGTGGATGAAATCCTCATTCTGTCTGACTTAAAACGCTCCATCATTATTTTGTGGATTCAACCTCGTTCAACCATTTGCAGTGGGTCAATCCCAATTAGGCTGTTGAAATTCCATGAAAATCCAGCTGGTATATCAGGATGCCTTTCTTTCTAGTGGGTAAAACCGACCATGAGCAACAACTTGTTAGTCGGGAAATCCAACATTTCAGTGGAAACTTGGACACACTTGTAATTGAACCGTTTTTTGACATGGAACATCACCATTTGTTGGAGGTAAATCCTCTGTAAACGGACCATTTTCCATCGCTCCCCACGGTCACCGCGGAACCGTCGCCTTGCTCCTCCCGCTGTGTCTGCAACGGAACCGCTTGGGCGACACGTGGCGCGGCAAGGGACTCCTTGACCTGAGAAGTCGGATATCGCGATTGGTTGGTGAATATCACTCCCATACTTGTGGTTTATGAATGTTCATGATACCTATAACATCTACTAGACATATATAGTTGCTTAGGATTTGAATGGGGTAATAATAGTGTATAACCATATATAACCATCATTCCATAGTAGGACAGTCACGAAATCTACGGGATCTAAAATCAACGTTTTACTACCGTGGGATAAAATGCAAATACCTTCCAGAGGGCGGCACAATACTGTGAAATCGCAAGGGCTTCAGTTGATTTTTTACCATGAGACCTGGAGTTTACCTACCAAAGATACAAAAAGATGTGGAAAACCTACCCTGAATGTAGATCAGTTTGGGAAAAAGATCGGAATCCTAAGCTTTCCCCATTCCCCCAGGCTACCTTTCCGCAGAATCCCCAGGGTTTCCGGTGCCGCCGCCGTTTTCGCAGACTGAGCTGCCATGGAAATCACCGCTCTCCAAGAAACGGACTTCGGGTCTAAAACCTGTCCGAAACTGGGACTCAGCCCTGGGAGCCCCCAACATTAACGAGCTCAAGACTTGGTTATCCTAGAAAAATTGGGAGCTTGTGATATAGTGGGAATATTTTCGACATAATCCCATCTAGTAATGGTAAGCAACAGCATGTTACATGGAGAATCACCACTTTGATAGATATATTATAACCCATGGGCCATGTTCTGTATAACTATGCAAATTACTGGGGGTTGTAAGGGCTCGGTAAGGGCTTATGAGTGCCTATGAGCCATCTATCATTGGGGTATGTATACATATATATATATACATAATATTATATGTTATTTATTTAATTATATTTAAAATCCACAGCACTAAAAACCAATCCCCAAGTTGACCAGAATTGGGTGAGTATTGCAGTAACCACACTTTACTTCAGTCGCTGTGGTTTCACAAGTCAATCGAGTTCCAGGCTGTTGCAGCTATGCACATCAAAAACAACCGACAGTGTCAATACCAAGATGTATAGCATTGTGAAACTACATACATACATATATATATATATATACATGTGTGTGTGAATTAATGTATGCATAAATATGTGTATATATATATATATGTGACAGGATATATACATAACATTATATAATGTATATCTATTTATACAAAAGGATCCAGTAATTAGATGCCATCCAATTACTCAAAGTGAGTTGTCTGACTGGATCTGCAAGCAAGTGACCAACAGATTCTCGAGCTCTCTGTCATGACATGAACACAGTATACCAAAAAATATGCTTACATATACTGTAAGTAAATAAACAATATATATCACACTTGCATATACATTTACAAACATGTACACACACACACGTGCATATATATATATATATACAATTATGAGTGTTTGTTAATTGTTATATTATTATTATTGTTATCATTCTTGTTGTTGTTACGAGTATTATGTATAAAGTAAATAATATACATATATATATATATATATACAGTATACATACACCTGTGTGTGTGTGTGTGCTCCCCTGCGGCCTCGTAATGGCCTTCGTCCAAGGCCATGTGGAGCTCACAGGGCACCCTGGCGCAGGTAGAGGAGACCTAGCCCGATGCCGCCATGGCCGGTGCGGGGTTTCCATGGTTTTCAAAGTAGCTTAACAATAACCTGGTTTAATAAGGCTGGCTATGGTTTAACCATGAATTATACATTACGAGCTTCCATGGTTTAATATCCTTAATAGCTGCTGAATAAGAGTTGATGACCTTGATAACCCTTATGTTCAACTTATGTTTTTAGGTTTTTGTTTGATTTCAATGAGCATGATACTAAACTGTATTAGTTGGTTGATGGGATGTGTCTTTCAAAAATCCTAAACATGCATGAAACCCGCGAAAGCCAAAGGTTATGGTCGATGTTAACTACATCTTAATATCTAAGTGAACACATATTCGAATATGTGCAGGCAATACCTGAAAACCTACTTTTGTTTACCCATTGTAAGTTGTAATAAGTTGTGTATGTAGTCTGTACATAGTTTGCGCGCATATTCTGCCGGACTTGCCCCGCAAAAAAAAAAAACAGGATGTTTCAGGTCCCGCTGCAGGCTGCAGTTGCTGACTCCAAGATGGGGTTTAACGTGGAATCACTAGACCTGAATCCTCAAGTTTGGTAGTGTAGTTTCAAGAAACCCTCATCGTTTGTTCTACGCCACTTACACTACTGATCAGAATGCTTGTGCATCACACCCCTCCCACATCCGCACCAAAAAGCGAACGCTCTGCTCAGGGGGAACCACGTCATCACGTTTCCCATGCACCAGTCCTGGCGCAGGGTTTCAGCACGGAGGATTCCAAGGGTGGCGCCGCTGCCGGCGCTCCCCAATTACAAGTTTGGTTTTTAAACGTCACTAAAACATGAAGGATAGAACGTTCTCTAGGTATATATATATATACACACCATAAATCCTACTTAATTTGAACACCAACTCAGCTAACGAACTGGGACAACAAAAGTCTACATTCCGTGCTTAAATCCTGATTCTTCATGGTTCAATTAGCATTTTTCATGAGTTCACTGTCCTATCCGCGCTCGAGGCACCGTGCCACGTGATGCTTCCTCTGGAGGCAGGGAATTCACCCGGCAGGGCGGCAACATGTCCTTGGGAAGCCAAGGTGGGGCTGTCAGAAGCTGTCAGGGGCTGTCAGGCCCCCCAAAGGATAGCGAAACCATTGGAAAATCGTGATCTAACCAATGAACCAACAAAACATGGGAAGTTCCGACCAACAAACATGGGAATTTCTTCATGGCATTCATAGCGGACTTCTGATAACTCAGCTGCTGAACACAACTTCAATAACGTTTGAGGTTGCCAAGTAATATAAGCAACACTATAGCTTTCAGGCAATAACTAACAGATTGACAGTTTGATACAGTTTGCGACATGGAAAATTGCCATGCAAATACTTGGTGGATTACTTATAAATCGGCGATGACTTGCATAGACATGTAGAATAAATTAGCACTTGGTCACTAGCGTTTTCGAGAGCCATGCATAAGGCGGGGCCGCCGAACGATGACATACGATAACTAAGTTGGTTTCTACAAAATTGTAATTTGTAAATGCTAAATGTCTATAACTTCAATAACTACATAGGGATTGTGGCAAGTATAGTTATTGTACGCCTTATAGCAACTTATAATCGGGCGGGGACCCAACTTGTAGGGAGGCCAATGGGAGTCATCTTCAGCAAATCCAGGCATCAAAGGTACAATGCGGCCCCCTCCCCCCAGCGATGCTTGAAGCTTGTTGGAATATGAAACCTCATCGACTATAGAAAAAAAACAAATACTTATTGGAGTTATGTTCGACAACTTAGCTATCGTTGGGGGCCCCACTTTGTATGGTGTACTACAATGTTTACACAAAAACGTGTTCAACTACACCGATCATGCTTCGGTATGCTAAACACTAAACACAACCATGCACCACAGCATCGATAGGCGACACTTCTCGCTTCAACGAACTCACGTCGCGATACCTAAAGAGAGCACGCACTGGCTGGTCCTTTTTGGACCATTTCCCCACTTGGGTGATCCTTGAAGTTAGTTAGTTGGCGGCCCACTGGGTAGAATCCCCTCGTAACTGGCGGCCATAACAAGTTACAACCCAGTCAGGATGAATCCATGGATCATCCAGTCATCATGTTCAGTCAGCTGTGGGTTCCTGATGCCCAGCTGGTCAACTGTTCAACTCTGGTTCAACCCAAGCTGCGGCTGCTGAATCTCACCGGCGGAACTTGCTGGGTATCACGGGTATCACCGCACCCGCATTGTGTTTTCAAATTGCATCGTGGTAAAAGAAAATACTGTGGTAAACCCAATAATGATAACAATTTAATACCACCTATAAATAATATATAAATTGATGTTTTAATGGGGAAATCAACTATACATCTATAAATTGTGCTTGATTTCAGAAACCATAACCCGTTTCGTTCCATGATTTACCCATGAATTTACCCATTAAAAGTGAAAATTTTCCATGTCACAACCTGTGACTGATTATTATCAAACGGCATTGTTGGTTGGTTAAATTCCCACGATGTTCCATTCTAACCGCAAGGAATCCCATCCTGAAATGGTTTGGAAAAACCTGGAAAAACCAACAGCATCTTGCGAAAAGGTGCCCCAAGAAGCGTGCCACAGCTCCAGCACCACCGCCCAGCGCCTCCTCGTCCGCATAGCACAGGTCCAGGACGCCCCCTGCGCTGATCACAGCGCAGGGCTCCGGCGAGGCGCCAGGCGACAGTTGCGACCAGAGCCTGGGATGTGGTGAAGCCATCTGCCATTGTTGGAGCATAATGGGAGCATGCAATTTGTGATCCAGACATGTTCCCAGAACTTTCAGGGAAAACATTTTAATAGTCACTGATGGCTGATGTTTTGATTTTGCGTGTGAGTAGCTGGAGCCCTTAAGAGCCGGTTGCCCCGGTGCGTGCCCTCATGTCTGGTAGCTGTGCTCATAGCTATCCAGCTTGGGTGGTGTGAGTGGTGTGTGGGCAGAACTTGGTGATTCACAGGTTTAAAATGACTTGACTAGAACATGTCCGGATATATCCAGTAGATTTTCCTTAAAAAACCAAAAAATAATGAGTCAAAATCCGCATGACCAGCTCCCCAGCTTCGACCCAAGGAGCGCCAAATGACCTCCGGCAGAATGCCCCACCAGCGCCACTGGAAGGCCCTCCAGAGTTGAACTGTGAGAACGCTTTGGGAACAAGGATATGGATGATCAAATCTATCTATTCAAATCTTTCTATCTTATCTACCTATCTATCTACCTATCTACCTATCTACCTATCTACCTATCTACCTATCTATCTATCTACCTACCTATCTACCTATCTACCTATCTACCTATCTACCTATCTACCTACCTACCTACCTATCTACCTATCTACCTACCTATCTACCTATCTACCTATCTACCTATCTACCTATCTACCTACCTACCTATCTACCTATCTACCTATCTATCTATCTATCTACCTACCTATCTACCTATCTACCTATCTACCTATCTACCTACCTACCTATCTACCTATCTACCTATCTATCTATCTATCTACCTATCTACCTACCTATCTATCTATCTAACTTATCTATCTACCTATCTACCTATCTACCTATCTACCTATCTATCTATCTATCTATCTACCTATCTACCTACCTATCTATCTATCTACCTACCTATCTACCTATCTACCTATCTATCTATCTACCTACCTATCTACCTATCTACCTATCTACCTATCTACCTATCTACCTACCTACCGATCTACCTATCTACCTACCTATCTACCTATCTACCTATCTACCTATCTACCTATCCACCTACCTACCTATCTACCTGTCTACCTATCTATCTATCTATCTATCTACCTATCTATCTATCTATCTACCTATCTATCTATCTACCTATCTATCTATCTACCTATCTATCTATCTATCTACCTACCTATCTACCTATCTACCTATCTATCTATCTATCTATCCATCTATCTGCCTACCTACCTACCTATCTACCTATCTACCTATCCATCTATCTACTTATCTATCTATCTATCTACCTATCTACCTATCTATCTATCTATCTATCTGCCTACCTACCTACCTATCTACCTATCTACCTATCTACCTATCTACCTATCTACCTACCTACCTATCTACCTATCTACCTATCTACCTATCTAACTATCTACCTATGTACCTATCTATCTATTCCTATCTATCTATTCCTATGTATCTATTCCTATCTATCTATGCCTATCTATCTATGCCTATCTTTCTATTCCTATCTATCTATTCCTATCCATCCATTCCTATCTATCTATTCCTATCGATCTATTCTATCTATCTATTCCTATCTACCTATTCCTATCTACCTATTGGAACCTATCTATTCCTATCTATCTATTCAAATCTATCTATTCAAATCTATCTATTCAAAGCTATCTATTCAAATCTATCTGTTCAAATCTATCTATTCAAATCTATCTATTCAAATCTACCTATTCGAATCTATCTATTCGAATCTATCTATTCGAATCTATCTATTCGAATCTATCTCTTCAAATCTATCTATTCACATCGATCTATTCACATCTATCTATTCAAATCTATAATCTATCTATTCAAATCTATCCATTCTAAAACTTTCTATTCAAATCTATCCATTCTAAACTATCTATTCAAATCTATCTATTCACATCTATCTATTCACATCTATCTATTCAAACCTATCTATTCAAATCTATCTATTCAAATCTATAATCTATCTATTCAAATCTATCCATTCTAAATTATCTATTCAAATCTATCTATTCGAATCTATCTATTCAAATCTATCTATTCACATCAATCTATTCACATCTATCTATTCAAACCTATCTATTCAAATCTATCTACTCAAATCTATCTATTCAAATCTATCTGTTCAAATCTATCTATTCAAATCTATCTAATTATCTATCTGTCTATCTATCTATCTATCTATCTACCTATCTATCTACCTATCTATCCACAGCATTTGGCTGAGGGCTAGGGAGCATTGCACTAGCGGCTTGCCATGGCTTTGCGAGTGCTGGTGCAGTCACACTTGATACTTGCTACCCCCTTTGGGATGTTCCCTGTGGACACTCCCATGACCATCCCAAGTGTAACTGCACCATCACTCGCAAAGCCATGGCGCATTGAGCCACCCTAACCCTCAGCCAAATGCTGTGGGGCCACAGCAATATGACTGAATGTGTGAGAAAAAAATCGCAGGCTGAAAAGTTTTTTCTCCACAGCACTTAAAAGGAGCATTGCCACTGCGACCAGACAACCAGAAAAATTTTTCAGCCTGTGAAAAGTCTTTTTCGCATATTTCTTCGGCCACTGCGTTTGGCTGAGGGCTAGGGAGCATTGCACTAGCGGCTTGCCATGGCTTTGCGAGTGCTGGTGCAGTCACACTTGATACCTGCTACCCCCTTTGGGGATGTTCCCTGTGGACACTCCCATGACCATCCCATGGCCATCCCAAGTGTAACTGCACCATCACTCGCAAAGCCATGGCGCATTGAGCCACCCTAACCCTCAGCCAAATGCTGTGGGGCCACAGCAATATGACTGAATGTGTGAGAAAAAAAAATCGCAGGCTGAAAAGTTTTTTCTCCACAGACTTAAAAGGAGCATTGCCACTGCGACCAGACAACCAGAAAAAAAAATCAGCCTGTGAAAAGTCTTTTTTCGCATATTTCTTCGGCCACTGCGTTTGGCTGAGGGCTAGGGAGCATTGCACTAGCGGCTTTCCATGGCTTTGCGAGTGCTGTGGGAGTGTCCAAAGGGGGTAGCGCTCCCAAGTGTGATTGCACCAGCACTCGCTCGCAAAGCCATGGCAAGCCGCTAGTGCAATGCTCCCTAGCCCTCAGCCAAACGCTGTGGCCGAAGAAATATGCGAAAAAGACTTTTCACAGGCTGAACAGTTTTTTCTGGTTGTCTGGTCGCAGTGGCTATGCTCCTTTTAAGTCTTGTGGAGAAAAAACTTTTCCCATCACTCGCAAAGCCATGGCGCATTGAGCCACCCTAACCCTCAGCCAAATGCTCTGGGGCCACAGCAATATGTCTGAATGTGTGAGAAAAAACTTTTCGCAGGCTGAAAAGTTTTTCTCCACCAGACTTAAAAGGAGCATTGCCAGTGCGACCAGACAACCAGAAAAAACTTTTCAGCTTCTGAAAAGTGTTTTCTGACCATTTCCCATTGAAAAGGTAAGCAAAAAGACTCACCTTGTAGCCAGTGAATTAGTTAAATCAACTCGTTAGTTTGCTAAGTCTCCCTCGTACCTCGTCTGGGCTCGCTCTAAACGGCAGATATATGTATACATCTTATATATATATATATTGGGTATGGGGGATTCCTGGAATAGGGGTACCCCCAGTCATCATCCAAGTCATGGGACCATTTTAGTATTGAAAGATATGGTGACTTGGTGGATCCCCCAGCTCCGAAGCCCTCCCTGCGAGGCTTGGTACCTGTGGGAAGTCCGGCGACTTCAGGAAGTGCAGGGCCGCAGTGATATCCTGAGCACTGGGTCACTTGACTCATGGATGATGAAATATGAATGTATAATAAATATTTATATATATATATATAAAAAAAACAGGACGATCATGAAAAGTTAGGTATGTTTATTTTGTTTAAAAAACATGTTTCATCACGCTTTAGTTTAATGTTTAAATGAAATTCCAATCCAGTATTGGTAAATAACTGATATTAACACATAGATGTTGATTGGTGGTTTCAAATATCTAATGCAGACGGAAGAATTATCATCTATCTGTAAATATAAATATATATATATGTTTATTTATTTATTGGTTTATAAATTTATTTAACATTTAAAAACACATGCAACAGATTGCCCAAACAGGCGCGATAGTTTCAGTTTCACCACATGTATAGCAAGTAAACTGGGACAGTTATGACCGTCCAGTAAAGATAGGACCTGTGCTCAACATCTTTGATCATAACCAAATGAGGTTTACATTTGATATTATCACATTAATATACAGAAAACAGTTCCAAACAAAACTAAGCGTTCCAATTGAAAAGCAATGAATGTTATTCCTTGGGGTCCCTAATTTCAGGAAACCTCCACATACATGTTTGTAGTAACCCTTCAACACTATAAGAAAAATTAAGAAAACAGCAAATGTTCAATAATTTGCATCTATTTCAGTAAATAGGTTTTCCCAACTTTCTTGCCGGTGCCTTCGTTTCTGCCGCACCTAAACACATGGCGACCACCGCACCATGGCATCCCGCGCCTGCAGCGTGGAGTTGAAGTCCTTCCAACCGGGTCCCGCGACGCGACGATATTCCAGGTTCCAGCAAGCCCAGCGACGGGACACCACGTCCTGGAAAAAACAATCTGGTCAGTAAATGGGTTCGCACTTTGTAATATAATCAATAAATAAGTAAATTAAAAAAACATAGATGTGCTTAGTGTATAAGAATGTATTGCAATATATATATATATATATGTATAAATGTGTTTATGTATACATCATATATATGTATATGTATTGAAACATGTATGTGAGAAAAACAGATGATGGTTTCTACATATATCATATATCTAAAAATAAAAAGATATACTCAGGTACGAAATGTGTTGATATGGATGATATATATATATATTGATATTGATATAGAAAAGAAAACATGTGTGTATATGTCTATATTTATATTACAATTAAAACTAATTGATGTTGATTTATTCCATCCATGGATACTATACATATCAACGAAGTGGGATTGGTCAAAGGGTTGAACCTTCCAGGGAACCAGTCAAACTTTGGGTTTCCTTAGGCTTTGGGGACACGGCCACTGTCCCCGGTTCCATGTTCAATTGGGGGTTCGATGCCATTGGCGCCATTTACTGCATTTTTTTCTGCAAGTTCGCTTCACCTATGTATAATCGCTCATCATTGGCTAAATATCACTGCCCAAAAAAACATACGCCACAATTGCATGGAATACTCATAATTAGTTTGCCAGAAATATATGTGACACTATGGTGAACAGCGAATTAACCTGAATTAACCACAATTGAAGGATTGTTGCATATCATCATGTTAAGAAAACTTAATGATATGGACACATTACCAGGGTGCAAACCCATTGAGCTCTGGCCAAGCCCAGGGTCAGAGGCGAGCTTGGACATGAGATCCTGGGATTTGACCGGAGGCATTGTGCCAAAAGAAGGTGTTTGGGAATATCAGCTACCCTCTGGTAAACAAACAAACATAACTTTGGAAAATCACCATTTTTAATGGGTAAATCAACTATCAATGGCCATGTTCAAAAGCTATGTTAAAGTACCGGAGGGTATATGATTCTCAATGATTATGGGATTATAACTGTGATTTTAACGGGCGTATGATGTGTTAAAGCCAATGCTAAAAACCATCCCAATATCACCAGAAATGGATGGTTTAAACTCTCCAAAATTATAGGTTTATTCTTTGGTTTACCCCATTGTATGATTATCAATATACTGTGGGATTATAGTGGGAACATGATGATCATCAACTATATGAGTTTCAACTATAAGGGGAATATCAACTATATATGATGGGAGCATCACGGAATTTAATTAATCAACAACAGTGGGAATAGCATGGGATATATAGAATCATATACATGATTGATGGTTTTTGGCCATCCATCCAATTTCATGGGAGTCCTCACATAATGGGCATATAAAATTCCCTTGACGGGATTGATGACCATCCCCCAATATGATCATATGGGCATACAATATTATACAATCCAACGTTTGACCATGGCACATAAATTCTTGGAATGCCCAGATATGATGATCCCTTGATGAACTCTCCTTGCATATTTCTAAGGCAAGCGAGGAACGGAAACGCACAATAAACAACATGCCACAAGAACCCATATGAGTTGTGTTTTTTTGTGTTTTTTTTACTTTGCTAAACTGCAATACATAGATTGGGACACCTACGCGGAGCCTACGCAAACCACTCCTCCCATGCGAAACTGCCTACGCAAGGGTTACCTTTCAAGCAGTGCCTACGCGGCTGCCTCCGCGAAAGTTGCTGCAACGATCTCTTTATTTGATGTGATGTGGTCACGATTTTGGTTCAGAAGAGAAATGAGAAGGACTTGAAGATGACGATTCTTTGGATGACTTGTGAAAGGAAGGCGGAAACTTCATCAAGCGTGGAGCACTTTGCCATAATGATATCGGCAGTCATGATGAACTCGTGGAAAAATTAGAAAAGTGAAACGGTAAGACGAGTTGAGCCTCAGGAACAATGGAAGCTAGGAAAAGCTTTGGATGGGCTACGGCCACAATTTGACCTAGGGCCTGCGCGTTTCCTACGCGAGGGCCTACGCGGAGCCTACGCGAAAGTCCGAACCGAAAAGCATTTCGGAAAACTTGGCACTTTCATTCTCACCCAACAGCGCTGTCTCGCAGCTGTTGCACGACGCGGGTTGGCAGCTGAGCCGAGGCTCCTTCCCATATTGCGGCAGCCAAAAGCCACCATGAATCAGCACCACCAGAGCTGGCCAGGGGAGGCTGGTGAATCATGTTCCATGTTCCCTATGAACATTGCTATTGGGGGGTTGTGTCCTATTTTCCTTTATTTTTAGACACGCCCAAATGCATAAAAATCAGATCAATACTAATACCAACACACCTGGATGAAATTAGTTAGTCTTAACTGGGACATGTGGGACATGCTAGGACTAATACTCGGCGGCGCTCTATCCGCCTTCCCCAGAAACACAAGTCTTCCATGTAGATCATGTGTATCCAATTAGTTTGGTTACGTGATCAGGACCTTTACATTTGTTATATTCGCTGATTAATACTCGACAAATCAAAAAGACAAGGACATAGATCAGTAATCAATACAGATATGATCCAGTTGAGTAAACATGTATATATCAACATTTAAAGATAGAGAAAGATAGAGCAACAAACGCGTATGGTATACATATATATAATTAAACACACAGAAAAATGCAAACAACAAAGTAATAATATAGATATATCATGATATATACATATCGCTCTGAACATTCATAAACAATGTCTAGATATGACCTTGGATTCACCAAGGCTGCCATCCCCGATTTCTCATCGTCGTCCAGGCCGCCTTCCGGATCTTCTGGCAGCCAGAGGTCACCAACTTGATCCGCCAAAGTGCCATATTTCAAGGTCCTATAACATGAAATGGCATGCCATGGACCATGGCATACCAGACATGGAAGATGCCATAACCTACCATGACTGGGGGCGGTTTGGAAAACCACCCATAAAAATGGTGATGAAAGGGATCTATCATTGGATTTAACAAATGAATATCATGGGGATTGGCAATATGGAGGTTTCCTAAGTCATGGTGGTAACCGCAATTATCATCCAAGTCATGGATGACCATGAACGAACCATGGTGACTTGGGGATCCCCCTCACGTGTCAACGTTTACTTTCTCTTAATTTGCCATAGCTATGGAAAATAAACTTCTTTCCCAGGTAAATCATCTATAAAGGGGCAATGTTCCATAGACATGTCTTAATTACCCAAGGGACCGTAATGGGTATTGAATTGGACAAACCGGCCAGTATATGGGAATCATGGGGATATAACATAAAATATAAAGGGTTATATATATATATATAAATAATTATAACATAATTTTGAAGCGTATTATACAATATTACACACATATAACACACACATATATATATATATTAGTGTGTACAACCTATAGCCAGCTTCATATGATATGTGCTGCCTACGCAGCTGACTGTAGCTTAGGCTTTTTCTGGGGATGGGCACGGGAAACTTTTCGTCCACCTTTTTCCTGGACAGTTCCTACCTATATTTGAAACATGATGACCTGAAATTGATTTTACGCATGAACATGGGTTTGTTTGAAAATAGGGCACCCGAAAATTCAATGGATGATGATCATTATCACCAAGAAAGTGGCAATACATTGGCATGTGCCCCCACTCTATACATATCCGCCAACCCCAGCGATGAGCAGGGGGAGCGCGTCAGAGAAACAGTGTAGTTCCGGCACTGCCGCTTGCCGCGACCTGTTGGTGCCAGTTCCTTTGCCCTTCTAGGACGTGCTCGCTGACTCGCTGGGCTTGAAACTTTCATGTTTCTAGGGTTCAGAATGTGACGTTAGACACTGCGTTCTGTGGCCTGGAAGGACCGGTGAAACGTTCAGCTGGGTGCTGCTTTCCCGTTTCCGAGGGTTTCGACATTGACCATCTCTGGCCTGTTGGTGCCAGTTCCTTTGCCCCTCTTGGACATGCTTGCTGGGCTTGAAACTTTCTTTTGTCGGGTTCAGAAAGTGACGTTAGACACTGCGGTCTGCGGCCTGGAAAGACCCGTGCAACGTTCAGCTGGGTGCTGTTTCCCTGTTTCGGAGGTTTTCCGAAGGTCCATGGGCTGCTGGTGTCAGTTCCTATTGGTTAGCACCTGGCTGCTCTCCGAAGGTCAACCCAGGGCGTGAAAACCCCACCCCTGCAGCTTCCACCCTTGGCCATAGCTGCTTTTGCCACGTTCCTGGCCTGCCTGTTGCCTAAGTGCCTGCTGGGCATGAAACTTTCATTTTCCTACGGTTCAGAAAATGACGTTAGATGATGTTAGACAGTGCCAGCTGAAAAACCCAAGGGCTTGAAAAGCACACCGCCTTTGCCGCACCTGCTTTTGCCACGTTCCTGGCCTGCTTGTTGTCTAAGCCCCTCCCGTTTCCACCCACGTCTGTTGCCACATGGTGTTTCTATGCCAGTTCCTTTGGTTAGCACCTCAACACCGGGCTTGAAAACCCCCTGCAGCTTCCACCCTTGGTCTCAATCCAAGGCTTGAAAAACACCCCTGCAGCTTCCACCTTAGCACAGCTGCTTTTGCCACGTTCCTGGCCTGCCTGTTGCCAAAGTGCTTGCTGGTCTTGAAACTTGCCGCCTTCCGAAGGCCAACCCAAGGCTTGGAAAACCGGCCTGCAGCGTACCCTTTGCCGCACCTCCTTTTGCCACGTTCCTGGCCTGCCTGTTGCCTAAGTTCCACCCACGTCTGTTGCCAAATGGTGTTTCTATGCCAATTCCTTTGGTTAGCACCCGGCCGCTTCGCGAAGGTCAACGTGGGGCTTGAAAAACCCCCCAGCAGCTTCCACCCTTGGCCTCAATCCAGGGCTTTAAAATTCTGCAGCTTCCAGCCTTGGCCACATCTGCTTGCTGGGCTTGAAACTTTCATTTTCTACGGTTCAGAAAGTGACGTTAGACAGTGCGGTCTGTGGCCTGTCGACAACCAGCTACTTGCAGCTTCTACCCTTTTCCGCACCTGCTTTTGCCACGTTCCTGGCCTGCCTGTTGCCTAAGTTCCACCCACGTCTGTTGCCAAATGATGTTTCTATGCCAGTTCCTTTGGTTAGCACCTGGCGGCTTTCCCAAGGTCAATGCAGAGCTTGAGAAACCCCCTGCAGCTTCCCTCCTTGGTCTCAATCCAAGGCTTGAAAACCCCACCCCTGCAGCTTCCACCCTTAGCCAGGGCGTGAAAAACACCCCTGCAGCTTCCATCCTTGGCCACAGCTGCTTTTGCCACGTTCCTGGCCTGCCTGTTGCCTAAGTGCTTGCTGGGCTTGAAACTTACATTTCTCTCCGGTTCAGCAAGTGACGTTAGACCCTCATCTTCCAAAAGTGCTCCGGCCCTTTCAATTTTTTCCGATTTTTATATGTAATCGAGCTCTCTCTACAGTCCTGCGCGCATTTTGTCGAACACGTTCCCCGATCGAGCCGCGAAACTGCGGAAACAGAGACCCTCCTTCGGCGACCACGGCCGCCGCTCTTTACCCGAAAAAATGCAGGGTTTCGCGCCCGAGAGTGTTCTCAAGCCTGAATTCACGCGTTCCCGATCTCTCACACTTCCCAACTACTTGCATGATGATGTAGTTGCCATGATGATTGAGGTGATGATGTGGCTCTCGCTACAGTCTCGTGCACCTTTTGCCATCCTCATCTTCCAAAGTGCTCCGGCCCCATAATTTTTTTCGATTTTTATTATTATGTGTAATCGAGCTCTCGCTACAGTCATGTAAACATTTTTGAGAGATCGGGAATGCGTGAATTCAGGCTTGAGAACATTCTCGGGCGCGAAACCCTGTATTTTTTTGGGTAAAGAGTGGCGGCCGTGGTCGCCGAAGGAGGGTCTCTGTTTCCGCAGTTTCGCGGCTTGATTGGGAAAAGTCCCAACTACTTGCATGATGATGTAGTTGCGATGATGGTTGAGGTGATGATGTGGTTGCAATCATGGTGAGACAAGTGACAATCGTTCGTAATTCGGAAGTTTCCTAACTAAACTTCCTTTGATTATTTTTATGCAAATATGTGTCCTTTATACACATAGCCTCATTTGGGGTTGACCATGGTTTACCATTGATTACTGCCATTAAACGGCCAGAAAAAAAGGCTTGGCTTCGGGCATAAGGCGAGGGTGCCTTTTTCACCTCGGGCAGCTCTTCCACCTGTCGTTACCCGCTCCCAAGCCTGCGTAATATTGAGGTCCTTTGTTGGTATGCAGTACGGTAACTTTTAGATACCTATTGTATATTGTATAGTGTATAGTGTATATGATATATCGTACATGTGATATATATATATATATATATATATTTGTGTGATACAAAATGATATAATATGATACGATATGAAAGGATATGATATGATAAGATTTTGTATGATATGGCATGATAGAATATGATATCATATGATGTGGTGTATATACTCACATATATATAATATATCATATATCATATATCATATAGCAAATATCAGTTTCCATATATAAGAGAAAATAGTAATAATAATAATAAAAAAACATATATAATATTTCAAAAAAGAGATACACATACTGTATAAGAGGCACTTATATTAATGTAATATATCATAAATATAAATATATCATAAATATATAATATATATTGCATATCATGTAAACCTTACATAGTGTATGATATACAAAATATAAGTGTAAATAATATGCAATATATTATTTACAACATGCAATATATAATATGTAGTACTGAACCATATGTATATATTATACAATATCATACAATATCCATTGAAGAAAAATGTGATTATGATCTAATGAGGTATTAGTCAATTCTGTATACCAACCAATGACTGCATTACAGGAAGGATACAATGTTGATTGCATTTTGGCCAAATTAATTACCATTGGTAAATGATCCATTGCCATCTTATGATAGGGATTCGCTAGTATTATGTACCATGATGGTTAACAGTTGGTAGTCCGCATGCAATCACTTGGCATACCCCCAGACGGCAAACAAACCGTCAAAAAACAAAACAGACATGTTGGCCAGTTTTGGGGTTTGATCCACCATACAAACCATCATTTATGGCCAGGCTGTTGTAAGGTCGCTCCACTCGTCCCAGACATGCTGCCAGAACAATCGGACGTAAAGAGCTTCCAGGGGCATAGGGGGCATGGAAGAGGCCCCTGTCTTGGGCCCAAGGGGAAGCACTTGCTCTTCAAGAAACATGAAGGTCTCCTAAAGATTGAACCAAGCTCTGCAACCTTCTTTAAATCGTTTTGTCAACTTTTCAAGATTGGAACCGTGGACAACAAATCGGCATGTAGCAAAAAATATATTGAGCAAGACTGAAAGCTCAACCGATGGGACCCTGCCAAAAAGAACTTCATTATCTGACCCTGGGCAACTGGTAAATGACCATAGCATACTATAGCTAGGAAGCATCTGTCCGGATTTTCTACAGCCTGTAGCTCGAAAACTGCCGCTCTCTTGGTGTCGACCTGTCAAAGGAGCACCCATTGCACTTTGCACGGGGATGCATGGGGAGTTTCCTCGCACACAATGTTGTAGGATGTCAGTCTCTGCTTACATCTCGGCTGTGTGGAATCACTCACAAGTATTCACTGTTATTCAGTACCATCTGTTGTCATTGCAGGCACCCTTTTTGTATCCGCATCTCTTCAGTTTGGGTTATCTCTGCACTGCAGCTAGTACCCTGGCTCTGTCGAGTCTCCAAACTACAGCAGTGAGGAACCCGATCCGTTGTGAACCGAGGCATGACTCAGAGTTGAGTTACTGTAATTCATTTGCTCAATATGAATTTGTCAAATATTGTCCAACAATGTCCAACATGTTTCTCTGAAAATTATGGGAAGTCATCTTTAGTAATCCACTCTGAGATGCACCTCGGTGCGGTCCGCGGTGCGTGCATGACATAAATTATTCAAACTCCCGGAACACTGTAGCCGCGTCGCTGTCACGCAGCCTTTGAACCACTGAGGCGGAAGCAATAAAGTAGGTCAAGCGAGTTGAGAACTGATCATTGTCAATATGGGTATGGGTCAAGAATTGGGCCAAGCTTATCAATTGCTCCACCGACTTAAAAGTACCGAGGGGGATTTGCCAAGTGCCAGAAACTGATTTGGAGAAACCTGCCCGCCCATGAGGCAATAGGTACTTGCATTTGTCCGGATGCATCACTCTCGAGCGAGCGGGGGACAAATGCCGACATGTCTTCTGGCACTCTTCTATGATGTATTTATATGTATTTATTGTCCATGTGTGGGTTCATTGTTCAATTAGGCACAAGTGGATATGTTGGTACGTGAAATCGTAGACATGTCGGGATTTCCGATCTTTCCTGGCACTGGTGGACGCTACCCAGTCAGCTATCCAAGCAAGGTTAGTCTGTCACAGACTGACGTCGACGAACTCTCCAGAAGCCACCCTAGCTACTGCGTGGAACTAAGTATTGTATTAATCGCCACGCTTTACACGCCTCATGGCTTTAATTTGGGCTCGTCCGGAAAGGTCCAGATGTAGTAAGAGATTGCTCGGTAGTTTTTGGAACAATACCGTACAATCTGGCAATGATCTGCCATCTGCATTGAAACTGTTGCAGCTGCAAAAGCAGAATTCGTTTAAACACGCTGCATCTCTCAGATGGGAAAAGCCTGTTGACTGTGGAAGCGCTGCAGAAGCACCAGAAAGGAACAACACCATTGATAACGGAATATCTATGAATATCTATGAATAAATATCTAATATCGTCTAAGCGTTAGAACAAACTCTTTGCAATGCTGTTCTTGAGACTTGTTGATCATTGTTTATCTTATGCATTCTGAGAGATGAGCTCTTCGCGAATTTCGTGCATAAGCTGAAAAATGCATTCAACTTTAGAACGCTCTTCCTGAGGATAGAGGGAAGATTTGCTAGTAAAAATTCCCAGGAGGCTATACAGATTCAGGCGGCTCATTGTCTTGCGAAGATGGCTTAGGTCTCGTGGATGAATGCAGGTGATGTCGGCACCTTTGCGTTCAACTTCCAACAAGTCCACCAGCCTTTGTCCTCCCTCTATGTCTGCCTGGAGCACCCTTGCTTTCACGTACTCAAAGATCAAAGCAGCTGCCTCTTTGCTGTGCAAGTTCTGCATGATTTCTCTCTGCCTCTTGTCAAGTTTTGCTGCCTTCTGAGGATGCGTCTCATGACAAAAGTTGCAGCTGCTCCCATGACCACAGTAGCCAAAGGTGAAATGAAGGCATGGGCGGCGGCATAACTCTGGGTGCCCAACACTCCCAGGATTTGCCAGGCGCACACCATTGATCCCGTTGACACCGTTGACATCTTGTGGGGACTGAGAAGCGATTTTCTCAACAAAAGTGGATGGATCTTCTGAAGTGGTGAAGGATGGGGTCTTCAAGGACTCGGGGCTCAAAAAATCCAGCTTTTCCGAGAGGCAGCGAACATAGCTCTGATCCCGCTGCTCTTGCTCTAGCCGTTCCTGATCATGCTCATCCCATAGGTCATGGTTGTAGCCCTTTCGATGAGGCGTCAGGCTCTGCGCACGTGCATGTAGCCCTTCCTCCACGGCCGGGAACTCAACGTCAATGAAACTGTTGTGGTACCGGAGCTTGAACTCGGTCGACATATTTTAAACTTTTGCAGCTCCACTGCAAGAAAAAATATGTCAGTCGCTGAGCCAGGCCGCAGAAGTTGGTCTCACTTACACAGGCTTCTGCGCAATGAATCCTTGATAATTAGTATCTTTCTTACAATCGAAACCAATCAAAATAGGTATTCCATGGTATCCGGTGTGAGTCAAGATCGGTCAAGGTACAGGGTAGTTCCTCGCAATTGTTCATGTGGATTTGTCAAAAGATGTCATCAAAAACCGGGGATGTAGGATGCTTTTCAGCCACAATATCTGGGAAAATGTTTAGAGCACTTCAGGTTTCCCCCAACAGGGGCTGAGCTGCCGAACTGTGCTGGCACTGGACTCATCATTTGAGCCCGCTCGACGCCGAGGCGAGTTAAGTAGCACGCGATTTGGCCTCAGGATCACGTGACGCGACCAAGGTCGAAATTGGGGGTGATCCTAAAATCAGATTAGTAATGAGAATAATATGAGAATAATGTAGCACTAATAATGATGAAAAATCATGATAACCGGAGGAAGTTTAGAAGTCAAATTTCCGACTCAACATGGGCCAGCATAGGCCAAAATAGGCCCAACATAGGGCCAACATGGTGCCAAGATTGCTTGGCCGGCGCCCGGCTGTCACGCGTAAGCCTTTAAATTATCTATATCTCTAATTCTGGATCACTGTTAGTCATTAAACATTTCTTCTAGAATCTGGGATGGTGCGTTCTTGGGTTTACCAACCTGTTTGAGGCTTGCTCCCAACACCCCAGATACTACCCAACTGTCAAGTTCCAGCGTATTAAATTTGGATTTCTCTTCCAAATCCACGGGTTTATCAATACGCTCCCAACACCCCAAATAATAAACCCGGTGATCTATATTTATTATTAGGGGTATTATGTATTAGGGCGCCTCTTATACTCCAATGAACACCTTAATAATTAATGAAAAAAACAATTTAACATTTGATTAAAACCATCCTTAAAAAACAAAATATATATATATATATATATAATGTTGCCAAAAGCTGGATTTCGAAGCTTTCCCCTAATATTCCAATATAATAATATAGAACTTGTGAGATGGGACCCTAATAAAAAAACATCCAGGTACCATTCTATGTTTATTAATAGGGGGTTGAACCCATTGTTTCACCATCCTGTTCTCCTATCGATTCTCAATTAATTACCACAGTTAAGAATCCAATTGGAACCAACCCAAAAAAAAAAACGAAAGTGCAAAACCAATCCTATTTTTTTTTATTTGGGGGCGAGGAGTTTTAGTAATTGGAAGAAGGGATTACATTAGCATTTCATCGGGTTAATTCTCCAGCTTGGGACCTACCCATTGGCCTCACCTCATGGCCTGCCCAAAACTCTGTTCCTGGGTTTGACCGCTGCCGACGCTGGTGCAGCAAGCAGCCCACCAGTCCGCACCACACCGCTGCGTGGCACACTACAGGGAGACCACAGCAACAGAAGCAGCAGCAGTGGTTGGAAGAGACGGTGCGGTGGTGATGCCATGGCCAAACTGAAACTTGATCTCGAAACCCAACATATGAGCCAGTTGGGTTTATCATTCCAGATACAGATGGGAAATTTGAACAATGTTTGCTGTGAACATCTTGCTTGGACGTATCATTGTCATGACTCCGTTTGCAGCGTCGACGAACGTGTTGAGTTTTCCGAGCCAGGCTCCGCTGCCAAGTCAGTGAGCTGAAAAGGGGGGATCCACCGACAACAACATTAAAAACACATCCCCAAGTTGTGGTTTGTTAATGTTTGGTATGGGCTGTTATGTGCATATGTTGTGTAGTATACCCCTTGCCAACTGGTTGAGAACGGTGACGACATTTTAACATGATAGATCCCTCATCACCATACCCAACCTGCACAGCGCACATCAAACATGGACACAGACATGGTCAACTAGTTTTCTAACTAGTTGACCAGTATCAATGGATTGGTTTAAGGGAAAATCTACAGGAAAGCCCCATATTTAATAGGAAAAACTATGGTTTCCTGAGGTTTCCCTTAAACCAATCCAATCACAGTATCATGTTTGTGTTGGAGGTAAAGATAAGGGACACCAAGAGTCCAGGAACATCATTTTACACCAGCTGCCACGCCCAAGTTGAGGGCATTTGCTGCCACTTGTAGAAACGTTTCTCAGGCAACTGGGTGAGCCACACATGCACAACATGCTTGCTGCTTGATTCATAAGAAAATCATTCATCTCTAAAGGGTGACGCTTTAGTCAATAACCCTCTGGGGATGGGTGAAACATTCCGTTCCCATCAAAATTGCCATGAAATGTGGCACCTCTATGTACCTCCCACGTAGCGACAAAACATCAGTTGATTCACTTGCCCTTGGGACATGCATGCGGAGTTGCAAAACCAGTGGGTGTCAAACCCTGGAGTCATATGTCCCTGTTCACTTGGGAAAGACCATAGTTGCCTTAAATGTTGCCATCATATCCTCATGAACTGGTCTTTTCTAGTTTCGTGACCACATACCTACAGCCCCTGTTTCGCGGAGCATGAAGGTGGTTCACCCCAATCGCAGTACACCCGATATCAACGCAATGCATGCAGCTCTGAAAACGGACCGCGCTGGGCCAGGTTGATCCTGAGACGGTTGGTCTACAATGATTGAGCTATCAAATAGTTGTTGAAAGCGGCTGTAGTCTTGCAACTTCAGGGATTGCCCGAGTAAAGATAGGACAAGGACCCGCAACATGCACACCAAGGGTTTTGCTCTTCAAATTCAATTCTGCTCGGGAAACAAACATCGGCCTGCTGGTGCCACTGTGCAAAACCACAGTTTGCCACATATCACAGATACAATTAAATTCCTTATAAAACATGTGATAGGTGGCTGGCCCATGAGTGTGCCATTTCTTTCAACTTTGGCGCCTAAACCAAACATCAGCCACTTTATGGTATTTCAGTGGGCCATGTGCATAGATACAATGTGGCTAACTGATGTCCAATACATGGCTGGGTTATGCTGGAACCATTTTAATTAACGGTTTCCACCCAACACCCCAAACACAAGAAGGGTAAGCTTGTTTTATTAACGAAGAAGTCAAATGACATGTTTTCCCCGCAAAAAAAAAAAGGTTATCCTTCACCAAAAAAACCTTGGAACTTGGAACAAGCCTGTTTGTTATTCATGGCTTTTACATGGGTTCCATATATCTGGCTTATGTTCATGGTATTTCATGGCGCAGCCAGGCTTTGAAAAGCAACTCAAATGAGTCCCGGGACGCACATCCCGACGCAATGCGCTAACCGTTGAGCCGCTGAACGGAGCCCTTCAGGCGAACCGATTCGGGGTGAAACGCTGCTGTGAAAGGCGCGCCGTTCAAGTGACAAATGACTTAAGAGTTGGCAAATGTCACTGTGCATATCTATATAATAATATATGTGTATATATATCTATATATAAATAATATACATATATATATAATATGTGAAATATACTATAGCATGAGCTTGAAAGTGGATACAAGAGGGAACACCGCGTCCCAGAAAGGATTTATATTGGGAGGGCATTGTTTCATGTGTTCGGATTCTGTTACAGCAGAATGTTCTGGCACAATACCCCGCAGTAAAAACCAATTGTAAAGGCCCAAAAGGTACATCCCCAGAGAATCCTGTGAATGTGGCTTGGACTTTTAAAACAAAGATGTGCAATATGTTTGCAATGAAAATTCTTCGTATACATATCCATGTGTTAAGACAACTACGACATAGCATAACAGCATATGTGTTTTTCATTGCTTGAAATTCTATGGAATCATCTTGTCCAAACGATCGTGGGATCGTGGCATCCCTGAATCAAATCGTTCATCCGTTCATAATCACTGTCCCACATTCCTATTGGTGCGGCCTGGCCTCTCAGGCAAGAATTAAAGGCGACAAATCGACAAAGTGCACATTTTGCGCAGCGGTGATTGACTCATGACCTTCCAAGGAAAAATCTGGAACTTGGCATCAGTGGATGTAAGGAAAATTGGCAGGAAAAAAGTGCATTTGTGCTGCATCATGCTGCATCAATCCCAGCTAAAAATGATAATAAGAAGAAAAACAATTCAGAAAAAAAAACAAAACATTTATTATTATTTATTCTCTCGGGGGGAAGGACTCGTGCTTGCCTTTCAGTCGTACCATTGTGACCAATATAAACCTTCCAGAGACTCAATTTTGCTGCAATCATGGGCGTCTCCTAAGATTGTCTATGTGCGAGTCCTGGAAAAAAACGTTTGTCCTCATTGGTGAGTCCACCCTACCGACATTTCATTCACAAATGTTGCTCACCTTCTCGTAATCAAAATGGGCTGGAAAATGCATCCGCAAAACAAAAGCAGAGCTTATTTGTCCCCATTTAGTTCGATGAATTTCCCACCTAGAAACTTCATTTTGCATTAAACTATTCCAAGTTGTTGTTCTGGGGTCGTCATGCTTTGGGTATGCCTGGGATGCGTGTTCGGCAGCAATGTTATGTCAACAATCGGAAAACATATGTTTATGCGAGGGCAACTGCGTTGGCGTCAACGTCTATTCGTATCCAACATACTGATCATGATTTCGTCTCTTTTTGTCATGTTTGTAGAAAAATCATGGTTGGACTGCTATATCATCCACCGTTCAAAAACACCCGGAACCCCATATTATCGCCACATCTCATCCTTAACTATCAAATGGTTGGGAAACTCTAAGTAGCTCCTTGGCTGCCCATTTAATCAATATGACTCCTAGCTCCTTAGGTCCCTCCTAACCACTGGATAGTTCAACAAATGACCGAAAAGGATCGAAATTTCGCGCTTTGGGAGGTCCATGAGCGGAGCACGATTCAGCGAGGGACGGGCAAACCGTTGGCCTTGGGAGCTACGACCCAAAGAAGGAAATGGGTCCGGACATGTTGGGCCAAGTTGGAGGTAAAACTTTGGTTTAAATAATGCACACTTAGCATATCGTAGATATATGTGTATATATAAATATGTTATACATATATTGTGCGTATATGCATATGTATATGTAAATATATGTGTGTATATATATATATACACATAGAGGGTACACATGGACTATGGGTAGCAAAATGCCTCCATGTGATTTGGGAAAAATCGTGCACACTAAGCTGTCTATGAACAGATGTTTGCAGTTTCCATTGAAGGCATGGTACTAGTGGTAGTAGTGGTGGCAGTAGCGGTTAGTAGTGGTGGCAGTAGCGGTTAGTAGTGGTGGCAGTAGCGGTTAGTAGTGGTAGTGGTGAGTAGTGGTGGTGGTAGTGGTGGCAGTAGCGGTTAGTAGTGGTAGTGGTGAGTAGTGGTGGTGGTAGTGGTGGTTGTGGTTGTAGTTGTAGTAGGTAGAGGTAGTAGTAGTAGTAGTAGTAGTAGTAGTAGTAGCAGTAGTAGTAGGTGTAGTAGTAGTAGGTGTAGTAGTAGTAGGTAGTAGTAGGTAGTAGTAGGTAGTAGTAGGTAGTAGTAGGTAGTAGTAGTAGTAGTAGTAGTAGTAGTAGTAGTAGTAGTAGTGAGTAGTAGTAGTAGTAGTAGTACTAGTAGTACAAGTAGTAGTAGTAGTAGTAGTAGTAGCTACTAGTAGTAGAGTAGTAGTAGTAGTAGTACTACTACTAGTAGTAGTACTACTAGTAGTAGTAGTAGTAGTTGTAGTAGTAGTAGTAGTAGTAGTACTAGTAGTAGTAGTAGTAGTAGTACTAGTAGTAGTAGTAGTAGTAGTTGTTAGTTGTAGTAGTAATAGTAGTAGTAGTAGTAGTTGTAGTTGTAGTTGTACTAGTACTAGTACTAGTAGTACTAGTACTAGTACTAGTACTAGTACTAGTAGTAGTAGTAGTAGTAGTAGCAGTAGGAGTAGTAGTAGTAGTAGTAGTAGTAGTAGCAGGAGTAGCAGTACGTGTAGTAGATAGTAGTAGGTAGTAGTAGGTAGTAGTACTAGGTAGGCAGGCAGGCAGGAAGGAAGGTAGGAAGGTAGGAAATAGTCGCAAGGGTGGTCTCCCCCAGTTATAAGTAGGCTTATTAAACCATCTAACTACAAGGTTAAATATAACTCATATAAGCTATAATTTCATAGAATGACACCATAGTTCCGACACAAGTTTCATTCTGGTTCGGCAGCCACCCTCCGATCCACGGATTTACGGGGCAGGTGAGTACGGGCAAAGGAGCACCGCCCTCCAAGTGAATGTGATGATAAGGGGTAACTTATGCTAATTGTATAATTAATACAGGATATGTCTAGACCCTTCTAGAGCCATCTGATGCGATCCCAATCTGATACATCTAGATGAGGTAAAGCAGTAAACCCATGTAAACCCAACTTTTTTCACCTTTCCCACTGGTGGTTTACAGGCTATAGCCCTCTAGATCTATAAGCCCTAATTATGGGCTATGGTTTATATTGACGATGCCCATGCGCCAGGGCGTCCGGCTACATTTGTTTCATCAGCTCATCTTTCACGAAACTGCCCACCTCAGGGGTGCAACAGCTGGGCGGATT